CTTTTCGGTGAAATATGGAGAAGGATGCCGTGGTAATGGTCGTGGGCACATATCCCCCTTGAAAGACGTGTGACCAACTAGTGCACAAAGTACTCACTGACTCTCGACTCGCGTTTGCCATGATATATGGGGCATTGGCGTACATCCATGGCGCCAAAAAGGGACTAAACGAAAAATCCCTAGACAAAAAGCACAGCACGAGAGATCCCAACCAAAGTTTGGCCGACGGCTGCATTATTGCGCCGCATGGGTTTTCTCATTTATACGGCTCAGCAATCTGCTGGGAGAATCCTTCGTGGCAATCCTCCCCCTTGCGGTCGCGCCCCATGCTTCGTGCCTGCTAAGCAACACGATGAAAGACGTACGTCGATATACCAGAAAGAAGGGAAGACCATTATAAAGTACTTCCGTACCCGGCAGAGAAAACAGCGGCGTTGATTCCATTGGAGGCGGCCGAATGCCCAACGATACTGACTGAGCAAGGGAGCGAAAATGGGGGGAGAAAGACAAACTGGGTCCGGAAGAATGGATTTGGGGGGGAAGCTTGCGATATCAGAATAACAGACTGGTGGCTCAGCCTCGTCCGGGCGGCCAAATGCCGGTCCGTGTTTAGTCCGGTAGAGATGGGGTCAAAGACCGCTCCAAACTTCGGTCGTGTTTTCTTTGGAGACGCTGGACGGGAAACACAGAACAGCTGCGGTTGGAGCTTGTGCACAGATCATTTTGGCTGGAAGAAAATTCCATGGAGAATCCGCTGCAAAAGGGTCTACACATCAATCCATCTAGCCATCCATTTTTCGACAACCTGCGCATCTCTGTTAGCTTGGCGCGATAATGATGGAGGGTCTATATGGCAAGCAACGGAACAGTCTTTCAAAGAGAGAGGATACTCACGGCTTTTGCTTCGTCCACCAATCCCAACTCAAGCAGCAGCTGGACGCTCGCTCTGACGCCACTCTCCAGCGCACTCGCAATCCAAGAACTGGTGTAACTTGTACCCTCGCCGCTCATGATGATGCCCTGCTCCGTCTTGAAGAACGCCGGGATAAAAGCCTTCCTCATCCCGACGTCCGGGCTCGCCCAGCTGATTGTTTCGTATTGATCTAGGATCCAGCAGCGGCGATTATAGGCACCTGTATATTGCTCATACACTACAGGACCGTGGATCTCGGCCATGGCGTCCACGACATATTGGACATGGACATTTTCTGGAATCGACGTCCAGCGCAACCCGTCATCCGAGGATGTGTAGCTTGCAAGCATCACCCCTGGCCCGGTCGAGTTGATGTCGTAGCTGGGGTAGCAGATACTCCCTATGCCCGGGATATCGGTAGTCGTGCTGCAAGAGCCATAGATGGGCTTGTCAAAATGCTCCCAGAAGCGGGTCTTGAACTGTAACGCCACCTTACAGACCTGCGAGTAAGGATAGCTGTCGATGGCTGTTTGTAGAAGATCCGAAAATGCCGGTAGACGCCAGGTTCTGACCAGGGGCATAGGAACAGTGACAACCGCCAGGTCGTAGCTTGCATTCTGGAAGGTCCTGTCGAGTGGCATTGTCTTCCACTGCAACGTCACTTTCTTAGTTGTCTCGTTGTATTGGACTCGTTGGATCTTCCGGTTCATATGCGTTATATCGTCCACAAGAGCTAGGAATGACATAGTCAGCATCTTGAAGCAACAGCCATCGATGGCCACACGTACGGTGGAAAGCGCTGGGAAGTCGGGTTAAGCCGCCATCAATTGTCCTCCAGTCTGTTGCAGAGAAGTACTAAAGCAAAAGGTAGAGTCAGTGCCAACACTCGTGATCTGGTCTCACCAGAGGTTGGGGCAACGAGCGCCTCTGGACACGAAGAATTTGGGGGTGGATAGATACGACAAAAGCCGGCTCACCATCGACTCATACAGATTATCCCAGAAACTCTCACTCCCACTGCCTCCAAGCTCCACGAAGGTCTCATTCAACGCGTATCCAAGCACGTTGTGGGCGTAGGCGAATTCGGAAAAGTCGTCACCACCCAATCCGGCAAGCCCTTGATCCAGGAATGTCTTGTGCGCCATGTATATATTCCGAGCCATCTGGGAGATAAAGCTGCCCCTGCTGAGAGCATCGATATCCTCGTTGAGGGCATCCAATTTGGGGTCGTCCGGCTGGGTAGATGTCGGCCCCAGCAATGATGCATTTGCTCGGACTTCTGACAAAGTCGGAACTTGGCCATTAGGCTTCCGGGCGCCGTTGATGTAGTACAGCCCATTTGGCGAGCTTTGGTACCATTTGATAAAGTTGACCGTGAAATTGGTGTTGTTTTTGTTCAGCCTGTTGACTTCGGCCGCCAGATCAAAGACAATACGGTGATCGTTAATCTGTATCGTCTGGTTTGTTTCAGATGACGTGTAGGAGAGCGGAAAACGCATTGGCCCCATTTCTTGATACTGTCGCTCGCTAGGGTCGCCGAAGTAGGCAGTATGAACTCTTCCGCCAAGCCGTTGTGCTGCTTCGATGAGAGATACATTTGTCATTCCAGATTGGTTAAGGGCGAGCCACGTCATCAAACCAGCCATGCCGGCACCGACAATGGCAATTTCTTTTGACTTGGCTTCTTGAGCATTGACCGCACTGATCTCCTTGCCCTTGAGAGCAACCACTCCGTCGAACCACGGGCCTTCAGCATCAATGCCGGTGGAGTTGTCCATGGCAATGGAGAAGTCGGCCTGCCGCTTTCTGAGCCGTCTCCGAGTGGTCTTTGCATTGGGGGCAATGGAGACGGGAGCGCTTCGCCCGACCAGGTTCTGCCTCGCGTCCCATGCTGAAAGGCAGTGTCCTGTGGGAGTGTATTCAGGCACTTTCCACAATAACCTGTCATGATCACAGGAATGGGAGCGGCCGACTAGATGGTGGGCTTCTCCCGGAGTCTTAGCCTTGCAAGGGCCATATGTGAAGACGACCTCTGTTGTGATGGGTCTGTCGTAAGACAAATGAACATTGGCAAGACCAGAATCAACAGCTCGTTTCAAATGGAGGTTAATTGGTAAAGAAGCGGCTAGTACACATGGCAAGAGCAACGCGGACAGCAATAGTTGCCCGGCCATTGTGAGTGCGTGCTCAATGGATGAGCCGTGGAGACAGATGGACAAAGAAAGACGTCTTGTAAACCTACCTGGCAGGCACCGATTTTGTATCTAAGCTGCGCCTCATTTATCCGCAACTCCCACTCCAACTTCGGTCCTCCCCTTCCCTTGTGAAGGCTCTGGGTATCGGACCATCAAGAGACGTCGTTCAAGTCCGATATGCAATGCGTATCGTGATTGGTTTAGATTGGCAGGTTACACACGAAGAGAACGCTTTATGTACCTGCCACATCCAGGAAAGATAACTGGAGAGGTATGAGTCAATTCCTGCGTTAAGTCGTTTTATGCAGATCACCTTGCGGGTCGTGTTACCGAGCCCGAAAGGGTTCGCTAGTTTGGCAGAACCGGCCAAGAGGATTTGTTATACAGGCCGCTGTGAGTGAATGAAGATGGCCACAATTTTGCAGCTCCATGTGGCTTCCCCCAGAAGCCCGGCGGTTGCCTTGTTGTGCGATATTTGTTTGACTGGAGGTCGTACCTTGCAAGACCCTGCCATCGAATGCCATGGGATTTGGGTATAGGCTAGCCATGCTCTGCTCGTATTCGTATGTACTGAGATCCTTCCACTGGCACTTGTAAAGTTATTTCGATCCGAAGAGCTAGTGGACACTTGGCAAACAGCTAGGTAGGCAATCTCAAGAGATAAGGATGGAGACTCTGGAGACTCTCTGGTGGGAGAAATCGGGGTAAGAGGTTTGCGGGTGTTCAGCATTTTACTCAAACGAGCGTCGAAGGCGGTTCCTCGGCACGGTCCTTGTATGTTTGCAAACTGCCCCACATCAATTGGCGGTGACGAGACGTACGGAGCAGATACCTGGGTACCTATCAACGGATAAGGGAATACCTGATACCCCGGTACCCGATAGAGGATAACAGGGAGGATAATAATAATCATAACGTGGGGGCTTAATAATAATAGCTCGCAAGCTCAATAGAGGCTTGTCATAACTGGAAGGTTATTCGAGCACGTGATATCCATTCCCTTGGCAGTCATAGCCGCGCATCCCCGGGCTATGTCGTCGGCATAATAGGCACCCTAGTTTCTCGCTCGTTTCCTCTGCTCTTCGATTGATCCTATTGAGTCCCACAAAAGCCATCGCCTAGGTTGACTACTGTAGCCATTATGGCTCAAACCAATAAACTCTTTAGCTTGATTCATGCATGGCAAAGAGGTATGGAAGAGGAGATCTGCGCCCACAGAAACTGTTCCGAGGACGGAGATTTCGGGGGCTACTGTTTCACGCGTACGTATCGATTTGACTACCTAATTGTCCTCTTTTTAACTCGGTCAAGACTCCTGCCATCTCTGCCATGACAGCGAGCCGATCATTCAACTACAGAACGAATTCGTCTTTTGTGACGCTTGTTGGTCGGACGTTCAGCGCCTGTACGGAGGCTTTGGTTCTTCTATTGCAACCTTTCCGGTCATATTTGTAGCCAGGACATCTCTGAGGCCAGAACATCTTTGTCTCCAGAACATCGGAACATACTTGATGCCAGAACATTGAAAACTTCGAGCCTGGCCCTGTGAATTCTATTTTGCGTTGCTCCATGGCAATAGCAACTGAGGTGTTTCGCCATGACTCAGGAGAATGAGAAGAAACACAGCAGAAGGATAGCGGTTGAGATTTCAAATACCAACCGATTTCAGTTTATGAAATGAGCTAGAGGTCAAATGTGCTACGCCTGCGCAGTTTTCCCATACTGCACAGTCCACTTTCCAAATGCCATTTCATCAAGGTTATGAACCTCCACTAGCTGACTACTGTTGATATCCTAGGTTACTGATGTCCACAAAGCTAATCACCGTAATTGTTATCGGCTTTCACGTCGTCCATGCGCCCTAACGCATACCGATTCTCCTACCCCCTCCCTTAGAACAAGCAGATCCCAACGCCCACGATCGAGGTCATCAGCGCCAAGAATGACCAAGATTTCGAAGTCTTCGCAGACGGAGCAGCATTGCTAGCTGGAGCAGTCCCATCGTCACTGCTACTGCCGCTTCCACCCTGACCTTGACCCTCGCTCTCAGTCACTTCTCCCTCCAACTTGGCCAACCGGATCTTATTGGCTCCAAAGTCAAACACCGCAAGCACGTTCTTGAGGAATGGCGCGCCAATAATGTTCAACGTGATATCCCCATACGTGCCCTGCTTGAAGTCCGAACTCAAGATGTTCGAAACACAGAGCGCCTCGCCGCTGCTCGGGTCAGCTGTCTGATAGACCAGATCGCGCCCGTCGAGAAAGAATGTTTGATTGCCGATCTCAAGGCCGAGTTGAGGCGGCGTGGCGGCGCAATCGACGACCCAGAGACCACTGGTGGGATCCAAGACAGCGGGAGGCGAAAACAGCGAGTTCACAGTGGCGATCACTGTGTCGGGGAGGTAAGAGAAGTAATTGCCGTCGTCGATGAACGCCTGGAAGGAGGTGGCGTTTTTGAGTGTGGAAGGGGTGGTGATGTTGTTGGGTTGCGGAGCAGAAGGGGACGTGGTGCTGTTACCGGGCCCGTACACAATAGAGGAAACCGTAAGCGCCCAGTAGGCGCGGACGCGCTCGTTGGATGTCACTTGGACGGGGACGGAATTGTCAATTTCAACCGAGACGCTCGTGAATTCGTCGCTGTGCGGAACTGGTGGAAGGCTGCCGAGAGACAAGTAGCCGCCGAAGCCGGAGGTGGCGTTCTGTGGCGTTCGTGCTAAGGCCAGGCTGAAGTATGGGTCTATCAGTCCTTGTTTGTGCATCGTGAACAGCAAGGGATCGTATGTGAGCCGGTTGTAGAAGTAGGTCGTGTTGTCCGTGACATTGGCCGGATGGCCCGATGTCAATGCGGGATACGCAAGACCCAGAAGGCCGGAGTTGACGCCGTCACCCATGGGGGTCGAGCTATTGGCCACTCCGATGATTGAATTCTTGACTGTGATGCCGGCGAGTGTGATATCTTCATGTGCTAAGATGCCGGAGGCTATACCGGCGCCATATTGAACTCCGAAGATCTCATTCGGGATTTCAGAGTATGTGGCGGACGGAGTATACGTCCCACTACCGTATAAACAGGCAGATTGCGGGAGCTCGGTGCCATTATTCTTGTCGAAACACTGATAGCCAGTTCTCATCACATAAGTGTCACTGCTTCCAGTGTCGACAAGGAGGGGAAATGTTTGACCGCCGATAGTGACATTGACATCGAAGATTGTGCCGAATGTCGTTGACAATAGACTTGAAGTTGCATTGGCGGAGGCCGATGAGCTCCGACGATTGAGAACAAGATGTCGAGCAGAGCTAGAAGATGAAGCGAGAGCGGCGGGGTGGAACAAGCTCAAAGCAAGGACGAGCGCGGACAGGTTTCCCATGGTAAGTAATATGACATGCAAAGCAAAAGTCTTCAAACGAATGCAATCGAAGGGATACCTTCTGATTGACAACTCGAACACCTCCCCCAGCATTTTATACCTCGAGAGCTGAGATACCACAACCGTTGATCGATATTTTTAGTCGACCACGCGCTTTCCAAAGAGCCATTATTGACAGGGCACGTAAATTTGCGAGCTATCTTTTGGTGAAACGCTGACAAAGCGACGGACTTCAACATATGGGTGGCCTTGCATGGGGCGATACCCTTCGGTGAAGTATAGACCTGGACCATTGAATAGCGATAGTCTCATGTTCGCGATAAAAAGTCTGATTCAATCATAGCACGAGGTTAGTTTAGAGAGGCACGAGAAATGTGGCAAGGCGGATTCTCGCTAGTCCGTACGCTTGAACCTCGGGGAAAATATCCTATCTTATTGGCTGTGGAGATCGTGCCAAGCCCTGCAAGGCTGAGCGCAATCTATAGCCCCTGAAAGTGCCTGAGGCTCTTTATTGTTCAACTTGGTCCTTTTGTTCTCTTCGATGCTAACCCCTTTAATCAAATCCGCAGACCGCCCTCAATTCTCAGGCTCTCGACTTTGTGACGATGGCCGTCCCCGTCTATCCTGCTTGCTTGTGCATCCATCGCTACCATGAACAAATTATCTGCGAGGAGGCCGCGAAAGAGCGCACCCAAGACTCGATCAGGATGCTTCACATGCAAGTAAGTACATTCTGTGGTCCTCCAGACCAAATGTTGACGTCAAGTCCCCCAGAGCCCGCCATATCAGATGCGATCAGAAAAGGCCGGAATGTGAGAATTGCACCTCGTCAAGCAGGAGATGCGAGGGTTATCCAACGCTTCCCGCCGACACTGCTTCAGGCGCACAGAACTCACCACAGAATCTGAGCTCCATTTCGTCGTACAGCATCCCTTTTAAAGTCCCTGGAAGTCAAGCCGATCGGCAGCTCTTGCACTATTATTGCTGTCAGGCAGCATGGAACCTCTCCAGCTACGCCGACCCAACCTTGTGGACCGAACTCATCCTCCAGCGAAGTCAAGACCAGCCCGTCATTCGCAGTGGCCTTGTCGCTCTAAGCTCATTGCACAAAGACTTCGTTTCTGGATCGTTTTCTGTTAACGGCAAGGACAAGTTGAGTACGAGCGTCGAGGCGATGACTTTAGTCAGCAAATGTTACGGGCAATTAAACAACTACCTCGCACGGTCCGATGCCTCGCCAGACGTAGCGTTGATCTGCAGCGTCATATTCTACTCCTTGGAGTCCCTCCTCGGCGATACTAGACAGGCGATATCACACCTCGACAGCGGGTTGAGGCTGCTGAGGCGAACTCTATCCGAGGCAAAACGGCCTACGGATCAGTTGCTCGTGCATCTCACATCTCTGTTCGAACGTCTCGACATTCAAGCCAGTTCGTATGATGATTTGCGTCTTCCGGTGCTGGAACTCGTTTCTCCTCAAGAGACTCGAGGAGAGTTGTCGGTTGTGCCTGATTCATTCCGAAATCTTGACCACGCTGAACGTATTCTGGCCAAACTCCAGAATTGGACCCTTCGTCAGCTAATCCTATATGTCGAACACAAAGGTAAATCGCCAGGAGAGTTTCCTGAAGGTTTATGGCATGAAAGGGTGGTGCTGCGCCAACAATACGAGAAGTACCGCCAGACACTGAACAGACTTGATAGCACCCCGGCGAATTCGCCCTTGGATGTCCCAGAGATCAGCACCCAAGAAGAGAGGAGGCAGCTTCAGCGACAACAATTCCTGCTGTTGCAAATAAGCTTCCACACCTTCTACAGTCTTGTCGAGGAGAATGTTCCCATTTCTGCCGATGCTGCAGGATACACCGTCAATGACGAAGACACCCTCAGCACAGCCCTTTCCAAGGTAATAACCCTCCTCTCGCTAGCAAGCAACTCAGCATCGCACTTCGCAAGCGCTTCCTTCCCACTGGCCTCCCCGTCGCAACGAACCTACACATTGTCCACATTCCTCGTGGGGACATTATACTTCCTGTGCCTGAAAACGACCAACCCGGAGAATTTGACCACGGCTTGCCGGCTATTCTCCCATCCTGTTGTCAAGAACTCGCGCGATGGTCTCTGGGATTCCCGGCTCGCGGAGTTGGTGATTAAGAATGTGATGGAGATCCGCGATCGGAGCATAGTTGTGGCTGCTGTGCCTGATATTGGCGAAGGAGAGATGTCATCACAGGGAGCAGTTCTGTTGCCTTTCGACGTTGAACATATCAGCTTGGGCAATGAAAGGACTGACTATTTCAGCATGGACTTCTCGCTGATTTCCGATGAATCCGATTTGATTGTTGATGCACCTGACTCATTCCTCGCTGCCGCCGATTCTTTCCTACTCCCAGTTGATATGATAGCGCAGGGCATGTCTATGTCTATGTCGGCTTCGGGCACGAATTCGCCGTATCCATCAGAAGGCTCGTCGACAAATGCCAGCGAAACAAGTCTACCGTACGCGCACCACCGTCAGCGAATCGAGCATTTTGTCCAACATCCGGGACCGCACGATCGTTCGCGCGCTGGCTATGTTGGCCAAAACCATTCGAGACTTGAACAAGACCAAACACAATCCGCCGCAGGCAAGACCACGACTTCAAGTTCCGGCCAGTATATGCAGATTCGACCGAAAACTCAACCCGGTTCACATGTCCAGCGTAACAATATCCCACAACAATCTACGGTGCTGACCGAGAGGTCGCATCGGAGTGGCAGGTTAGAAGACTTCGCGCTGGGCATTGTGGATGTGGATGGCGGAGTGGAAGAAGCCGCCAAGAGAGTGTCAGTGATGTCTATCTAAATGAACAATGGAAGCGTCAGTAGGCATCATCAACCATCATCACAAGACCATTGTTATTCACCAGGTTGGTAGATGTGGTTCAAAATCATAACATTCAGTCGCTCTCGCTTGCATGACAAAGTTCAGCCGCTAGAGGGAACCCGAATGATTGCCTCAGACCAGAGAAAGGACCTTTTCAAGCAAACCCTTCTCTGAGCTTGCGAATGTTGTCGTCAACATTGGCAGCAGCTTCGGCCAAGAGCTACGCTTGGTACATACCGTCCTCCCTTCTGATATTCTGCCTGTGCCGTGCTAGTGTATATCGCACTCTTCATTCGTAATTTTCTGGGCGACCGCTCCTTTGTTGCCGTTCTGACCCACATCAGCCACCCGCTGTCTCTTGGCATCGGCCCCATCCGTGGTGGCTGATGTTACGTGATGCTGCATATTGCTCAAATCTCCTAGTGGCGTTCTTTTCGGTACCTGCAAAACGCGGTCTACTCCGCCCGACTCGACTGTGCTCGATACTTGGCCATTGCCTGATTCCAGAGGCCCTCTCCGGGTGGGAGGCCGATACGCAGATGTGTTAGACCCTCGGATGCCGGAGAATTGTCCATTGGGACCGGGAGCGCCCAGACGCCTTATCGGGTCCGATTGCGGATTGATGACATTCGTTCGCAAATTTGTCGTGTCGGGCGTCAAGTCGCGTTTCAAGGGGACAGACTTGTTGTGATTTACCCCGAATGTTTTGCGGATCGACGGGCTTTCGGCATGGGGATTGAATCTTGGGGCTACCGCTGCTGCGGCCGGTATTACATTGTTGTTCTCATCAAGACTCTCTGCAGCCCTAGCTGAATAAAAGCCAATACCTTGGCCAGGCTGCTGGGGAGGCGGATGATGGGGAGTTATGTGAGGTGAAGATGCCCGAGGTAAATTGTCCACAGGGGATCGAGCCTCTCCTGTCAAAGGTTTTGCAATGGGAACCGATGCAGCTTGGTGCCGCTGCCCAGGCAAAGGTTGAGGTATAACGGTCGTCGACGGAAATGTCTGAGCGGGCTTCGGGGGACCCATTCGAGGATCGGGATTTGCAATGGCTGGTGGTTTGGATGGTGTGGTTAGGTCTACTCTTGGTTGTGATCGTGTCCGTTCAGAACCCGAATTAGCTGATCCGCTCGTCGTATCCGTCGCTTCGGCAGGTAACGCGACCTCGTCAGGATGTGCCATTTCAACACCGTCAAAATCAAGTTCTTCAAAGTCCGCTAGCGAGAAACTGTCCTCAAATTCCGGGGGGTCTTCTTGCGCGGGAGCGGATGGGTTCTGCTTTTTCTCTTCTGTTACCTTTTTGGGCGCAAAATCTGCGTGTCGATGTAGCATGCCCTCGTCCCATTTGGTACTCCCAACCTTCATTTTTGTGACCTTCGACAAGTAACTCTTGTCATAGACGCAGTTCCCTAGAACGTTCCCAAAATTTCTTAGTGTCCTCTTCAATGCATCTGTGGTACCCTCCTTTTTGGCCTTCTCAAACGCAGCTGCTTTGCCCTTGCAATTCTCAATCTGTCCGTAGCCGATGTCTTCGTGGTGCGTGCCATCTTTCAGTGTCACTCGTACGATGACGGAGAGGCCGAGAGAGATCTTTCCCGTTTGAGGATTCTCGTCGACGAAATCGATCTGGATGTTTTGGATGGAGCTACTCCAGCCATTGAAACCGAAGACTTCATTGGCAAGACTGATGGCCTTGTCGGCTGCTAGGTAATGGACTTTTGACCCTCCTGGGCCTGCGCGCGAGGAGATATATTCTGGCCCTAATTGCTTGTCGAGTCGGCTTTGCAGAGTGGCAATCTCTTGGGCAGTATATTCTGTTATCCGCGGCGGATGCTCCTCGAATGGGTTAGCTGTTGTGTTGCCGTTCGGCTTGTGCTGGTCACCGACACTGCCGGCAGTCAGCATTTGTTTGGTCCAGACAATGAGATCTGTACTTACGCAGGCATGGCAGTGACGCGTGAACTGCCAGCCTTGTCCTCGACAAGAATTGTGCTGCTTTGACATAAGGAATAGGATGCTTGATCGAGAGCCGTAAAGTTTGGACATTTACCGAGTACACGGTAGAAGATCCATAGCTATAATAGTGCCACCCGTGTTGGCCTCGTTGGTGACGCGCAGGTGTCGTGTCAACATAACTCGGAGGCCCACTGCAGCAAACTCCGATCCACGTGACTGACTGCAGCCTCGTAGCCTCGCCCAACTCGCCCTCGCCTCGCCGTACACCGCGTCTTCATCACGTGCAGCCCACCAAAATCGTTTCTTTTGCTATGACGCAGCTGCCTGCGGTTGAGAAGCCGCCAAAAAAAAAAATTGCTGAGGGACGAGAAAGTTGTGGGTGTGGGGTTGAATATTGGAAGCCATACCGTCCTGACCGTCTCACCGTCCTTCCATGCGCCCAACTTCTCGGTCTCCAACTTTTCAGATGAAATTCGTTCCTTGTACCTTGTGACCATTTGCTGCAGATGACTTTCCAGGCTCCGAGCTTGCAACCCTCATGTCGCTGACCTCGAGACTGTCTTCAATCATTTTATCATTACCCTAGTTGGCGCCGCAGCCGTGATTGCGCTTTGTTTTCCATATCCATAGCTAGATCTGCTTCCTCGCCGGGTCGCCCGATCGCTACCTATCCTCCACCAACATGTTCTTTCTCCTGCGCTACCTTCTCTATTTCTTAGGCTTCTACTTCGGCACCATGCTCTCCTGCTTCGCTCTTTATGCCTATCTACCGAAGCCTCCCAAGATTCTGGGCTTCGTTGCCCGCACTATGGCCGCCTACATTAGCCTCATAGCCTGCGCGGCTTATGGCACAATATCCTCTGCCATCCTCCGAGTCCTGGGATTACACTTTGCATACGCACAATGGACGACAGCCAAGGCATTCAAGAATCTCTGTATCTACACTGTGGGCGTGAAATTCGACGTCTTGGACAACGGCTACGAGATCCTGAACGGTACCCGCCCAGCCGTCTTCATCGTCAACCATCAAACAGAGCTAGACGTACTGTTGCTGGGCTGGATATGGCCGAAATACTGCTCCGTCACAGCAAAGAAACAACTCCGCAGCATTCCGTTCTTGGGCTGGTTCATGACCCTCTCTGGCACCGTTTTCATTGACCGAGTGGACAGAAATGCAGCCTTGAAAGCATTTGAGGGAGCGGCTGAGACCATGCGAGAGAAGAGACAGAGCGTTGTCATCTTTCCCGAGGGGACAAGAAGTTATTCGGCCGAACCAATGCTGCTGCCTTTCAAAAAGGGTGCGTTCCACCTGGCTGTGCAGAGCGGTGTACCTATTGTACCGGTTGTGGCAGAGAACTATAGCAGTGTGTTGAACCTCAAGGCTAAGAGGTTTACTGCCGGCACAATCAGAGTCAAAGGTAGGTGGACGTCTGGATGAAATTTGAGTATGAAAGGCACTCTCGGACTAATGCATGGCGCAGTTCTCGATCCCATTCCGACGAAATGCCTCACTGCAGCGGACGTTGACAAACTAACACAAGACGCTCGCGAAAAGATGCTCAGGGTCATCACGGCTATGGGTAACGATCCGGAATCACAGTCCCTACACAACAAAAAGGATTCCTGAAGCTGAGGCATGAAGGCTCGACCTACGTTATTGTGAAGGTCGAGTCTGTAGAGGTCAATACCAGACCGTACTAGAAGGGTGGAGACGTCTTTGAGAGGCCAGATCCAGTTCACCTCTGCTCGAAGAGAGAACCAATACGGAGGACCTCGTACCTTACTAGTGCTGCGGAACGAGCTGCTTTATCCCATGCCTTAGAATTTCCTCCTTTTGTGGAATATCTCTGCATGAGAGGCTTTCACCGGACCTGGACTCCACTGTCACAACATGGCAACGAACAGGACGCAGCACGCACTGTGCTACTCACTCGACGCGGGCTTGAAGGAATGCCCCGTTCACGGATTGCAGGATAATGTGGAAATGACTTATGACACGAAACAACGGTTACACATGGGTGGATCCAAAAATTCATCTGTTGGGATGATTGCTGCTCCAATATCGAGAAGATTCCACACAGTTAGGAGGAAGATGGGAGGGTTGAAAATCACGAAGACACGAAGACGCGAGAAACACGAATCAAAAGACAGCCGGCAAATGTGATACCCAATATTGGTCTTTAAGCAGACACGACGATGACATGTCTGAACGGGAGTCTCCGACTGGAACGAGCACCACGATTGATAGCCCACGTACCGTCTCGTCCCGTCCGGGTAGAGATTCGGCAGTGGATCGAATTGCAAAGCATAGCATGGCGTAGCACGAGACGGCAAGGCGGTTCATAGACTTATCACTTTTGCCTCTGCAATAGACACCCTCTTCTTTACCCCCGTCGCGCTTCCATCCGTGTTTCTATACCGCGTACACTCGCCGTCAGCAATGCAATGGGTCGGCTCTTATCTACGAACATCTATCGCCTTCACAGGGAAATCTCGACGCGAGCCTGGGGCCAATGGGGGTTGCGTTCTCGACCCAGGATCTGCCCCTGAAATGGAAGTTGGGTGGTGACATTGGTTGGGTGATTGGGCCATATGGGATACGTCAGAGACGGACAAGCATTGAAGTTGTGGGCTGTTCTACAGAAGGAGATGTATGCTAGCTTAGCGACCTATACCGAGGGCATGTTTCTCTGGGCAGTATCGAGATTCGGAGGTATGAGGTATACAACAACCCCTTCTTTTCCTCCTTCTCCTTCATATTCTCTATCTATCTATCTATCTATCCATCTCTCCCTCCATCTCTTCAGTCAGCAGTCCTTTCGTGATCCCATTACCCTCGAATACACGGATACGCTTCTCTCCCCCCCCCCCCTTCAAATGAGACCCAATCCCATCAGCTAAGCGCAGGGTACAGAGGGAAGTCAGGACGGATCAGATGGGAGAGATTGGGAATTTTCCCTCCGTCGGGACCCGTTGATCCTTTCACTGTCTCAACGCGGGTGGAAAGGAATGAAAGGGGTTTGTCAAAACTCCTCAAACGGCCGGACCAACAGGCCAGCCTGGCCGAGATGTTCCTTGACCTGTGCGACGGTGTATTCGCCTCGATGGAACTGGAAGATGCCACCACACCACCCCCAAAAAGGGGCGGGGCCGAAGTTAGCACGATATCCCAGTCCGAGCAGACCACAACGGGTGGGTCCGAGGCAGAGACAATGAAAAGGCAAAGGGAGGCAAGGAAGGTAAGGGAGGGCCCGAGAAACTCACCATGCCAGCTCCGAGAGCCGCATCAACCCCGGTCCTCCTAAACACTTCCTCGAAATGGCCCGGCACGCCAGCACCCGAGGACGCAATCACCGGCACGCCCACCGCGGCCTTGACCATGTTGATCAGCTCCAGGTCGTAGCCCCTGTTGCTGCCATCGCGGTCGATGGCATTAAGCAGGATCTCGCCGGCCCCGAGGGCCTGCACCGCAGTACAGAGCTGGACGACGTCTAAGTCTCGCGTCTCGCGACCGCCCTTGATCGTGCACGCATACCAGACGTATTCTCTCCCCTGGGGATCAGGGAACGCAGTCCGGATCGTATGGTGGGCTGTATCGGAGGGAGAGGAGACGTAGATGCGTTTCGGGTCGACGCTCACCACGACGGCTTGAGCGCCGTATGCTGCTGAGATGGTCTCAATCGAAGTCGTCCCCGAGAGGTTGCCGCCGGAGGAATGGTATTCTTCTGCGGCAAGGACGGCGTCGGATCCGATAGACACTTTGTCGGCGCCAGACGCAAAGTACAGTTTCGCAACGTCGAGCGCCGACACGTTCTTGCCCGTAACGGGATCGGTCATGTCGCGAATACCACCCCCTATCGTCAGGGGCACAAACACCGTCTCGCTTGTCCGCCGCAGGATTTCCAGCATGGGAATATCTGTGATGGGGCAGTCGCGAAAACTCGTGATGTTGAGAAACGTGATTTCATCGGCTCCTTGCTCGTAGTAGCGACGGGCCATGTCGACCGGCTTGCCTAGGTTGCGGACTTGTCCCGGCCCCGTGGCTGAAGTGAGAGATGACTTCTCGCGCACGTCGTACTGGTCACCCTTTGTCACGACGAGGTCACCTTGATCGTTGGTGCGGACGTCCAGGCAGGCGATTATGCGCCTGGTCAGACCGTTTGTTCCTCCATCTGCCGTCCTCCCTGCCAAGGATGAGAAGAATCCGTTGGCTGTTGTTGAGCTAGTTCCAGGGACGGATGGAAACACCGGATCCGACCAGATTGTGCCTTCGAGGAACGCCTTGATGACCCTGAGCCCAGCCGCACCGGATTTCTCAGGGTGGAATTGCGTCGCAAACACGTTGCCCTTCCCAATTGCTCCCACGTACGTTTCGTCACCGTAGGTTGCGGTGGCGACAACCCATCCTTCGGCCTCCAGCTCGCCGTGAACATACGGGGCAAAGTAGCTATGCACGTAGTAATACTTACTTCCTTGATTGAGGCCGTAAAAACTCTTTCCTTCCTCTAGAGCGGAGGCGTGGCTTTGGTCTGAATCGTGATGAAGCGTAGAAGCGTCGTTCCAACCTATACACGGCACAGACTTCTTCGACGCGTCCGCATTCTCGGCTGAGAAGCGCTTGAGTGATGTAGGAATGATGTTCAAACCAGTGACACTGGGTGCCTCTTCTGAACCGGTGAAAAGTGCTTGAAGACCTACACAGATGCCGAAGAAAGGTTTCCCGCTCGATATGTGGGATTGGATAGCCGGGAGGTAGCCTGCTGTTGAAAGGGAAGTTAGGCAGTGACCGAAGTGGCCAACGCCTGGGAGGATAATTTTCTGTGTAAGAGAAGTGGGGAAATTGTCAGAATCGGCCGATATATGCGGCATAATTGTAAAGCTGAGAAGCAAAAGGGACGTGAAAGGCAGATGGACTGAATTGGGCGGCAGTCCGAAATCAGCCATGATCAGAAAAAGGCTCCGTGAAGGATAAGAACGGGGAAGCCTGAGTCCGACCCACGTTCTGTAATAGGGACCCGTTGTATCTCTCGCCTTCAGCCTGGGCCGGCTTCAAACCCCTCATATGGAAGGAGAGCCAGCTTGTCCAGAGAGACACGAGGTTGTATGAAGAAGAAGGTCGAGAACATTTTCAACACTTCACAAATTCGACAGTGCCAGGACAAGACCTAGCATAGCAAAACAAAATGATCGTGTAGCGACACAGAATCGCGAGACTTACATCTGCCTTCTGGACATCCTGGGGACTCCGTATCCATTCGACCTCCCATCCACACTTTTCGATGGCATTTACCAGTGAGCGGATATTGCCCGCAACATAGTCGAGCAGGTGGACTTTCGGCATTCTTTCCAAACCGCGGGGAGATAGTAGTTTGAGATTGGAATGGACAATGAAAAGGAATTATTGAAGGGGCGGTGGGTGGTGGTGGTGGATGATGGACGTTATGGCCTTGAAGCGGAATTGATAGAGCGCAATTTGTGATGCTGCGCGCGTAGGTCAGGGCAGATCCATGTCGTCTCCAGTTTCTGCTCAAGCACCTGCTCGTCAACTTTGGGGGAATTGCCGTCGACTAGGAGTCGGATCCAAGGGGTGGGTGTGAAGTTCTTGTTGAGATGGAAATGAAAAACTGGGAGAGAACTTTGCGGGCCGAATGCGGAAGTGAGTCATGGAATTCAATTGGCTGAAGACAACAAGAATGATACGTCGAAACTGACCAACTTTACAAGATATAAGGCTGTGGTCAGCAGCATGAAACTGGCGACTGGCCGCTGGGAAGCCAGATCCATGATTCAATAGTCACATTCACCGTTCCTCCAGCGCTATATCACAATGGCCGACTTGCCAGACACCAAGAGCCGTGAAAAATACGCCGTCATGCCCATCCAATCCCATATTGTACATGTTGGTATCGCATTTCTCGTCGTTTCTCGCATTCCGGCTGGGCTTCTGCTTTGCCATAGACCTTCATCTATTGCGTTGTAGCCCTGATAGCCTGCAACAAGAGCGCAAAGATCAAACCCCTAGCTACATTTTCCATCTGCAAACAGTCGAACACCTTTCCCAGTGCTTCTCCACTGGCGGCAGTGCCCATCACGCTCGTCAAGGCTTGTGGCATACCTCTCTCAATAAGCAACTTCCTCGCTTTTAGACGCAGCTGCTCCTTCTCCTCGGCTGTCAACTCTTTAGGCCAAGTCGCCCTCTCTTCTGCAGTTGGTAGAGTGTTATACCGCAGAGTGTTGATGTGGGTGGCTATTCCTTTGTCCGAGAAATTTGTCTCGAGAACGCTTTCCTGCAGTAGAACGCGAATCGAATCGAGTTGTGGATTGTTTGGACGGAGGAGGAACGTCTTGGCTGCCCCTAGCAGTGACAGGCGGATTGACCACGCACCCGAGAGGGAGTAAAGCTCAGTAAGAATGGCGAAGATAAGTTCAATCAGGATGCGCGTCTCTTCTTCCGACACGGGCATATCCTTCTTTGTTCGTTTCGAGGCAGTCTTGGCTGAGGCATTAGTCGCGGAGGGTAGAGAGCCTGACTCTTCCCGTTTTAATGATGGAGCAGGCGTTGATGGATTGGCCGTGATTGTATCTTGTCGGGATCGTGGCGGCGTCTCCGGCTTGGGAAGGGTTATAGGTTGGTAGTCGTCTGAGATGACACTTGGTGGCGGCGGCATCGATATGATCTCTTCTGATTGACGATCCGATTCATTCAGGCTGATTGGTGATTGAGGATTTTCCTCTTGATGTGCGACCGCCACACCGGGTCTTGCGGGCAATGGTGGTGGCTTGGGATCGGCACCGTCGGTGCTCTGTCGGGGCAGTTCCTGACTCAATCGCGAAACCGAAATGGACGATTGTCCCGTATGGTTTCTTGACGGCGTAGGTCTTGTTGAAATGAACCTTTTTGGCGCTCCCCCAACGCCCGTTGCCACGGCGCCAAAGACACCCTGCACGCCCCCCAAGACCGCCTTGCCCCCACCGGCAATGTTTTTTCCACCTTGTCCCAAAACATTGATGAAATTCTTGCCAACGTTTTCCAGGGCGGCACCCCCTTGGACCAGAACATTCTTGCTTTGGGAGGGCGCCTTTTGAAGGCCAGTTTCCTTGTCAAGAAATTTCTTCATAGCTTCTGTCTCGGCCAATGGTTCATATTTGACAACAAATCTCAGGAAGGCCTCCAAGCTTTGGGACAGTGTCGAGCTTGTCTGGCCTCTCCAAGTCGGCAGGTTCGGATACTTTTGCCCGAATTCTGGTACGCCTGTGATGCGGGCTATCGTGGTTAAAGTCTGATGAAGAGGCTCGAATTCTGTGTACTTGCGGGAGACCATCCAGCCAGGATAGCGATGTGATGCCGGTTCTATTTGCAGCAAATATTCATTGTTCGGTTTCTGTCGGAACGCAGTTCGTTCGTTAAGGTCGCCAAGGTCAAGAATGGTGATTGAGGCGTTGTGTAATGTCAGTGGAATCGCCAACATGGTCTCGACGGGGGCTGGAGCTGTCGATACAGGTGGTAGCACGTTCGGCACGGTCTCCACCAACTGATCAAAATTGGTGAAGGACTCCTGCTCTTTGCTCGGGCTTGGGGTTGACGAATGATAAGCATTGCCGTCATTGTCGAACACCAAGGATGTGTCCAAGGACTGTTCTCCCTGCCGATTCCGATCACTGTCCGAAGAGGTCGGTGTAACCATTCCGACATCATTGGTTGCGACTGAACTGGTTTCTTCTGGCTCGCTGGGGGCCACTCCGCGTTTTCGCCTGGCTTCATCCTCCGCAATCATCTCGTTTAGTCTTTGAGCTTCTCGCATAGCCTCTTCCATGGCTTCTTCAGCCCTGCTCATACGCCGGTTGTGATTTTGGCCGAGATCGGGGTTCTCCTTGGCGTGCGACACGGCCTCATTCATATCTTCTACCCCAGCATCGATAACGTTCATAAGTTCGGGCTCGCCATCCTGCAGCAGGTAAACAATCCAGCCGTTGATAAACTCGGGTTTCGAGCACATGTCAACGGTGGTTTCTAGAACGAGCCCGGCCAAAACCTCTCGAAGGAATGTTTTCACCGGAGGACAGTTGTAGGACTTTGGCTCAAGGAAGTTCTGTAAGACATCATCCGCCACGAGGTTGAGCTTTCGCTCTTGCTGTTCCCTATTCAGCACATTGGCTAAGTTGCTTTCTGGCCGAAATTTAAGATATGTCCTGACGGCGGTCTCCGCGTCCTGATTAGCCGATGCCTTGAGAGCAGTAGAGAGTTCATTCAAGAAGACAATAATAATGGAAGTCGAGTTGGCGAAGAAGTCTAGAACGGGATCGGCAGTTCGTTTGCGGGAGAGATGGTTAGAGAAGGAGAGAACGAAGCTGGTAAATGTCTGCCTGCACATGGTTGGGAAGGACTGGTCTTTGGGAAGCAGAGGACTGTACCACCATTTGACATAGTCTCGCATGACAGCATCGGTCAGGCTGGCGAGGGCAGCTCTGGTTTCAGGTTCGAAGTCGGAGTAGTCCAGCGTCTTCAGTTCAACCTTGGAGTCAGTAAGATTGTCGTCCTCCTCGTCCTTGGGCTTCTGTCTCCTTTCCCGCCAGTCCAGCACTCTCTGTGCGACTTCGATGCCCAGCTCTTTCCTTCTCCGGTTGATCTCTTTGTTCTCGTCATCCGACCTTCCACCATTCTGATTCTCCCAAGTGGCATGAAGAACGATGCCGCCAACGGCGCCGATGAGAACAAACCCAACTCTCCCTAGGACTAGATAGGTAGAGGCACATAGGCCGATAGCACAGGCTCCGAGGGTCTCATTGCTGGCACTTGCAAAGAATTTCAGCGTGGCATCGATCACGGTCGACGTTGTCAGCACTTTCGGGCGTAATGGTTGCGGCGCGGGCGCAAGATTCCATGCTGGATCTTGTTCGGAGGCCATGGGCTGCTCGACTTGGACACCGTCGCCCTGAGGCGCTTCGGCAGGGTGAGATGTTTCTTCCATGGGCGCAGCAATCTCTCATAGTTGTCGCTTCTGAGTACACCAGTGTGGGCAACAGGAACTTGTGGTTGTGCAGAGGACACTTTGAACCCGCATAAGCACGGCCCTTCGGGGCGCGTGTTGAGGACCTGCAGGTGGGTGTGGGTGAAATGAAGGGGGCGAGAGTGGCCTACCGGTTCAAGCCTCTCTACATGTGAGGCGCGTTTGTAGCATGCGGCTGGCGGACTGCGGAGGTCAAATCCCTGCAAATCCTTCTGATCCCTGTCGCCCATCCAAAATGTCAAAAAGTCTCCGCAGCATACAAAGAATTTTTGATTCGAGGGTTGAAGGTTCATAGTTTTTTTGGTCCCTGTTCTCTTCCCCGAAGTAGCGGTATCCAACGTATAAGTACTTAGAAGCAGTGCCTGTACCATGTCCGCCAAACTTTGCTCTAGCTGCCATGAGCCTCTACTCATCGAAGTCGAGCCCGACAGCGATGTTGAGGACAGCAAAGAGGCTGCCCAAATACAGAGCGTCCCTGACGACGTGGAACTGTCCTGTGGATGCCATTATCATTGGTATGTCTGTCTCAGAGCCTTAATATTACAATATCTCATTCGCAATTCCAGGGAATGTTTTCTAGAATCCTACACCATCACACAATGCCCGAACTGCGCCAAAGACGTCTCCTCTCTTTCTCCTAGTGGATCGCAACAGGTATTGGTCACTCTGCGGAATGAAGGTGGTGTTCAAGGGCGTTACGACATCCTCCCCGCAGCCACGGAAGAAGCATATCTGCGCGCATATCCCGAAGAGCGGAAAGGCCATGCCTACCTGGAATTCTGCCGCGAGGGCGACATCGATGCCATCATTCACATGATCAAGGACGAAGACGAGGACGAAGACGAAGACGACGGGGAGGCTGCTGATATACTGCGATACCATGGCACATTCGAGGGAATTGAAGGCTCGGGGTTACACGTCGCTATTCGGTATAACCAGCAAGAAGTGGCTTGGTTATTGTTGGCTCTCGGATCTCAACTCGACTGGGCCAAGTTTCCATCACTGGTTCTTCAAGCTATGCAAGGTTTTGGATTGCGCAAAGAGGACAGGAACGGTGAGCCAGATATCAGAACTCTGGTTGACAGTGATGGGCGAACACCCGCTGCATTGGCACAAGAGATCGGAGGCTTGTGGACAGAATGGCTTAATGAAGGCCGACTGATTCCCTGACTTGATTCCGAGTTGACTTGGTCTGTCGCACGCCATAATTCTCATACGGACCTGCCTATGTCATCGGTCGCGAGAGATCTAAAGCAATAGGCGTGATGTGTTTGTTCTGCGACATCCGAGTGAATCATAGCAGAATGGAGGAGTGTAACTGCATGATGCAAAGAAGACGCCGGGTTGATGAGGTGTCTTGTCGACTCACGAGCTCTTGTCCTGCTCCCGGTCTCGAAGAACGTATTTGGTATGAGTGCCATGAGCCACCACAGTCTTGTCTATCCCTTCGCCTTTGTATATGACGACTGTGGTGAAGCCCAGATTTCTTCCCACCTTGCTGACATTTCCCTCGATGGTCAAAACGTCGCCCAACTTTGCCGTCGAGACGTAGGAAACATGGATATCAGTACTCAATCCAGTCTTTTCGAGGCCGGTGCTGGCAATGGCCATTCCGCCTGCCCAGTCAACGATGGTAGCGGATACTGAGCCATGCAATCCACCTTTGGAATTGAGAAGGTTTGCGGAGACAGGGAGTCGAGCGACCATGGAGCCATCTGTAGCACTGACGAGTTCGATGTCCGAGAGGAAGAATTTGTAGACGGGTGAATTTTGAGAGACTCGTGCCCAGCATGCTTGGACGCTCTCGAAAGGTGTTTTGATAGAACCCATTTTGATAACGAGAGAAAGTGCACTTCGATCGTCGTTTCTGTAAGTTTTGCAGCTTGATAGGAAAAACAAAAGAAAGAGAGCGACAGGAAAAGGAATGGAGAGGGTAGTCAACAAGAGATTCGAGTTGAAACTCCGATCGCAGGTAAAAGGGATTTCGCCGCACACCGCCTTTTGCTCCAGAGCGGCAGAAAAAGTTCCTTGCTGCGTCTCCACAAATTGAAACTTGCAAGTTCAAGAAATTTTTGGGCCTCTCCACCTGGTACCTACGCATTCAATCCCCTACGCAGCACCATGGCCGAGTCCAAGAAGCGAAAAGCCGTGACCAGAGACGTCGATGAAGATGCCGCTGTGGTGTCTGGGGACGAATTCGACTTTGCACATCTAGATGGGACCCTTGCAGACGACGAATCTGTCAGTGGCAGTGACGAAGACGACCTGACCAGCGGCGCCGAAGATCAGAGCGATGCAGTGTCCGTAGGAACCGAAGAGCTGCCGTCGGAAGGTGATGAAGAGCTGTTGAAACCAAAGAAGAAAGGACAGGCAGAAGATACCAAAAAGGGGGACATCGGCGTCCAGAATGTGGCCTCTACACCCAAGGAAGAGAAGGAACACGATGCGCCCAATGAAGAACCCAACTACGAGATCGTCAAAGATGCGAACGGGAACGTCAGGTATATCTATCCCGAGATAGACCCTGGTGATGACTCGGATTATTCGGTCCCAGACAATGAAGCCAACACAATTGGCAATATTCCACTGTCCTTCTATGATTCTTACCCTCACATCGGCTACAACATCAACGGGAAGAAGATCATGAGGCCAGCTAGAGGAGAAGCCCTCGATGCACTCCTTGATAGCATCGAGGTTCCCAAAGGATGGACTGGTCTCACAGACCCCGCCACTGGGAAGCCCTTAGAACTCACTCAAGAAGAACTACAGCTGCTCAAGAAGATACAGATGAACGAGGTCGCCGCAGACGGATATGACCCATACGAACCTATGGTCGAATGGTTCAGCAGCAAAACTGAAGTAATGCCGCTGAGCTCTGCTCCAGAACCCAAGAGACGGTTTGTGCCGTCCAAGCACGAGGCAAAGCGAGTGATGAAACTTGTTCGTGCAATTCGAGAAGGTCGCATTTTGCCTTATAAACCGCCACAAGAGGAAGAGGAGGACGAGGGAATACAAAACTATGATATTTGGGCCGATGAACAACCCAGGCCGGACCATGCAATGCACATGCCTGCCCCGAAACTTCCACCTCCTGGATTTGATGAAAGCTACCATCCACCGCCGGAATACCTTCCAGACAAAACCGAGAGAGAGGCTTGGGAAAAGGCTGATGAAGAAGATCGAGAGAAAGATTACCTGCCAACGGATCATGCGTCGCTGCGGAAAGTACCAGGCTATGAACGATTCGTCAAGGAAAAGTTCGAGCGGTGTCTGGATCTGTATCTTGCACCGCGAGTACGCCGGACGAAGCTCAACATTGACCCCGATTCACTCTTGCCCAAACTACCGAGTCCAGATGAACTTAGACCATTCCCTACGCATGAGGCTGGCCGGTTTCATGGCCACAAAGGTCGTGTACGATCTCTGGCGATTGATCCATCTGGACAATATCTCGCCACTGGGGGTGATGATGGTACCGCGAGAGTCTGGACCCTATTTCCTCCGCGCGAGATCTGGTCTGCACAATTGACTTCGGAGGCCGGAGTCAATGTCGTTCGGTGGCGACCTGGAAAAGACGCGCCTATAATAGCTGCCTGTGCCGGAGATGATATTTATCTCTGCATCCCGCGTCTCGGCACAAACTTCAGCGCGGAAGCCGATGCTGCTCAAGCAATCCTGGACGCAGGATGGGGATACGCGGCATCGGAGGGGAGCACATCGAAGTCCATAGGTGTCAAATGGAGCCGACCGCCCTCTTCTCGACGGGACGATGGTGTTGCTCTAGTTATCCATCTTGGACATACCGCAAAGACCTTGTCCTTCCATTCCGGCGGCAACCACTTTGTTACGGTCTGTCCCGCCACCAGTGTTCCAGCATCCCAGGCCATCGCCATCCACACAATCTCTAAACACCACACACAACTACCCTTTGGAAAACGACTCAAGGGTGGCGGCACTCCACAAGCGGCGCACTTCCACCCAAACAAGCCAGTCCTCTTCGTTGCGAACCAGCGCGTGATCCGAGCCTACGACCTGTCCAAGCAGTCACTCCTCAAAATCATCCAGCCCGGCGCCCGCTGGATCTCAAGCTTCGACATCCACCCAACAAGCTCGTCAACAACGGGCTCTGACAATCTAATCGTCGGCTCCTACGACCGGCGCCTACTGTGGATGGACCTGGACCTTTCGCTGCGGCCGCACAAGACGCTGCGGTTCCACGAGAAGGCCATCCGGACCGTGCGCTTCCACCCATTGACAACCCGGTACCCGCTCTTCGCGGACGCCAGCGACGACGGCACCATCCAGGTCTTCCACGGCACGGTCACCAGCGACATGATGAGCCACGCGCAGATTGTGCCCCTGAAAGTCCTGCGCGGACACAAGATCACGGCTGGCCTCGGTGTTCTGGACCTGGACTGGCACCCGCAGCATCCGTGGCTCGTGAGTGCTGGCGGCGACGGGACTTGTCGGCTGTGGGTTTCCTGAAACAAACCATCTTTATTCTGTCGAGGGGCGCATGTACTGTATCTATCCAGGCACTTCACCAGATGTCTATGTAGACTCCTCGCGAACCAAGGGAAATAAAAACTCAAACTGCTATCTTTACACTCCGCTATTCCTCTAACAAGGGATGTGCCGTAGCATTACTATACTCCCTTGGGAAGGGCTACGACCTGTCTTCTCTCTCTTCTTTTTGGTCGTATGGCACCTTTTCAAGGAGACGAAATCCTCTTACCCTATCCGATCCTATCCTATCCCATGCCAGGGTTCTTCTACATATGAACATACGTACATACCGTTTCCCAGCTCTTATTTTAGGTACCTTCTTTTAGAAGGTTCACTATGTCGGCGATACACTCGGACGTCTCACTCCGTACGTCCAGTACTAACCTCGCAAGACTCAAGCGAGGGTCGAGTTATAAGTTGGCCTCTCATTAGGTGCCGGCACCAGCTGGGGTGGTTTTCAGGCAGAGGTATGCAACTTAGAGAGTCCAGCGGACCAGCTCAGAGTGAAACTCAACGGCTACAGTCTCTACGTTTAAATCATACCAGTGTCTCGTAGCTGATGGATCTTGATTCCATTGACAAGTTGTTGCCGGTCTATTCTATGATTTCTCATCATGGCTATTTCTTTTTGCTTCGGACACAGATTTCCCGCCGCTCTGATTTTCATACGGTCCTAATGCATGGGTTTCCGTGTGTGTCATCGTCCTGTCCTGGACCCTTTTTTGGCTTGCTTCGTGGTGCCGGCATCATCATGTCATGCGGAAAAAGTAGATGTATGCGAATTTCTTCATTTCATCCACGTCCACCGCCTTGACAACCTTCTCGTCATTGAAAAGGACCCACTGCTTTTCCTTGCCTTCTCCTGGGATCACCTTCCGAATGAATGCCACATAATGACCGGCGTGAATGCTGGCACCTTTATGGCAGACAATACTCTGGAGTTCAAACTTGGCGGGTAGCTGATCACTGCCGGGCAGCGCCTTTGGTTGACTGAGAGCGGCAGGCGCGTCTTCACTGAAACCTCCTTGGTCATCTGGGTGGCTGAAAACCCAGTCTAGAGCTCGGTTGACATCGCCATTGCATTCTCGTAAAGCTTTCCGCGCTTGTGGCACACTAATCCCCATATCCCCAAGCTGAGCAATCTTGTCAGCATCGTCGCCTGGACTACCACCACCGCCGCCGCCAAGATTTAAAGGTTCGTCGATATCGGGGTCATCCATATGCGAAAACAGCCAGTTCATGGCTGCCTCGGCGTCTGCGTTGCCTGTAGCGTGCAGTGCTTTTTCGCATCGTACTAAAGGAAAGCCCATTGACGCAAGTTGCTCGAGGGCGGCCTCATTCGGGACAAATGCGGCCAAAGACGATTTAGTCTCTCCCACGTTTGCATCTTCAGGCAATTCCTCTTCGCCGGGTTGCAATCCCTCAGATTTGTACATACTCAAGTCGAACGGTTCATCTGGCACCTGAACAGGGATATCGAGTTTGGTAGGCACCCAATTTATGATTTCGAAGCGAAGAGGATTAATTGCAAGATTGCGAGGGAACGTCTTGAACTTGGATGACTTCGAAAATCCATCCTTTGAGCCACAAGCAGGACAGGTCAATTCCACGGAAGTGGAAGCCGTGAAGATGTTTAGGCATTCCTTGAGTGAGACAGGCTCGAATTCGGCACCCTTTTCTGTATCTGCTGTTCCACTGTCACCGTTGACCACCGATTTCCTCCGGACTGGCACAGGAATGGAGATATTATCTTGCTCATCGGTCCTATATCGCACTCGCTTGCAGTTCAGGCACTGCAAGCGTTGCTCTAGGGCGAAGCGAAATGACTGAACAGGGTCTTCTGAAGGACGAGAGCCGTTGGAGATGTTGATAAGCTTGAAGAGATGGAGCAGCAATTCAAAAGCGTCTTGTTGTCTCATGGTCGAGAACTCCTCGTGCCCTCGTCCGATTAGATGTTTGAACATGGCAGGGGAGAGACCCTTCTGATGTGGCACTTCTGGGTTGTCAGGAGCGGCATGAACGTTGTTTTCGGGGCGCGAATAACGGCCGGAAAGTATACCGTCGGCGAGCTTCCGCAGTTGCGTCTCTAAGTCTTCGGCAGGGAGTTCAGTGGCTGGGGGTGGCTTTTCAGGGTGGTAATATCGCTGTTGAAAATCTGGTAATGCGAACAGACATTGGACAGTGCTTGCAAGGTAGCAACTGTTGCCGATATTCTTCAGACCTGTAAAACCCGGTCCGAAGAGTGGAGATAGCTCCTTACCATCCTCCGTTGTCATGGAGAAGTCCCATTTCAGATTCTGCTCGACCTGCATCTCCATCAGACTCTTTTCGGTTTTTTCCCGTTCAGCGATGTTGATGCCCCAGTGGGCAAGATGTTTGGCGAGCTCAGTGTCGACTCGTTCCTCATTACACTGGTAGCAATAGACATCGGCACTACCTTCTGGGGTGATGGAACCGAGCTTGACGGCTACAGCATGACCAGTCTCCGTTGCATGACCCAGACCGTGGGAGTTGCCACCAATGCCGCCAAACTGTGCACGACCACATCCCAGGTTGCCACATTCCAGGCAGAGCCACAAGTTCTCCTTCAAATCGCACATAGAACATGAGCCCAGGTTTTGTGATTCTATTTGTCGGCTAGGTTGTTGCTGTAGACAGAGTGTATGTTCACATGGCGTAAACTCTTGCTCCCATGCCTTGACTTCTTCCGACTTCGCAAAGGTCATGGCCTTCATGACTCCGTCCACAACTGAAGGAAGATTGCCCGAGTTCTTATTCACATCTTGTATTTGGCAGGCATAGCACTTGACTCTTGTGATGGTATCATATTTGTCCTCCTCTGTCTCGGCGGCGATGGCGAGTTTGGTAAGCTTTGGAGGGGGTTCGTCTCTTTGGATCTGTTTCCGGGCTCGTTTGATATTTAGCACCAGTGGGTGTTCTGTAGATAAGTAGTGCATCTGAGAGTGATTGCGATCACCAGCGCAACCACCATTGAAGCAATGTAGGCAGACGTCGAGGCCAGCTTCATCGTCTATGGAATCGAAACACTGGGTGCAGTCTTCGCGGTAGACACTCTGGTTGGGTCTTGGGGGGTGGAGTGTGTCTAAATGAGCATGCGGACACTCCATTATGGCTGTGGAGGAGAGAAGAGCGTATGCAAAGCAGGATACGAGGGTTGACAAAAGAAAAGGACGATGAAGTGGAAAGGTAAAAGGCACAAGAGCAGCCCGCATTTGAAGTGACAATGACGAGGCTGTGTCTACCTAGCCGCAAGGCTGACGTAGTACTCTATCGCACTAATTGGTCAGCGCCCGCAGTTGCTTATTGCCGTAAACTCCAGCCTAGTTTGAACCCAGACATCACCCCTCGATTTCAGTCCGCGTTACCAAACACCACAGGTTTAATGTTTCATATCCCACATATTGCTTCTTGAGAAGGTGAGTGATGCGATCCACGGTGGCCTTCTCGAGAATATGCTGCGAGGGTATTCCAAACTTGCTTCGTCGAGCAAATATTTGATCTCCTGATGGACTAAGTTGGGTGGCGCGCGATCCTGGACTGGGGCTCTGTCAACGCTGTTCAAGACATGCGCCATGGCCCTTTTGCAGAATGAAGAGTGAGTTGACCCAGTTGTATCTTCCTAACCCATCCGAAATCCATGGTCAGATCCCATGAACCCGAGATTCGCTGACCCAGAACCCCAGTTTTGCCATCTGGTATCTGCGCACATCCTTTCTAGCAAGTGCCAAAGATGGCACTGCAGAGCGACTCATCAATGTTAATTCATCAATCTTAAACACTCCTGGGTTTCGTGCGGCAGGCTGGTCGGCGGACCCTGTTCACCGGACATACTCTCCACCCATTCCGACGTCCATCAACAGCGAGTATCTCAAGGAAGGCGCCGATCTCCAGCAAATAAACTCTCAAGCTGATGAAGAGGACGAGGGTGGCCTCGTCACTGGCAGAACCAGCAACGACACCATTGGTCCTGGCTTGAACGTCAGACGGAGGAGAAAGAAGGAGCATGTCGAGGACGACGATAGTAGTGATCTCACCGACGAGTCAGACGAGGAAGTTGACGGTGGGCAACGGGCCGCACAGCAAATTCGCTTTGCAAAGATGCCCTCCCGTCATCGAGCCGACTCTTCTCCAATCCGGGGTTCAGATGTAGATGGGGGAAGGACGTCGCCGTTGAAAGCTCCTAACGACAGCCGACGCCGAACTGGATCTCTCGGTGCTGTTGAGGCTGTCAAAGCTCGTGCTAGGCGCGACACCACCACGAGCAGCGACATGTCCTCTGAAAACGAAGTCGATCCCGCCTACTTCCAGCGCCGTCAAGTCTATGCAGGCCAGAGGTCCAAATCTGCGCCCATCCCCAATGGTGGACAAGTAAGGATTGAAGCAGAGCACGGTCAACTAGGAGATGTGCAGGAGGACTCTGATGCTGAATCTGTTGGATCTGCAATGTCATCAGAGCTGGGCGACACCATGGACTCAGCATCCCTACTCAATACTATGGAAGACACGAATCTTACATCTACACCACCAACGCTCGGCAGTCTGACCGGCTCGGGGCCTCGTTCATCTCAACCGGAATCGCCAAGAAGACAGCGAACGTTGCCGATCTTGCATGAGCTACCACCTCCTCGACCTATTAGTATGATCCAGCCCAAGAGCTTACTTACTGAGGCCCTTGGTGCCCAGAAAAAGGGTCCAAGCAACCCTATACAGGCATTTGCTGGTCTCTCCGGCAAAGGTACCCCAAATCCACTCTGGATCAAGATATACACGCCTTTCGCCAATGACACCGATGAACCTTTTGAGATGCCGCTGGCTCGGATGTCTAAAGACGGCAGTCTGATCATTGTCGCTGAAGCGATCGGTCACGCTCTTTGGAGATACGGAGAGGAAAAGCGGGAGCCGGCTCTTACACCCGAACAGCTTGATGTCAACAAATGGACATTGCGAATGGTGGAAGATGGAGAGGTGGATGATGATTTCCCACCGCTCGTTCGTACGAGGCCTGTGACTGACTTCACCTACAACAACAACAGAGGCGGAAGAGGTCGTGCAAGAGATCGCCCATTCGATGACTTTGCGCTTGTGGAAGCTTCCCGTGCACAGTATGAAGCGAACAAGAAAGAAACCCCTCAGTTTATACCAGACGCTGCGGCGGAAGCTGGTCCTGTCATCACGCTAGATGGAGCCACACCACAATCTCAACCACCACCACCGCTTCCTGTGTCGAAAGCGCCACCATCGCGAACCAACATACTCCTGGCTGGACAGCCATTCACCTCGGCGCTAAGCAACACGTCCTTGACACCCGCAGATCTCCCTGCGCCAGCGGCACCGCAGGCCACACCACGCATGGGGGCGACGAAGACCATCAGGATACGGTATTTGAACCTCGAGATGACTGCGCAGACGATGACCATGGAGATCTCGACGGATGGCTACATTGCGGAGATCCTGGACCATGTCTGCAAGAGATGGAACCTGGAGAAAGCCGGCTTTGTCCTAAAAGTGGCCGGTACAAATACTGTGGCGCCACTAGATCGTACCGTAGAAGCCCTGGGCTCACGATCCGAGCTAGATCTAGTACGTCGGAGGTTTGGAGCTGGTGTTAGTTTGACGGGCTCACCAGGCAGTTCGTCGCCCAACGCACCCCTCTTGTTGGATATCCAAGGCCCCAAGAAGGGCAAGAGAGGCCAGCCCCTCCATCCCCTGGCACAGAAGCAGGACCTGTTGTCAACTGCCAGCAACTTCAAGAAATACTATGTCACGCGGAAACAGCTGGGTGGCTTTGCACAAGGGAGTCAGAGGGTGCTTGTGTTTGATGGCGACATCATTCATGTCATGCCGGCCGACACCAGTTCCCACGCCAAATTCAGCTCGATTGCATTCAACGATATCTTGAAGTGCAAGGTCAGCTCCAAGCACCCCAAGCTTGTTCGAATTGTGGTGCGGCGAATCAATGAATCGAAGCGATACGATTTTGAGGCGCGGACAGCTGGGGAGGCGCAGGAAATTGTCGACGAGGTAACGCGGGAGATGAGGCTGGCGCGGGCATGATGAAAGGGGACCTCTCTTGCTATTCACCTAAGTAGCCAGGAGAAACGTACACAGGACGCTATGCACCTATTCCTGTTCGAACGACGGCTTAAGTATAGAACGACTGCGTTGTCCTCGCCCAGAGATAGCAGCGTAGGCAGCCCGGGAAGCGTCGGCTGTGGTCGGCCTAGTAGCCTACGTCAGGAGGGGTTGTTCAGGGTTGTTCCAGCACTAGTGGACAGTGACATACGTGGCTGAGGGCGACGAGGCGAGTGGACGGTCGAGAAGAGCACTGAGGGGATCTACGGCTCTACAGCTACTTGACAAGCTACCTACCTCGCTATTTATGAGAGTAACTAGGCGATTGTTAGGCGGTCACTTTCCCCGCGTCCCTCAACACCCGCCTGTCGCTCCCTCCTGCTCCCTCCTGCTCCTGTTGCTCCTCTTGCTGCTACCAGCCCGGCATTGGCCCCTCCTCACTGGTGCCCTCATCGCCAATAATATCGTCAACCGCCCTGCGCTCTCTTTACCTAAACCACTCCTAGTGTCAAGCACGCTCGCAGAGCCCTCCTCCAGCGTCGCAGAGAGGGACACAGGAGAGTTCAGAGATCCCGTCTTTCAGCTTTCAGCGTTGCAGCTCCGCCCTGAGTTTTGACTTCTTGTCTGTGTGTGATACACAGCTTGTCACTCTAGCTCTATTGTCCTTCGCTCTTCCCTAAGAGAAAAGCAAAAAACGAGGGATACCGCTGCCATCTCAGTTCCGACTGACCTTGCTGTCGCGCTCGTCACCTTCCCTTTGGTCCTCAATTGGAGCTTATCGGTGTGCACTGCAGCTCCCCAGCGGTTCGCCCATTACCCGACCGAATAGTCGAGCAAACCGCGTGGATTGATCCTGGTCTCTATCTCGCCCTGCTGCGAGCTGCGAGCTGCGGCTGTTGCTACCCCTCCCCACCTCTCTCAGTACATTGCCCTCCCTCACCTAATTCCACGTTCCACGTTGTGACTCGGTGGACAGTCCAACAGACCTCCGAGCTCCCTTCCATCATCCTATTGTTAGCATTCCAGCCTTTGGGAACGTGCGCTTCCCTGCGTCACCCAAATGCCGACCTTTGGCGGTCTGCTCAAGAAAAAGAAGACCAAAGAGTCTTCTGACGACAAGTCCGCTCAATCAGGCGGCGGCAATTATCAGCCGATTCAATACAAGTCTTCACAAAAGACCGACACCTCATCGCCAGTCTCCTCCAAGATCACAGGCGCCTCCGATGCCCCCTCCCAGGCCACCACGGCTGTGACAACCACCTCCACTCCAGAGCCTCATGCCAAGTCGGTCGAAAGCAACGGCGGTGTCGACATGAACGCTGCCCCTGTCGCCAGCCCTACCGGGGGCGTGGTGGAATCCAAACCTGTGCAAAGACAAACAAAGGGCAAATACACCCTCGCAGACTTCGCCATTCAGAGGACGCTGGGAACGGGCTCGTTTGGGCGGGTGCACCTGGTGCAGTCAAAACACAATCAACGCTTCTATGCCATTAAAGTCCTGAAGAAGGCCCAAGTAGTCAAGATGAAGCAGATCGAGCATACCAATGACGAGAGGCGTATGCTGCAACGGGTCAAGCACCCTTTCCTCATCACTCTCTGGGGCACCTTCCAAGACTCCAAAAACCTGTACATGGTCATGGACTTTATTGAAGGCGGAGAGCTTTTCAGCCTCCTTCGAAAGTCTCAGGTAATGCTTTGCCCTTTGCTTGTCCAGCGTCACCTGACATTGACCTTCCGTGATAGCGCTTCCCCAATCCCGTAGCCAAGTTCTATGCCGCCGAAGTCACCTTGGCACTCGAATATTTGCACGGACAGAACATCATCTACCGCGACCTGAAGCCAGAAAACCTGCTATTAGACAGACATGGCCATGTCAAGATCACCGACTTTGGGTTTGCCAAAGAAGTGCCCGACATTACGTGGACTCTTTGCGGCACCCCCGACTACCTGGCTCCGGAAGTCGTGGCTTCAAAGGGGTACAATAAGTCGGTGGACTGGTAAGGGCGTCGCCACCGTGTTTGTAGTTCTCACACTGAGGCTTTCTAGGTGGTCCCTAGGGATCTTGATTTTCGAAATGCTGTGTGGCTTTACACCATTCTGGGATGGAGGTTCTCCCGTCAAGATTTATGAGAACATCCTGAAGGGAAGGGTCAAATATCCTCCCTACATCCATGCCGACGCTCAAGACCTTCTGGTTCAGCTGATCACAAGTGACTTGACCAAGCGACTAGGCAATTTGCATGGCGGTCCAGCAGACATCAAGAATCATCCGTGGTTTGCAGAGGTCACCTGGGAGAGGCTTTTGAAGAAAGATATTGACGCGCCGTACGTTCCACCTGTCAAGGGTGGAGCTGGTGATGCCAGTCAGTTCGACAAATATCCCGAGGAGACAGAAGAATATGGCAAGAAAGGAGAGGACCCGTATGACGCCTTGGTGACTCGCTTGTCTGAATGCCTTGGAGCTGACATGATCTACAGGTTCGGCCATTTCTTCGTGGACTTTTAATTCTTACATCGGCACGACGAAGCGCCGAAAGAGCACAGTAAGCAAAACTAGAGAGCACGAAGGAGTGGAAAGAGACATACAGACATTGGATCACCACAGCTTGCGGGATGACGGCGAGCTTGTCTTGGTCGATGACGCGTGAGCAACAACAAAAAGGTCCCCGGATTCGATTTGAACTGCAGCCGGAGCAGTTCTGGTATTCACGATTTTTTTTTTTTGATGACAGCGGGTCAGACCCTAATGGAGGCCACCTTGAAACTCTGGTGGTGAAGATGGTTTCTCTGGATTCTTCGGTTGCAGTATTTGGTGGGCCGCGGCGGTTGTGGTTGTGGTTGTGGTTGTGGTTGTTGTTGTCGCTGCTGTGTATAATGATTGCAACGACGATGCGGAAAGCTGGGATGTCCATTCACGATTCCAGAAGGGCGATGTGCAGTTTCGCACAAAGTGCTCAATGCACTGTATCGGGACAATATCGCGATGAATGGCCATGGGCTATGTATTTTGCATGCACCCGATTTGAGATGTTATCCCTCTGATGCCCACAAGCAAAGCAGTTGAGCCTTGGATGAGCCTGAGTTTTCATGCGGTAAATTCTATTTTTCTTCCTATCAATCCATCCGATCTTCCGCCGCCCTATGTTCGGTTGTCGGATCTGAGAAGGGAAGACTGGAAGTCCAACGTTTGACGGTCCACAACGGGGGATTCATCGCTGCCATATCACTATCCGATTTATAACCAGACTATTCCTTTTGTCTCTCCTGATACCTCTGAAACAATGACTAATGTACAGCAGAGCTTGAGATTGAGAAGTGCGCAGGGACTTATGGATGTCGAAATCAGATTAGTCGATCTCGAATAATAGGATCCCGACGGTGGCCGCCGATGGAGACTGATTAGAGGCGCGAGTCGTTGCAACATAATCGGTCAGAATATGTCTTTACAGTGAGGAGGAGCGTGGGTGTTTCCACAAAGGGGTACGAAGTTGGACTTCGTAAAGTATCAGTCGTAGGGTAGCCTGGGGGTTTGAAAGGATCTCAGGACTGTCCGCTCTGGCCCCCTTGTGCTCTGGTGTCTGGTATTCCGTCCAGCATGTCCAGAGAGACACCAGTGCACGGGAAGCAGGCAGTGTATCGGGCGTTGCGCGAAGACAGCTCAGCCTTGTGCCATTCGTTTTGTCCATCCACCTCGCTGTTGGCCCAAGCTTTGGGTTCAACAAGGTCTGAATGATCTGGTAATAGCTTCACAGATTCTGCTCATTTCATTTCCCCCTTTCCCCTTTAGAGGAAACCAGACACGCCCCGGCAGCGACCTCATCTAGTCGGGGGGCAGCTTAAAACAGCTCCTTGGCTCCTCCTGCGCTGGAGCCACCAATTCCACCGCCAAACGAGGCACTCTCCCTCCGCAGTCCCGCCGTGTACGCCCGACTCGTCACGTTCCATGCGTCAATGTACTTCTCCATACAGGCGGTCAGGCACTTCTGCTCCGCCGAGCTTAGGCTGCTGCCCGGGCTGGGGACGCATTTTTCAAAGCAGTTTATGTTGACGTTGGAGATTAGTTGCTTTGCGTTGGCGACGTTGGACTGTTCGATTATGGCAGCTTGGAGGCGCTGAAGTGTCATCCCCTGCGTCGGCGTCGTCGTTGTGGCGGCGGTAACGCTGGGGGATGTGAAGGAGGAGGACGATGACAGAGGATTTGTGACTGATGTAGATGAAGAGTCGGGAGACGTTGATGATGCGGCGGAAGAGTTGTCCTTGGACGAGCCGCCACCGAAAAAGCCTCCGAAGGCCATTGTGTTATGACAGTCTGATTATGTAGGTTCCTAGCCAGGAGGGAGCTTTGATCTTTGGAGGTCTTGAGTTGCGGGGAGCTCTGGAAAAATTGGAGGACTTGCTTGCTCGTTGTTTCCGTCAAGCAAAAACACATCGCAGACAATGTCCGTTCTGTTAGTTTGTTGTTGGGCTCATCAGGGCAGGTCTGCCGACAAGCCCATTGATTAGGGCCATAGGAGCCATCATGCCCGCCTATAACAATTGGTGGAGGTCATCAGTATTGGCAGGGGGCATCACCAAGCCGTTTGTGGTTCTCCACACGGCCCAATTCACTTGCGTCGAATAGTCTGGCGAAACTGAACACCTTTACGGTAGTTTGACGACTACCACTTCACTTTTCTGCGACCTTAAAGGGGTTTACGACACTTTCACGCACAGCTGTGTGTACCTTGCCATGAAGTCTCGGTGATATTTTCTTTTCTTACCGCTATCGCGAAATTTCTGAGCATTAGACAGCCTTTGTTCCCCATACAACATGTGGCCGTCCAATGTCTGGTCCTCATTATGGCTGCTGGCAGCATGCGCAGTTGGCACGCGAGCGGCCGTAGAGGCAGACCCAGAGATGAAGAGTGTCGCTGTAGGTCCTGGCATAAACGCATCTTCCACTGCTTCTGTCTGGCCCACTGGCTAATTTTCTCGTCAGCTGAGAACACACAGTCTCGCACCTCCGTACCTCGACTCGGACATGTCCAATCGATGGTTTGACTTTGGCGGCGACACAATCATCCGCGCCGACCAGTACATACGACTCGCCTCCGATATGCCCTCACAATCAGGCTGGATCTTCTCCCGAATACCGCTGACGGCGACGAACTGGGAAGTCGAATTCGAATTCGCGATCCATGGCAAGGGCCATTTACACGGAGACGGGTTTGCAATGTGGATCACAAAGGAGAGGGCGCAGCCTGGTCCTGTGTTCGGGCATGCGGATCGGTTTGAGGGGTTGGGGATTTTCTTCGACACCTACAAGAATAACAGACCCGGGGTTGTGTTCCCTTATGTGATGGGGATGATGGGAGATGGCAAGACTTCATACGATGCGGCGAATGACGGGAAGGCGAACGAAATTGGTGGTTGCTCGGTAAGAAATGACCATTTCAGCGGTGATATGGGGAGAAGATACGAGGATGATGAGGCTGACCAATGATCCCAACAGGCTCGTGGATTGCGCGCTGCTTCCATCCCCACCAAAGCAAAGTTGACCTATTTCCAAGACAAATCGCTCACGCTCCAGCTGCAGTACAAAGCGACCGATGCATGGATCGATTGCTTCTCCATTACTCCTACAGACCAGCAACCATTGAAGATGCCCAACACAGCATATCTAGGATTCAGCGCGCACACCGGTGAACTGTCCGACAACTTTGACATTATCAGCGTGGAAACACGGAATCTGTACAATCCAGTGGCGGCAAACTCTGGGAGAGACCGGGCGGCGCAGGCGCGGGCCAGTGGCAGAGGGAGGAGTCCTAAGCAACGGGGTGGTGGCTGGGGATGGTTCTTCTTCAAAGTGCTGCTGTTTGCCGGCGTGGCCGGTGGTGGGTATGTTGGATACAAGAAGTACAAGGAGAAGGAGCGGTATGAGGGGTTCAAGGGGTTTTAGCTATGTAGGGTCGGAGGAGTTTAGGGCGGCATGGGTAGGTCTTTTGACTCGTGCATGTACAATGATCAATTACTTCGAGAGATTATCCACAGCCTTGTTCGTCGGAAGTACATATCAGGCTGATACGCCAAGGCCGAGACTTGGCACGTGATGCCTGCACTAAAGTCAGAGTTCCCCACTAGTTTCACAAAAGGCGCTAATGGCATGGAACATGTGACCTATGACCTGCCCGCCGCGGCATTCAGAGCAAAAAGCAAACCCAACATGCCACAGCCAATCAGCGCCGCGCAACCATGCCTTGTTATGAGTGCGTGATTTCAAGCTCGTCTTTTGCCTGATTTTCACAGCGACCTTTTGGCAGTCTGAAATCAACCTTCGGATCCAGGATCAACGATCACCGCCAAGCCCCCAGTCCTGACCTGATCTTGCTGTCACTCCCCGTCAAGCCCGTCTCGCGCTGCCTTCCTGCCCTTTCGCTTATAATCCTCACTCCCTCCTACCAAATTTCTTCCCCTTTCTTCTTTTTCCCTCCCTTTTACCGCCCGCTTTTTAACCATCTTCTGCCACCACTTACTTGGGTTGTTCGTTCCACATTGATCAACCTCATCAACCAACCATCAATAAGTTATCAATTGCACACCTCTTCGTCTTCGTTACACTCTTGCAAACATGACTGGACGTAAGTTGACACCTCTGCATCGATTGATGAGATTATTTGGGTTGTCGCCGTCGCATCACCTTGTCGCTTCAAGCTGCACCCCCGAGTTGTTGCACGCCACCCCCCACCAACTGAACTAAGACATAGATGATTGCAACAACATCTCTCTTATAGCAACATAACTAACAGCATCTTCTATAGGCGGCAAAGGCGGAAAGGGACTCGGAAAGGGTGGTGCTAAGCGTCACCGAAAGATTCTTCGCGACAACATCCAAGGTATCACCAAGCCTGCCATCCGACGTCTCGCCCGTCGTGGCGGTGTCAAGCGTATCTCGGCCATGATATACGAAGAGACCCGTGGTGTTCTCAAGTCCTTCCTCGAGTCCGTCATTCGTGACGCTGTTACCTACACCGAACACGCGAAGAGAAAGACTGTCACTTCCCTCGGTAAGTCGAGACTGAGATCTATGCTGTATGTGACCGAGGACTAACCCAGAACACAGACGTTGTGTACGCCCTCAAGCGACAAGGCAGAACCCTCTACGGTTTCGGTGGTTAGACTTCCTACTGCGGTCGATACCTAGAATATCGCGGACGCAAGTGACATGGCAATGGGCTAAGGTGGTTATGGATGATGAAACAAGGCGCACGGGTCTGGCTGTATTACAAAACGATTGACGTTTGGGGGGTGTTTTTCTCTATTGGAAGGGGATAAAGAGAACTCTGTCTCCTGTTCGACAAGGACACAGCAATGCTCGAGGCGGATTTGGGATCCTTTCGAGGGAACCTCTTCCAGAAGACAAGTAGTCATCAATTGTAACACAATCGAACAATTGAGTTGATTGAAGTGGGAGTGATTTTCTGCAACATTGCCTTTCGCTTCCATTTTTCCTGATTCCGGGCGGTGATGTGTTCTGCTGACAGGGCGGCAACTGTCACGGCTTCAGCTCGTCCATGCATCTGTCTCATACGCATCCCAGTGTAACCCTCGCAACTCGTAACCATCACTCTCTGTAAGTTGGGAACGAAGAAACATTCACGGCGGCGAATGATTGAAATAGGCTCCCGGTGCAGAGTACCGAGTATTATACTCGGGATGGATTCTACTACGAGTATGAGGCAGCAGGGTTGGTGTAGCTGGAGAGTGTGGCTGAAGGCTGCCGAGTGGCGCCTAACCAAAGGCAGCCATCGTTTTGTTTCTAGGCCGCCAACAATCTCAGCAGGAATCCGAGCGGCGAGTGTGTGGCGAAAATTGGGCTGATGCGCCGAACCCCAGGCACCAGGATTTCCACCCTCCCGATATACTCGGATTCACCCCGCTCCAGCCCGCTCAGACTTCTCGGCTCTATGCATGATCAGTTCAACACTACTCCGTAACGACTTCAACTCTAGCCAGTACTCGAATGATGCATCACATTTAGCCTCCTCGCATACCATAGACTGGAACATGCGCCGCCCAAGCACTCGATAACTTCGATTTCTCTCTATCCGCCCGCCGACCGTCAGACCGACAAACTCGCACCATCACCATGTTTCAGCGGCGTGGCACCTATCTTCAGCGCCTGTCCAAGCTCTACTCGGATACCAAGCAGTCCTATGAGAGCGCCAAAGTCACTCCGGCCGCTGCAAATGTCACCGACCTGCCCGAGCTGAGGGACTTGAGGCGTGATTTTCAGATTCAGCAGGACAGGTTACTGGCATGGGGCATGCACTGGACCGACGTCGGCGCTCCCTATTCCGCCCAGGGCGATGTCGACATAGACAAGAAAATCGACCAGGCTGGTTTGGGCGAGGTGGTGGCCAGCGTCATGTCCGAGATTAAGAGACTTCTGGAGGAAAGCGGCCGGCTTGAGCATCCTGAACGGTACGAGATGAAGAAGTCGGCACGAGGCCCTGGTTCGAGTCCGGTGGCCCAGCGAAGGGATTGGACCAGTCACGAGGTCATGACTGGACGCGCTTTGCTTGAGCAGCTGACTACCTGCATCGACGTCCTCTACAGCCTCGAGGAATCAAGGAGGGCCGACGAGAAGGGTGGTGATGCCAAACGGATGAAGCATGCCCATGCGTCTCTTGCTGCCGATGGCACCGACTACGGTCCCCTTTATGACCACCCTCTGCACATCGACTTCAACAGTCTCGAGTTCAGCACGTACTCACCCCAAGCAGCTGATCCCCCACCGTATGATCCCGCCGAAGGCTCGGTGATATCAAGGGAGAGGTCGATCGCCTATTTTCGCCAGGCTGCCTGCCCCGTCCTCGTCGATTTTCTCAGGGCCGACTGTCCACCATATGTTGTCGGGAGCGCCGAGGATGTCTTCGAGCTCCATGAACTCGGCGAGAAGCTTTGCAAAGATCGATCTTTGTCCTGGTGTGGGCACCTGAGACTTCTCGGGTTCACTGTCGACCCCAATGGACCGCGTTGTGCGATGGTCTATGCTTTGCCTGAGGGACACGACCACAGAACTTTACAGCAACACCGGACTCTTGCATCCCTCTTGATCACAAGCAACAATCAAGAGGGGTCGTCGCCGGCCCTTGAAGACCGCTTCCGACTGGCATACAATCTCGCTTTGTCAATCATGGGCTATTTCGCCCAGGGCGAAACTCATCAGTACATCAACAGCAGCAACATCCTTCTAATCGGCAGCAGAGAACATATGCATCGCCCCCACCTGCCGAAAGAACTGAGATATCCCTATTTATTGCAGTCTTGCCAGGACTTCCTCTCACGCTTGCAAGCCGAGGAGTCATTCGCAGCAACCATCTACCGCCACCCTGACCACGACATTCATGCTTCTGAGGTGGTTCCTGCGTATGACATCTACAGCCTCGGTCTACTTCTGTTGGAGATTGGTTTGTGGATTCCACTCCAGAAACTGTGGAAACCAAAGTATGACCGCCGACTCTTCATGGAAAGAGTCCAGCGGATCTACGCACACAAGCTGGCTTCAAAGTGTGGAAGCAAGTACATGCGGGTGGTTCAAAAATGTTTGCAAGCGCCCACAGAATTGCAATACAGGAACAACTATGAGGATGCCGGAGCATTCCTGCTTCAGGTCGCCAAAGATCTGCTACAATGCTGCGCTCTTGATGAAGAAGGCCCACCCCCCATCTCTGACATCGAGATCTTCGAGCTCATCATCATCGAGCAAATGTGCAAAGCCGAAGCTAAAGCAGCCGAAGAGGAGAAGATGCCACCGAAACTCGCTGACGACATCAAGCCCGAACTCCCAAAAAGAGCGAACTCTAAGCGAAAAGCTGAAGCAATTCAGCATTCGATGCAGCTGGCGGAGAAGCCTCTGCGGAAATGGAGTGACGTGGATATTCCCCAAGAAGACTTGGACCAATGGAATACCATGGTGATGCCAAAGCTAGGCAAGATGTTGGAGACTGCTCTAAAGGATTCTCCCGAATCGTCCTGCAGCCTCAGCCTGATGATGTTCGGCAGTACCCCTGAGAATGCCAAGACCACCATTTGCATTCAATGCGCACAGATCAACAAGGTCCGTGACGTGCTGAGGAAGAAGTTTAGACCCAAGAAGGGATGGGGCGTTGTCCTCCTCAATGGCGAAGTCCGAAGAAGCGGCACTGGTAGACGGAGAAAGCCCAGGCGATCGGGGTATGGTTCCAGTTGTTCGAAATATAGAGGTCCCAAAGCCATGGCTCGAAGACCTCTGGAACAAAAGTATCAGGAACGACCCACTAGCGGTGCTAGCATTGGAGCCTTCAAGGATGCCGAACATCTGCCCCCTGTCTCCTTTGGAGGCACCATCCTGGTTGACGGCGAGCCCTACGGAATGACGGTGCACCATATGCTCGACCTTCCCAGCGATGACGAAGAGGATGAAGACGACGAAATTGATACCGTTCGGCGCAGCGAGCAGCAGCAACAACAGCCAGCACGAAGAGCTGCCGCACCACGCAAAATGCCTGGACAATTTGACACTTCAGCCGATGTACGTTTCATGCAATCAGAGGAAGACCTTTCGCGGTTTTCCGATCTTGCCATTTCTGACGAGGACTTTGAGAACAACAGTGATGATGACGATGACCAAAGCGACGCCAGCACCATCCGACCGGACTACGCCATCATGGACGCAGACGGCAACGAGTTCTGGTTCCTCGAAGACAGCCCTCCTGAACTCGATGACGACGACGGATCCGACGCGTCTTCGTCAGACGAAGCAGACGCAGACGACGCGGCCTCCATCGGCGACAAAACGGGCATCGCACCCTACTCTGATGACGACCTATGTGTGACTCAACCTGCCATCGACGATGTGGACGACGACTTCTTTCCTAGCGAGGAAGATCGCGACGATGACCACCTCGCGAGCCATGCGTTCGGATACGTCTTCGCGAGTAGCGGCATTCGACGCGTGGTAAGAGGGGAAATGAAGCATGAAGTTGACTGGGCGCTGATTCGGATCCATGAGGATCGCTTGAAGGTTGAGAATGCAATAACTTCGCAGCAGAAGGGTACAACCATTCCGCCAACGACATCCTCGCCACGACAAGGATCTAGGACTTCTCCCCAAAGGAGTGATCCAATCCCTGTCCTTACCACGATAACTCCCCTGTCTTCCCTCTCCGGGCTACGGGTACACTGCCGTGGTCGTTCATCCGGCTTCCGACGCGGACGCATCTCACAGGCCATGTCACTGGTGAAGATGCACGGCCGGCAATCCTTCTCTGTGAGTTGGTGTGTAGAAGGAGGCTTCGGTATCCCGGGAGACAGCGGTGCATGGGTGTATGATCCCATCTCGGGGGGCTTGTGCGGGCATGTCTTGGCATGGGGCGAGAAGAGCAAGACAGCGTATATTGCGCCTATGGAGGTGTTGTTTGAGGACATCAAGGGACGGCTTGGTGCCCGGTGCGTGGAGTTGCCAGTTCCTGAGGGGGTGAGGAGGAGGCAGGTGAGAGAGGACGAGGGCATTGGGATGGGCACGACGCATACAAGCGGTGGCGACCAGGACGATGTGGCTGCCAAGTTAAGGGACATGAGGCTTGACAGTAACACCAATGCCGCCGCCGCTGCGTCCGGGTCTGGCTCTACTTCTGCCCCTGGTGCACCAGGCGGAGCGGGCAAGACGAAGCAGGTCGTCGGCGTCCGGCCACTAGTCATGGCTGGCGCAGTCTCTTGATTGGCTTTTTGTCGTCGTTTCTATCATCCCTCGGTGTCATCTTCAGCCTATGCGTATACGAGCACAAAGTAGTACTTTTTAGGGAACTTTTCACTACTTGTGGTTGTTGCTTAGCGCAATTAAGAGTCCCAAGATACAAGTTAGGCGCCTCTCTTTCGGGTGCCCTACAGTTTTGAATGGGTTTCTCGGAATCTGCCGTCTCCTACTGCTGGTCTCCACTACCCAGACTATGGAGCATGATTTAATCAGCTATATAGGCGTTTTCAATCACGGCTTCACCTTTATATACAGTACACTCGAAATTTATTTGCGCCCCATAATTACGACTCATCCTGGCCGCGGCTAGGCTACAAAGGTCAAGCGGAACCTCTGTCCAAAGCCAATCGGAAGGAACTATATTCTGATCACATGTGTGATCTGACGGTACATAACAACTCACTACTCTTCCGAAAGCAGTGGCGCAGTAGCCTAAAAGCGGCATTAATCTATCCCAACTTTTCAGGCTGCACGTGATATTCAGCTGCTCACGCATGGAGGGGCAGCGGCCTTTAGCCTTATGGCAAAGAGCTTACGACTGACTACACCACCTGCTAACGTCTGTCCCTGCCATGCAAGCTACGCCACGCGCAACCTCGCGTACATCGCCTTCGACCAAGCAGTCTTTTCGTGATCAGGGTGTGGATGTCCTCAGAGCCATAGGAGCAAGACAGAGCCGCTAGTAGCATATATATACGGCTCCAAGCCCACTCCTATAGCTTCGTAGTCAACTTCGTTAACAATCCTACCTCTACCTTTACATAGTTGCTATTGGTTGTGTCATCTATCACTGGTGTTTATAGCTGTAAGTGGCTATACGTTCCCGGCTGTTCGTTCTAGTATACCCTTTCAGGTAAACCCTGAGTACTCGTGCCTGCACCTCATGTGCACCTGGGTCGGATACTCGTAACATGCGGATGGCTTTACAGCTCCATAAATGGGTTGGATAAGTTGTATTGCCGCTATTGGTGTTTTCTGCCACCGCTTTTTAGGGGGTAACGCAATCTGTCATGTACTGTAAAACCGTGCATGTGATGCGAGCATGCTTCCAGTTAATTGGCGGTGGAAAAGAAGTAACGCTTAACTTTATATAGCCTAGATATCAGACATTGTGGGCCTAAAAAGTGGGCCTAAATAATTTGTGTGTGTGTAAAGGTGAAGCCGCAATTGAAAAGGCCTATAATCTAGGCGTATGAACAGTCACATATCGCCAGTGCGAGTCGATGGTGCTCCTCTTATGTCCCATGCATAGGAGAGCAGGTCTTTGTTTTCCACAGAAGAGACGGGTGGCTTGGACCACGGTGGGCGATACCAGATCGCTAGTCGCAGCCTTACAGGCTATTAGAGCCACTCCGGCTCGTCCGAGCCAGGCATGCACGACCCGTGCTCAAAGTCGAAGACGACATCTTGATGGTCGCCGTCACCTGTCTTGACTCTCACGATCCTCCGCCAGTCAAGGTACCTGGCCATTTCGCCTGTCTTGCCGCCCCACCTGATCGGACCCGTAGTGAATCGCGCGGGATCCCAAAGCTGTCCTGGCCCATCCCCCTTGGCGACCGTGGTGGCCTGCATGGTGAGCTTCATCAGTTCGAAGATGTCCGTGTCGTGCCTTGGCTCGAACAGGGGGTACATTGTCCGCAGCGACGCCTGGGTATGTGGATCGTGGAGTCTGAGGGCGCGGATGTACCAGTTGTTGAACTGCGTGAGGGAGACGTTGACATTGTAGGAGCCGCCGTTGACGCTCCTTTGCAGGAGGGCCTGCATGATCGCGATGCCGCCCACTAGTCCAGTTCTATGTAAGCCGGCGGTGAGTCAAAGTGTCAGTCACTCCGTCATCAGGCGCATTTTCTCGCTAAGAAGATGCTGGAAGTGCGAACGAACTCACTGATAGTCGGAGTTGGGCAGTAGCGGCACAACGGGCTCGTTGAGGCCGAGGAACTTGCCCTGTTCCCAGGACGCACCGGATACCTATGCGGTTGATTGATCGCATCAGTATACTGAAAGTTTCAATAGAGACTTGACGAAAGGAAAAGGGAGTTGGGAATGCCAGTACACAGTCGCTGATCTGTTGATACCCGCACCGTGAGCTCCATTCGCCGACCCAGCCGTAGCAATTCTCCCTGCAATACACCATTCCCCTTCCTCTCCGCCTGGCCAGCTCCTGGGCCCATCTTGGACCGAATCCCAGTCTTTCCAGGACTCCGGGCCTGTAACCATCCACAACCACGTCGGCATCCTTGAGGAGGGTTTCGAAGCGGGCTTTCCCTTGGGCGGTCTTCAAGTTGAGGTTGGCATCCCGCTTGCCAAGCTGGCCATCGAAAAGGGCAAATGCAGCGTCGGGTTGAGTATTTGAAGAGATACGCAAGACATCTGCCCCCAACAGCGCCAGGACCCGCGTTATTGTGGGACCGGCAACAACTTTTGTAAGATCGAGCACTCTGATCCCTGCCAGTGGACCTTGTTGAGCTTCAGCTTTAGGCCATGCTACGGGTTGCAGTGTCTCGTGGACCTTGTAAATGTTATACAATGGCTCTTGAATGCTGCATCTGCCGTGCACCGTGGCCGCGAACTCATCGACAGTGAGGCAGGTCACACCTGGTTGTCGCCATCGCTCGTTGACCTCAACGTCCAGAGATGCGCTGTCCATGTTTGCAATTGCGGCTTTGTAGATGTCTTTGACCGCTCTCCGATGATCTGACCCTTGCAGGTCAAAGCGATGCTGCGGCAAATCGAGCATATCAAGGACCGGTGTGGTGTTGAGACTGCCATGCAGTTGAAAATAGCGGCCATCAGCTGTCTTGTAGCTGTGAGAAGTCCATCAGCACACGAACACACCTGAGTAATCAATGACCGCGTTTGCCCACATGTTTGTTGCCAGGCCCCTGTAAGTCTCTCTGATCATGCCTTTATCGATGTGAGCTGTTCGCGCTGTCATTTCACCATCTTCGAATCCAGACCCGCCAAGCTGAAATAACATCAAAGAGAACAGCATAAGAGTGGCACTGTACACATCCACTTCGATACTCCCCGGTTTGGGGGTGTTGTAGCGTTCTCGACAGATGGTATTTGCAAATAATCCAATACATGCCCACAACGCAGAGACGGACTCTGTCATCTTCATGGGGGTAGGCATAAATGGTTCAGTGTCTGGAGTGAAAATGACTCTTGACGCCTCTTCGGACACCACAGCGGGCATAGCGAAGTCCACATTTCTGATTAAATGGTCTATGAGGATGCGTTTTGCTTCTTTTGCAACCGAGGAATGTGATTCGCCATTTGCTTGGAGAGCGGAATCGTCGTTTGTGTTGATGTTCAACATGATGATGGCTGGAGCTCATATGCCAAAAATTTAACGACAGAGGATTGAGATTGATGCGAGAAGATGCTCACTAACACTCCACTTGAATCAATGAAGCAGCGAGTCATCAGAGTATTATATTGATCGGAAGGCCGACTGAGATCAACAGACCGATTTCTGGCGGGAGAATTCCCCTAACAGGGTATCGGCATCGAAGCAGAAGCCATGGTGATGCTGGTCGTCAGAACCATCGGGCCCTCAATGGCAGAGACCAAAAGCTCTCAGGGTTTGGCATGGTGCACCAGAACAAGAGATGGTTCGTTGGCATTCTGTCAATGCTAGTATTTCGTGCAGTGCTAGACCAGGTGGTTGATCGCCAATGGACTCCTGTCTGTTCGGTACCTACGACCGAAGCATCTCGGAGCCGTTCACGTGACTATCACGTGAGCGGGTCTGAAGAGCTCAAGAAAAAGGGGGAGCGTCACGTCCGAGATCTCTTCAATATCTTCTACAACCGTATCTAGACACGCGCAAGACTTGCCCATCAAACACCACCAGGAATGCTTCGCTGGCTAACACGCCGAGGATCCCCTAGTGTCCTGGTAGCCGCCACAGGTCTAGGTCCCGAGCTGCCCGTGTATGGGATTGAATCCTGGGTCATGCCCTGCGATGGCGAACCGCGAGCTTTGAAAGCGCAATCTGCCTTTCTCGGGCCCTTCGCTCAAGCTCGGCATGAGCACGCAAAAATATATCACCGGTTTTCCGGTCTCCCTTGAAGCTGAATCTCCTCTGTCTCTTGTTTTTGCACCCGCCTGTGCTAGTGGTCTGCTCTGTATAAAAGGGGGATTGGTTCTCGTGCCCCGTCGCCTTCTTGACAACCAAAGAAAGGTAGTGATCAGTTTGTCTTTTATCCAGACCATTTCATGAGTACATCACTATGTGGCAACCAAATATTCTCGGCATCAAAAGTCTGCGTGGAAACACACTGGTCACGGCTTACATGGTTTGCTGCGGCATTGCATTTATGATGTTCGGATATGATCAGGCTGTCGTCGGAGCTCTGTCAAACAATCCCTCGCTTCTCCATCACATGGGAGTAATCACTCATCTGCTTCTTCTGTCATAGCTCATGGCTAACCCATCAATAGACGACCGACCCTCTTATTGTTGGGTGCATAGTGGCTATCTTTTCCGTCGGTGCGATATTTGGCAGTGCTGTAACAATGCTAATTGGCTATCGTACCGGCCGACGTTGGCTTATTTGTCGGTGCTAAACAACTTCTTCCATTGCAATCGAGCTCGAAACGGACTGAACTGACATGGCCAGCCTCATAGTCATCGGCTGTTTATTCCTCGTCATTGGTGCTGCCTTGCAAGCCGCGTCCTTCAGCCTCGCCCAGATGATCGCCGGCCGATTGATTGCAGGCTTTGGCGTTGGCTTCGTAAGCTGCGCCATTCCACTGCTCGCCTCAGAGATTGCGAAACCCAACAGACGCGGTATTTTGATTGCTGCACTCTTCACGCTTGCAGTAGTAAGTGCAATGGTGAGGTGTTCCAACGACGTTTGCTGACATGTATACATCTCGGTATCGTCGTGGCGGACTGGATGGTTTTTGGCTTGCTTTCGCACTCCACAAATCACGAATTTATATGGCGCCTCCCTGTTGCTTTCCAAGGCCTTTTTGGTACATTTACCGCGGTATGGGTTTCCTATCCGTAACCAGCTCGCCTTGCAGAGATGTGCTAAGTCCCAAACTCAGGCGACCATCTTCTTGCTCCCTGAATCACCGCGATGGCTGTATGCTCGGGGCTATGTCGAAGCGGCGAACAATGTCTTGGCTCGTGTTTATGACCAGACGGAGCATTCAGAGCTGGTACAAGCAACCTACGCCGCACTCAAAAGCCGAGGTTGACGACGAAGAAAAACGCGAAGAGAAGGGCTTTCGGCTCTTTACTCAATGCATCAAGGCCATGTTCTGGGACACGACCGACCTCAAGCTCGGCAGGCGATTACGTCTGTGCTTTTTGATTATGATGCTGCAGGAAATGAGCGGCTTGAACGTGGTACGTCTTTGCTTCATCACCCGCTGTCTTTTCACCCTGCTCCATACCAGGGACTAACAGAAAGTGAGATCGTTCCGTATACAAACAATCTGTTTGAGATCGACCTGAAGTTCGACGCGCTAAAGTCCACCATGATTGCTTCCATCATTCAAGTCGCGTGGGCCGCTTTCACCACCTGCGGAATGCTTACCATAGAACGATGGGGACGCCGACCGACACTGATGATTGGCACCACGATTTGCACTCTCGGGTCTGTGATATCCCGCGCTATTTCAACTGTTTTGCAAAACGGGAAGGGCAAATCACTGACTCGCACTCCGCTGTACCATGACAGGATTTACCATCTCCATTGCGATCGGCAGTGAGAGTGCCGGCTGGGCAGGGATGGTCATGTTGATCGTCTTTTTCTTTGGCTTCGCCTTCGGCATGCTGCCCATGAGCTGGCTGTATCCTTCCGAGATTCTGCCACTGCACATGCGGCACGTCGGACTGGGCGTCGCGGGCGTCACGACTTGGCTCTTCACGTTCCTCACTGTCTTCACGGGTCCAATATCTTTCACCGCTACTGGGTACAAGATCTTCATTCTCTACATCATCTTCAATGCGCTTGCATTTCCCTATGGTAAGTGCCCTCCTACTGGAGTCGAGTGACGAACACCAACACCGAGACTAATTTTCTTTCCATCTTCAGCGTACTTTCTGATGGTGGAGACAAAGGATAAGACTTTGGAGGAAGTGAACCTCGCCTTCAGTCCGGTCGCCGCTGCCAGCATCCTCGGGCCCCAGGTGATGGCCGGGACGCATGATGAGCATGATGAGAAGGCTCAGATGAGCGGCCAAGTCGTCGAGAAAGAATGGTGAAGCGATATTGTGGCATGGTGATGAGGAAGTGGGAGTGGCTCATCGTTCATTCTCTCCCTACCGGGTGTGTAACGACGCCCTTTCTCTTGATTCAAAACCAGTCGACCAAGCCAATGGATTTGGAAGACTACTATGCAAGTGTCGCAAGACGACATCTTCTATGTGGGTCCTGACTTTGGTCAAGGAACTTCCCCATCTGCCACTTATCGCGTTCAGCTTGGCGCAGGGAATCTTGATTGATTCACTCCGTAGAAAAGCAGTCCTAATTTTTGCCGTTAGTTGTTTGTGTTCTGTGTAAATGGCCCAAAATAAATTGTCTATGGGAACCCTTCACATACCTCAAATGCCCAATCTTGCATAGTGGAAGTAAAATCGATCTCGGACAGATCAAACCAGGCAAAGTCGTCGGAAGCAGGACGGTGGTGATTCTCATGGCGCTCGATGGTCTTTTTGACCAAGGACGGATCGTCCCCTGCAAGGTCGAGCTGCCTGACGGTTTCCTCTTCGAACATCTCGTGAGAAACCGGGTTGCCACACGGAGAAGAAAGTGGCGCTGTCAGATGGGCTGAGGTGTCCGCCCGTCGGTGTCTGACGACCAAGTCGGTTTCGGAATAGGCTCGGTGCAGACCGTCGAGGGATTCGGCTGCGGTGTATGAAACTTGGGTCAGGACCTCGAGGCCGGTGAACAAGGAGGAGGCCATGATCTCCGCGGCGTGCCTGGACACCGACATGGTTCTGAACAAAGTTAGGACGGAGTATGCTGCTCTCGTCAGCGCGTTTCTTGTGTGCTCCGGATATGGGTCTTTGAAAATGAGATTGGCGCCGTCATCGCTGTTGTAGGATTCGGGTGGCAGCAACATCATATTGATGATGCTCACAACCGTGCGTGTAGATGAGAGCCTACACTCGCCAATGTCAATGTGCTGACTGGGAACCTGCACACCTGACTGTGCCTCCAAGGTGTCAACCAGAATAAGCACACCCAGGTGAAAATGCAGGCTCAGGATCACTGTTGAGGAAACGTCAATAGCTAAAGTGTAGAAGCAGAATTAACGCTTACGGTAGCTGATGCGCGACTTTTCCGACAGGAAAACGTGGTCCCTTGCGCATTTATCGAGAAAGGGCCCAAAAACACGTTCGAAGCGGCTCATCTCTTGCACTACACTCTCCGTCAGGGTTTCCAGCTGAAGCTCGATAGAGCGATAGACAAGACAATCCTGGACTCGGGAGACCACCTTCCAGAAAAGAGTCTTGCATGAGGATCCGTACTGGATCATGGCAAAGACGGCCTCATCGGTCAAAATCGCCTTCGATGACTGCATGGGTCGATAAATTGTGTCAAAGGCCTCAGATTGCTTTCTCACGGGTTCCCACACTTGCGGCTCGCCGCAAAATCCAGGGAGTAAGACCGAAGGTCGGCATCTTGTCAGCGCCCGAGAACCATCGATTACGATTCCAAACCAATAGGCCGTGTCCTGCAAGTGGATATATTCTTCTTGGGCCTTGGTCTCAGCGGGTGCATTGTCCGTTGGGTCATATGGCTGTTGGCGCGCTGTCAAAGGGAATCTCGTGGCAATGGAGACTTTTGCTCTCAGATGGACATAGTGGCGGAGTGCACTCTCGAAACAATAATCAGATATCCGCTTGTCCTTGTTTTTGGACGAGAACGGCGTAGTGCCGAAGAGATACAGAGCAAGAATCGACCGATAGCTGGGCCTGGTAAGTACGCGAGCCACATCCTGATGCGCTCGTGACCAAATACTCTCCACAAAATACTCCTTCATCGCATTCGACTCTTGCGGATTGGTTTCAGCGCCCTTACCGAAATATCCGGTTGGAAGCCATCGAGCCGAGAATGCGTGCACAGCACTTATGAGAGCTTGATTGATGAGGGCGTCTTGTTCCGAATCGTCTTCGGCATCCAATGATATGTCGGGAAATCCAAGTCTCTGTTTTGTTTGTTTGTCAAGGGGTGTCGCGGGGAAGTTGTCCAGTGTCACCATCAGTCTTGAGACCAATGTGTTGGGGGCCTGCGTCCATCAGCGCACATTTTCGGCTCAGGAAAGATCCCTACAGTGTCAATCCCCTTGAAGGGATTACAGAAGGTTCCAATCCACAGGCCTAGTTGAGGCTCGAATAGAGTGGTGAAGATGTCCCACAGCATATGATGCAGCGTCATCGCTTGCTGTCTCCGAGCGGCAACATGTTCGCGGGAATGCAAGATGCTTGTGGAGGTGGATGTCGAATGTGCGAGATTTCGCCTTCTGTCACCTGTTGAGGCTTCTTTCGCGGGTCTCCTCAGACGCCGACGTTCAGACCGACTACTACTGGTCCCTTGGTCGATCCACTACATCTGTCACACACATATTCCACGATATACGCCAGGTGAAAATACTTACGTCGAAGCTGCAAAATTTTGCTCGGCGTATGCAGTTGGTACATGAGCTCTCGCAGATGGCAGCATCACACCCAATCCGAGATTTTCTGCAAGGGTCACAGCTGGTGAATTGTCTGCGACGCGCCATCCCGTTATTAGACAACTGCAGCACTGTGTCCATGTCCATTCCAAGGATCCGGAACTGGCTGTGCATCATGATCACAGAAAAGAAATCGAGGAAGAGGGTCGAGGCCGCAAGGGGCTTCAGCCTCGGCTGAGGTTAGTCAGCCAAGTCTGTTATCGGAGCCGATCACGTGAGACTTCAGGTCTACCACTTCTGGGGAGTATTGTCGGAGATAATCTAGAACAGGAGTCGGAATGACAAGGTCTACGACAGTCAGAGCGCAGACAGACGCAATTCCGGGCTCGCGATGGACGATGGTGTCGGAGATAAAATGTCCAACATGGGTAAACGAATACATCATGGAACAAAAGCACGTCACACCGCCGTCCGCAACTGACCATGGACTCCATGTATCTGTGCTCCGGGTATCAAAGACTAGCAAGTCTGCTCTTCAGAGATCACCCTACTAGTACATTCACCATCGCGTGTGTCGGTACCTGTAGCCACGCAGCAGCCAAACGTCCACCGCTACACAGTCGCAGAAGCATTCCCGCACCATGCCACGCATCTTTTTCATTACCGGCACTTCCTCCGGCTTCGGGCATTATTATGCCCAAGAGGTCCTCGATCGCGGAGACTATGTCGTGGCCACCGCACGAAACCGGTCGCAGCTCCGATTCGAGGGCGCGAACGAAGACAATTCTCTCGTGGTCCGACTGGACGTGACGGACAAAGAGAGCATTCAGAAGGCGTTTGAACAAGGACTCGAGAAATTTGGCCGCATCGATGTTGTCGTCAACAACGCCGGCTATGGACTTGCAGGGTGCTTTGAAGAGTACAACGACGCTCAAATCAGACAGCAAATGGACATCAACTTCTTCGGGGTGCTCGATGTTACTCGCGCCGCTATGGAGACGATGCGTACCGGCCAGAGTCCACCCGGTGGTCTAATCCAACAAGTTACCAGCATCGCAGGCCAGATAGGGGTTCCTTTGTTCAGTGTCTACTGCGCTAGTAAATGGGCTGTTGAAGGATTCACTGAGGCTGTCAGTCAAGAGGTGAAGCCTGAGTGGGGAGTAAAATTCACGGTGATCGAGCCGGGTGGGTTCAGGTACGTGTTTTCAGCACCTTTTCTATCGCAGCAACTTATACAATAGTAAAGTCAATAACAGCTCTCCAGAACCGATTGGGCAGGCCGCAGCATGGTATTTGCCAACCGTCACCCTTCATATGACCGTACGTCGACCCACTTCTTAAAGCATAGCTTCTCTCTCCTCCCTTTGACATTTCTATTTTCACTGTATCCGCTATGCTCTCCGCATTCATCAGTCAATTCTGTGCTGTAGATGTGACCATGGAAACAGTCTTATATCTGCCCTCGTTCCCCTGCCTGTCATTTATTTGAGGGGGGGACAGGAGAGCTTCCACCACAATGGATCTGAATGATTCACTCTTGCATGCGATACGTCCTTGCCTGGAACAAAGCTTGTCGCTGACCGAATCCACTTTTCACCCTCTAGATCTCGACGCCGCCGATCGCATGGGAAAACGCCACATGACACAAGCCGGGGACCCCATCAAAGGCGCGAAAGCAATGTACGAGCTGGCGATTTTGGAAAACCCACCATTGCGCGTGATTCTGGGCTCGGACGCCTATGCAGCTGTCACGAACAAGTTAAAGCAGAATGAGCAGAACTGTCAGAAGTTCGAGAAGCTGAGTAACAGCACGAATGTGGAGGTGGAGGGGGTGTCGCAGGAAATAGGAATATCGAGTTAGGGACAGAAGGACGGGCAATCAACGTCGTGTCTTCATTTCATAAGATTCTGATCTTGCAGGTGAGGGAATGTGGCATGTCCTGTGGCGGGCTGTGGTTCTATCGAGTACTATGCGTCTATCTGAATCAAGAGAAGAGAAGAGAGTCGAGGAGTCGAGGAGTAGAGTAGTCGAGCGAACAGGTGTCTCTAGGCTAGTCTTGGTAATGGTCTAGCGAAAAGTGTTATGCGACACTTCGTATGTGGCTCACCATTCGAGAGTTTCAGTGTGATACTCCATGAATTATGGAGTACGAGGTGCTTGCATACTAACAAATAAACTTGGAAGTACCGGAAGCAGTCACTTGTAGGCAGCTACGACGTCTTGGTACGTCTCGTTACTTTACGCTGTTCAAGTGGAAGGAATAACAATTCTGTCTTAGAGACGCCTTGGTTATCCCTCAGGTATGTCACTGTTGAGAGTGCTGCTTCAGGTTCATACCGTTCTTGACCGTTGGACGCCCACGCCAACGACAACAGTTTCATCTAGTGGCACTGACACAGCGGAAGATGCTGCTGCTGTCTTTCTTTCCACCTTTGCTTGAAGGTCCGTATTAGCCTCGCTCCTGATAATCGTCACTCTTTCGTGCATGAAAGCTTTTCTAATCGACTGATCGGTTGTAGCCTTATCCAAGATTTGGTTTGCTCTCCGGATGGCCCAAGGTTCAGCTGTGCCTTGAGACGTGTCTACAAGTTGAGTTTTGGTTGCGAAATCGATTAATGGATATGAGGAGAGCTCTGGGAGATACGCGCCTGTTGTCCACAGCCAGATCAGAACAGCCCACACAATGCCTAGGACCAGTGCCTGCAGAGCGCAAAACACTATGAACATTGGACTGCTCCAAGTTAGCTATATTACAATGAAGCAGAGGGGCCATACCGATCGACGGCTATTTTTGCATAAGGAGCCCCAATCGAGGCTTCCGTGTAAAACTCAGGTGGCAGTCCGGCCACAATGTTTCTCGCTTCCAGCTGAACGTTTCCAAAGTTATTGAAATTAAACAGCCAAAACGGGAAGGCTAGAATACTGTGGAAGGTCTGATACGGCTCAATAGACCAATATTCACTTTCCAACTGGTCCTGAACTGTCCAGAAGTACTGCGCAATGGAAGCGGGGGCAGGGATTCCTGCCGCGCTGAAATTAAAGAGCCATGCAAAAGCATTTTTGAGCCCTTCAACATCAAGATCTGTGTCTTGCACAGGATCGGTGACCTTGTCGATGGAGAGAATCGAGAAGTTGGATCTCGCGGTTGTTACCGAGGCAAGACGACGGTGGATCGAGAAGGTTGTGGTGACCTCCGGCGGTTTCGGTTCTGTCCAGCATTCATTCTCGACTATTCCTTGAGTGCAAACAAAAATGCCTGAGAAGATCAGCATATACACGGTGAGAACATTGTCTCGGCCTACCCGCGAATAATGAGCCCACCGCCGACTGGCTCCGTGCGAGGCAGAATTTGATGCCGATCAGAAACCCTGGTTGACCAAACACCTGGCAATCCTTAGAATCGATAAATGTGTCATTGCGTATCCCTCGGACAAAGTCGATCTGTAGTGAGGGAACGCCTGGAATTGTCACAACTGGATACAACGGATAATTTGTTGGTGGCCAGGGCGTTGTCATGATCAAACCGCCCGATATCAGGTATGCATTGCAGACCATGCCATCTTCACACGTCACTGGATCTATGGTTGTTGCATGCATCGGGTTGACAACCAGGTTTGACGCTGTGGCCACGATTGAATATGGCAACACGACGAATTCGTAGCCAGTGTTGGTTTGCTGGTATTGCTGCAGATATTCGGGTATGTATGATCCATTGAACTGGCCAACACCGGCCGTGACGTTATAAGTGCTTACGGAGTCATATACCACCTTTAGTTGCGTCCGTGCGAACAATACGACCCCGGAGATCCAAACCGCACTCGACAGCCCGATTCTCGTACTTGCAGCCAATCGATCCTTCCAGGAACCGTGTTTGCTGAAGGCAAGACCGATTGTTCCAAGAATCCCCGTCGTTGGCGAAAGTCCGAGCAAGCACAGTGCATCAACACCGTCCCTCCTGCTAGACAGAGACCATTGTAGTAATTCGCATGCTCTCAACATCACGGCGGAAGTGCAGACGGAGAGCACTCCTTCCAGGAACCTGAGGATCGTTAGGGTGTTTGATATGTCAATGTGCAGGAAGTTCATGGTATTTGATCTGCTCCGGAATATTCTGTCAGTCCTCGAAAAAGGGAATGAAAAATTTTACAGTAACAACAACAAGAATGCCATACCTAAGGCTCGTCATTGTCGACACTGAGAAGGTTGCTTGTGCAAACCATGCTGTGAGCGCAAATATTGCCGTTGTGATTACGATGAGGACAATATCCCACTTTGTCCGATAGAGGACAAGCAATGTTGGGTTCACGGAGCGCGCTGACAAAGGTGCCGAGTTCCCTGTGGTTGAACCTGTTCGATGCGGCCCGTCATGATTGAATGTACCGACAGCTGTCTCTGAAGATGACGCTTCAGCCGTGTGCTCCTCTGTTCTCGTGTGGCTTTCTGTACGGTCACGCCCAAGGAGATTCGCTCCTCTCGCCACCAAGGTGGCTTGATGATCACTGCGTAGATGCGACATCCAAGTCGAACTGCGATGACCAATACTGGGAGTGATTGAAAGCAGAGGATACTAATTGTTCGCCCGAGACGGACTGGCAGTCAGTCATGAGACAAAATCGCACTCTAGTGTGGATATCGTGAAGTCTGCTATAGCAGCCATAGCACATTATGGAAATGTCCAGATAGCCGTCCATTATGAAGGCAAACATTGATGATGCAGGGGGATGAGGCTGAGGGATGGAGTGTTAGGCTCTACGTGCAGTGAGCCTTACCAATTCCTGGCGTGCAATTTGCGCATTGAAAGGCAGCAATGCACCTCTCCTGGAGGAGATGATTCCAGTTGGCGCATCTAAGTATTGGGACAGCTAGTTTTCTGCAGCCCAATTACATCGCCCGCATTCTCCCCTTTCAGTCAATAGAGCACCGCAAAGCACCGTTCAGTGGAGATTGCTGTTGACATTTGCCAAGGCTCTCGGCGCTCGGTTTAACCCGCGACCCGCTCAAGGGTTCCGAAAATGGCCTAGTGGGGGTGAGTCCAATATGATGGCGAAAGAAGCCACAGCAACTATCTACCCTCGCTACCTCCTGGAGCTCGTGTTTGCGATATTTTCGGTATTTACGAAAATCCATGCTCCCCTTCTGGAATCTTGCACAGCCCCTTCTGGAGGTCATGAGATTCCGGCAACAGGGCAAGTTAAGACGTGGAAAAGACTGGAGATGCTGCGCAGAGATGACCGGAGGGATCTCAGCCTTATATTCGAATGGAATCCGCGTATCTGGCATCTTTCAGAGACTTGCAGGTAGTCTTTGGTCTATCCACTTCTGCTCCCTTGACTCCCGTTTCCTACGCCACTGTGTCAACAAAAGATGAGGAGCTCGAGATGTTCTCTTGCTCATGCAGTATTGTTGCTGTGTGGGCTATCGTCTCATTATGGTCAGTGACATTGGACGCAAGCGGATCCGGTCTAGGCTCTAGCTAATGTCGGAACAGTAACCGGCCAATCGTGCCAAGCAGATTGTACAGCGACAGTTGGCAATATGTACCAGCTTATATGGACCCCACGAGCCTTCGACACCACAATAGTTGCCGCTACTGTTGTCCAAGTCATCAATACCGACCTGGACACTACCAAAACTTCCACTGTCTTCAATAAACTACCGGCCGGCTATACCATTCCCACAAACACCAACGCCAAGGGTACACAGACTGTGGAAGTGACATATTGGAGCACTGGTAAAATGCACACCACCGATATGTATGTCCTTGTTTGAGTATCACGTATTAAAGAACCATGAGAGGCTAATCTCGCGGCAGCGCTTTCCCTACGGTGTACAATATTTATCCCGATAGGTACACGTGGAACGGAACGCTGGCCACAGTGGATGCTGGTGGAACTACTACCTGCTCAGTCGATGCCGATACAGTGATTGTAGTGGACTTCCCCGGGACACAACCGTCAACGTTTACGACACCGACCAACAGTTATGGGCCCGATCCCGGAGGCCTCTTATTTTCAACCATGTATCTGGACGGTGGAATGTTTCAACCATTCAAATCCTTTTTCTCGACCGAGGCCGCCCTGCAGACGTGCAATACTGCGCCTTTTATAGCGCCTGCTGTTGCTGAATTGACAGCGAGATTTATCACGCAGACATCGACATCATATGAGGGTGGATCTTCACCCGCTACCACAGGTCAGACTAAACCATCTTCGAACGGTGCTCAACAGGCCTCTTCAGAGGCCTCTTATGCCACGAACACCCAACCAGAGCCCTCCCCCGCTTCGGAGACGGCATCAGGGGTATCCAAGGCTACGACTGTCAAGGGAACCTCTGATCTACCCTCCCAAACTCCATCGGTTCAAGAGAGCACAATGACATCGCTCGCCACAATCGTAACGGATGGCCCATCGGGATCCGTAACTCTCGTCAACACCATTGAAATTGTCAGTGTCGTCGTGATATCAACACCTGACGGCACGACTCCTACCGAGACACCTACTACTTCAACAACCGTGCAGGCAAATAAGGCATGCAATCACAGGCCGAGGTTCTGGATAGGGATAGCAGTAGTGGCCGCCAATTTGCTATTTGTGAACCAACTGCGCTGAATAATTGGGTGGATACGGAGTACCTGAAGAAGGATTTCATCATTGATCCCACCCAGCCCCTGTGGGATAGTGGCTGTCCACTTGGATTACTCAGAAGGAATGTCTTTTCCTTGAGCATTGAACAAAAGGGGAAGTGGCAGAGAAGGCGCGAGTTTTCAAATATTGCGTCGAGTGGTCGAGTCGGCGAATTACCCACCGAACAGCTGTCTAAACTACCTCGTAGGTACCTGCCAACTGGCAGCAAATAAGTGGACATACACCACCATGTGTTGGACTGTGAAACTCCACGACTTTCGATAGGAGATTAGCAGTATCTACAACCCATGACCTCGTTATCACCACCTCTACCAACTCAACCTTGTGCGGCCTCGCTACACTACCGATGCACTTTTCTGATCTACTGCCTCACCTGAGACTACATTACCACCAGGACCTTCCCACTTGGGGCTTTTGTTTACACCTGAGGACTATTTCGATTGTCAGAGCCTGAGGTAATGACAAAGGTTATGGCTGCTTTCATAACGTTGGAAAGTATTGAAAGCAACGTGTTAACTAGGATTTCGAAAGGGACTTTGGGGAGAGCTTGGTCCTGATTTGGGTGTACGAGTAGGACGAGGGAACATGACGCCAGTAGACTGATGGAGCGCAATGATTTCTGCCACCATTCCCCGAAGGTCCCTCTCAACAATCGATCCCAAAACAGGATCTGCTGAGGCACGGTTCTCCTAACACTATAGCACTCTTTATTGTATCGATGGCTTTATCGTGTTTTGTAGCGACTTGCACATATCTGATCTCATTTACGCCTCCTGGGAGCATTCTTGTCACATCTGAAGCCATGATTCTTTCGAACTAGGTTGATTGAACACTTACTGTGCCAGAGAGTGCGGTCTACACGTATTTCAACCTCCTAATCAGTCAGGACCCCAACAACCTAAATTCAGGGATGAAACTCTCCAGATAGCAGAAAGGGAATACGTGGGCGCCTGGCGTCACGCTACAGGAGGCTTTGAACTCTCTGGCTGCGGCTCCTGGCGTGTGGTTACTTATTCAAAGCCCTACCGGACGAGCGGAGTAGAGCCAGGCGCAGCGAGGCAACCGACCGATAGTTCTCTGTGGTAAGGCTTCAACCACGAGACCCGCCGCGGAGATGATGGTTGCAGCTGTAAAGCGCCATGTGAAGCCGCCGCAACAATCAACCCCTGGGGCCACACCAGTGATAGCTTTTCAAAGTGTTATATTATACCAGGCTTCTACCTTGGCGCGAATCGCCTCTGTGATCAAGATTTGTATAGACTGTTTCATGTTGCAGCAAGACAGAACACGGCATTCCCGCATTCTCAAATTCTTGGTCGGTGCTTGGGCAATGAGACCGTCGAGCCGGGCAGGCAAAAGAATGGGGGGACGGGCTAGCAAGCCCAAGCAAGGCGTCCTCGGAGCGAGAGATGGATGGCGATAAAGCTACGGGCCCCAAAATGCCTAGGTACGTGACCACCGAACCGCTCTATTGTACCTCGTACTTGATGGAATTCTTGTGAAACGGGAATCTTTGTTTCGCTCTCCAGTCAATCAGTTGATCCCTCTAAGATTGACGCCCGCTGTCGTTGTTGCCATTCCACTATTCTGCACTCCAAAACAAATATACGTTATTCAGATACATACCTATTGGACCTAGAGAGTCGAAATAGACTGAAAATGGGTCGGAGGACGTGTGTGCTCGTGTAGATGTTACTTGACCTAATTAGAGTTAGTGTGGATGTCATAGCACAAGTGAAATATGCCAAGACACTAGTAATAATGGCTTTTAAAATGCGGCCTCCCAGGCCACATAGATTTAGCTATTAGTTCTGATACACTTTCACGTCTCATTTCACATAGGCGTTATAAGGCTTGGCACTGCGGACACCCTTTTCTGCTCACGACAGACTCTGATAGATTGTCCTTTTACAATCAGTCAATTTAAGTTGGTTCAACTCGATAAAGGGGTTTGAGGGAACCGGGTAGTACTACAACGAGGCTGCGGCAATGTTCTCGGCAATTGCGCATTTCTCAGAGAGCAAGCACACACTGATATGTGGAATTATTGGTCGTATGCGAGGATTTGGTTCTGCTGCAATAAATGCTCCCAAGACCTAGTCATGTACCAGCCCAGACACCAGAATCGTTCAAAAATGGTACCATAGTATCTCGCACCAGTTGATATACCTTGAACCACCGATATGCCTGTACAAATACCACAGCACACAAAAAGATCATTCTCACTGTTCTTGGCGTCTTGGCAGTGTTCAACGAACTTCTTTCCAACCAGCAGCTCCACCTGCCAAGAAATAGGAATGTGCGCAGAGTATCTTGCAAGGGAAAAGTAGAAGATGTTGAATCAATCCGAACCAATCCAATTTAATCCAAACAAAAAAAAAGTATCGAAACAGCAAAAAGAGATGCCTCCATTGAGAGTCGAACTCAAGACCTCGACATTCCAGTAGTATGATAGCTTTTTCTCATTTTGAGAGTTGGCTGGCTTTACTAGTGTCGCGCTCTACCGCTGAGCTATGAAGGCCGATGAGATTAATGGATCTGAAAGAACCCAAGCTGTCTCCCGGCCACTTGTTGAAAGAAATTATGATAAAGAAAATTATATAGCGCGGGGAAAGTTTGGGCTCTGTGTGGAGCCGAGCTCCGAATGGAATGGAGGGGCTGGCGAAAGCAGGTGGGCCACCAGGCCCACTCACCCATCAGGTCCTCGACTTTCTCGACAAGGTTCAGTGACTTTACTAGGTTTCATCCTTGATAAACCCGTTAATCTTCTCCGTACTTCCATAAACGCCCTGCAGACTCCATACCTCTTATGGTTCGCTACAATTTGTATCAAGAGAAATACGACCGGAATCCGAACGAGTGAACGTCAAAGAAGAGACGGCTGGCTTCTTGCACGTTTCTGGAAACTTCGCGGATCAATCCCAGGAATAGTCCGCTGACGAAAAAGTCTTTGCTCATGTCGCCTGTTTCGGTGAGCAGCCGGTCCAGTACCTCACTCTGAGTCTCGAAGTCTCCCAAGGCGATGATAGACTCCTCCTATTATACTTCTAGGTGCGAGGAGTTTCATAGAGTCCTCGCCGAGGATGTCGCGTTGGGAACCGTACAATGCGTTCGGCTTCTCCAGCGCCGGGTCATATAGTTCTTTCCACAAATAGTCCGAGTACATGGGGAACTGCGCTTGCAATGGCGCGGGGCCTTCCAGACCAAGGTACTCCATAAACCCCTCCGCAACAGTCCTCTTATACACCAGGTCTTTCTCAAGCTTGGCAAATGACCTGGCTCCCAGGTTGAAAAAACCAGCCAATGCGCATGAGAGGCAGGAATCTGGCAAGCACATTTCCACCCTTCCTTTTCAAGTTGTCGCTCAGATTCTTGTGCGCAGCAATGAAGATATCTGAGATGGGGATTTGTGGCTTGGCCTCCAGGTCAAGGTTAGCATACCACTGTCTGAGTTTCATTGCAAGTAGCAGTTGACCTTCCAGCCTGGACTTGTTGCGCAGTAGGTACAAGTTCTCGGACCGGGTTACAAGCTCATTTCCAGTCGAGAAGCCACGCAGGTCCTCCGCAATGCCATCAGGCAGCTGTGAAAGGCTGATAGCTAGGTATACCAATTGCGGCAAGCACGGTTGTACAATGCCGACTCCTTAGTCTGAAACCCAAGCTCCTTGGGACTTTTCCACTGCCAAAAATATTCGACCACAATAGTCTAGCAGCTGTCCGCCAATTTCGGTACTGCTGTTGTCGTAGCTTGATGATACAAATCGTCAGTATATACTCATATAGATTCTAGTTTGTTGTCTCATGCAAGCCTTCGATGAGCTCGTGAGCAGAAGGATGATCAAACTACACCTCGTCCTTGTAAATTTCCACGAAAGAGCCACATACTCTCTTGACAATTTTGGTTGGCTCGAGGAACTTCTCCTCTGTCAGCATGTAAGGGTTTGCGTTTAAAACGAGAGCTTTGCAAACTGTCCTCAGATCGATAGAGTTCGGGTGGCCAGCGAGGAGCAAGAAGATGTCGTGGAGCAGGTTGATCTCGCCTTCTCCCAGGGGCTCTTCAAGGTGAACGAATCAGCCGTGACACATATTCATAAGCCCACAGGGATGCCTCAGCATAATTTTCCTCTGTTTTTGTATCCTCATGGCCCTTTCTAACTCTTTTAGCATTAAAACAGCCCACAAAATTAGCCCTTGTAATTTTTCACGGATAGTCCTTTCGATATTGTTTAGTAGTGGTTGCTGGTTCTTGCAATCGCGAATGCGGTTTCGTGCAAACAACTCAATATTCTCGCCCACTATTCCTAGATTGAGAAAGTTATTTTCAGTACCCTTAAAATGACACTCGAGATAAGGGGTGCTTTGAGATAGAAAAGTGACTCTGGCGTTGGTCTCGGATCGATGCCTCAGACTCAACAGGAACTCAATGAACTCAACTGTGGCTTGCCCTTCTTCACACTCGTCTAGACTGTCAACTGGCAACCCCCAAGTTCGTAAAACCTTCAAAGTTTCAAGTAAGAGTGTAGAAGGAGCGACTGAGGTATTTGTCCGGGTTAGGAGTATTGGAGAAGCGCTAGATTTCGTAGGCTGTCCCAAAAACCCAGAGATAGTCGTTCAGCCAGACCTGTATCCCTTGCCAAGAGCTAGGACACCAAAGACAACGCAAGAATTTGTGGTGCCAAGGTGCATCTGGGAGCCGAACGGGAAGAATGCGTGAGCTGAGGCTGTGGACGTAGGTTGTCTCTACAAAATATGCGACGCAAATACAGTTTTCCCGCTGCCTGCGGCCCGGAGTCAGCGAGGCTTGATTTGGGTATTTGTACATTATAATTTACCTGCAGCTCCTATGATCCACAGAGGATGTCTATCCAAAGATGAAGCCGGGTTTTGTATTTATGATCGTCAAAAAGCCATCGGCAAGTTTCTCCGAGGTCTTCGTGTTGGAGGCTGGGAGGCGTAGACCTGCTTTTGCATTTGAAAATCCATCGCAGAGCTGTCGTAACAAAGTAGATACTACAAGAAGTATTACGTCAGAGTTGCAAATATTGGTGAGACAAAAATCCTACGGTGCTCAGAGTGTGTTTTTGAGACATTTTGATACCTTTGGAGTTGCCTTCCTCAGTGGGACTCTGACAACGTACGTATATCCTGAGCGCCACACAGCTCAAGGCGATGTTCGACCTGTTGTTTGCATACTGTGTACTTTTGCCTCGATAAGTCGCATGATTGTTTCCGGAGTGAGGAACCTGGAGACTATAATACCTTTTGCCTCCCTGATACCGGTTTCTTTTGGAGGTCATCCAGAAGTATAACGACGAGCGTAGTAGCTCTCACGGTTGGGTGCGGAAGGCGGAATTCAGGAAACAACTACTATAACTGCATATATGAGCCGAGGCCAGGACTGATCATAAGAGGGCAAAAGCGATTCCTGGTGAAATCCAGGATCCAGTACACAGAAGTGAGTAATGACAACTATGAAGCTAAAACCTGGCTGCTCAAGTAACGGTAGCAGATGAAAGACGAAGTTAGACGCCAGTCTGCACTGCATCAACGAAACGAACCTGTGTCTGAAACGCGCAAGGAGGGTCCAACTGCTCCGCTGGATCATGTTAATCTAGTAAGGCAGGGGCAAACGTCTAGACAAGCCGGTCGAACAAGGGGTATCTGCCACAGACACCCATCAGCTCAAGAGCGTTCTCCTTGGAAGATGCTAGCACTCAACACATTCAAGGCTCGCTGTAGAGCCCAACGGTTACGGCGTCAGACCCTATGTTTCCGCGCGAGCCTCGTGGTTCAACTTCGCTTCCGCGAATACCAGAGTCATTTAAACACAGAACCGAAGAAACTTGCAAGAACAATATCTAAAGATGACCAAGGCTTGGAAGGCCCATTGATATGGTTGTTGCGAAACTGCCAAACAGAGCAGAACAGTCATCACCGTGGGGAGGCAATGCGCCACCAGATTCGCACCAGGGTGAAAGAACCGAGATCGATAGCCAGCGACCGAAAGTGCCTAGTTCCCGACTGCAACGTCCAAATGTATCTGACCCTCGACAGCAGTCCGCCTCAGCTGAAAGGCGCGAGCCTCAACGTCAGGAGAGCGACGCAGTCTCTGAGCCAAAGGGAGACAAAGGCCAGCAGTCACCTACAATTCGAAGCCACCAATCCCCAATCCGATCTCAGATAACAGCATCCGGAGTGGGAAATGACCTTCCACCGAACCTCGAGAGCCCTTCTAGACAAACTTCTCAATCAATACCCATAAGACGTTCTCGGCAGGACGAGCGGTCAACGGATCGATCGTCAGCCTCGTGATGCACGGACCATCGACAACAACGAGAGACCGCTACGAGAGCCAGAAGGCGGGAGCGCTGCGTCTTGTTTCTTTCTTTTTTTTTCTTGAGCAGGGAGGACAATGATGGCATCATGAACCACATCGACAACCAAGTACAATGTGGAGGCTGACAAAGAGCTTGGGGAGTTATACTTGAGCTATAACCCAGCGGCTTATCCAGTATCTTCCAATGGGATAGTTTACACAGCAAGCCATGTACAGCACATTCCAACACTCGATAACGAGGAGACAACAGACACGATCGATACAGCACATGTGTTAATACAAAGCTTCTCGAGAAAAGAGGCGAATGCATCCTAGTGGTTTTCATGTGTAGAATAATGACGAGCCTCGGCATTCTGAGTACGTATTAGCGAACGAAACAGTCTGAAAAAAGAGCGCGCTTATGGTCGATACTTACATCATGTCACGACCTAGCTGCCTCAGGTTTGGGCCTTTTTCAGCGAAGCTGGGGAGACGTCTCGCCAAACTTGTAATATAGGCCTAAGGATCTAACCATCCACGTGCAACATGAACGTCTTAGTGTGCGGTTTTCGCTGAAGTTCCTGCAATTCTGTTGAACGTGCCCTTGTAGACTTCATCTTTGCATGGCCTGTCAAAATAGACCAAGGTCCGGTGAATGAACTTTTCCGGACAACTTAGAGAGGGAAGGAAAGAGATTGACGTCTGATGAGGCGAACCGATGCAACACCTCTGTCAAATTTGACTCTTTGACAACAATGCTGTTGCCTAGGCTGGAGTGAATGGTGATAGTTTTCCTTGTGCCTTCGGTGAGATTTTCCGAACGTACTGTATACCGTGCCTATACGGCTCTAAGGAGGACTGTCTGGGTTTGCGGGTGATACAGGAGGCGGTTCTGGTTGTGCTCGCCTCTTAGGCTTGATGATCAGGAGGATAAACATGCCAACGACAAGAAGCAATAATAAGAGCAGGATTTTGCGTTTTGTATTGCGTCGTTGGTAGTTGGTGGCAACAATGAGCTCCTTCTCCGCCCCTTTTACGTCTGTAGCCATTCGTTCCACATTGTAGTCAATGCGATCAAGCATTGTGCCCTGGTCGATGACCATGGCCTGTAAGTCGCGGAATATGTCGGCCAACTCGATGATGCCTTTGGCGATATCGTTGATTTCTTGTTCTCGCTGTGCAATTGCGGCGTCGTGTCTATGCAGTCGTTTCTGTGCAGTTTGCTGTAATGCTGATTGCCCCAGTCTTTTATCGGCGTCAGACTCTAAGAGGGCTGGGTCGGAGTATGGGTTCTGAATTGGGATCGGAGTCGGAGAACGCCCAATTGGTGATTCGAAGCCACCTAGTTGACGGAGCTTGTTGAGGTAATTGCTCTGTTTCTTCCTGAATGTGGCGCTCACTTCCTGAACTCTTGATGCTAGAGCGACTTGGATGTTTTTTGCCATGATCTCGTCTCCTTTTTGAAGGTTCCCTGTCTCCCTGGCCTCCTTCACCATACTCTCGATGCGCTTGATGGCTTTTTGGCATTCCTGGAAGCCTCTCGTGATCTCTGTCGTCAATATCTCTATTTCGCGCTCCTCCTGCAGCTTGACCGACTCGTCGTCGAACCCCGGAAGCACGTGCTTTGAATGAAGCTTGTCCAATTTTGCAGCTTTGAGAGTGATATCCTTGAGAATATCGCCGACCTCATCTTGGACATCAATCCAACGGGGAGGGAGCAGATCCATCTCTATGACCGCATCGCCGTCGTTATCGTATGCCCCGACAGACATGAGACCCCTGGTCTCTTCTGAGCCTTGGTCAGCATAGCCATTCGAGGTGGATGGAAATCGCGGTTTTTTGGCAGGATGATGGGAGTATGACTGGCGATAGGAGATATAGCTAGACGACAGTCAGAAAACTCATCCCTTGCAACAGGGAATTTTGAACTATACAGATTCGTCCGGTCTCTCCACATATTGAGATCTGGTGAAATTGATCGGATCACATGCGTCTGGCGTTTTCCGTGTGATCCTTGGTTGCTCTGACTGGCATGCTGGTCGTGCAGTGCAGTCGCCGAATAGAGAAGAAAGATCTAATTCAAACGCTTCTCACGATATCAGAGGCATGGGAGCAGCAAGCATTGTCAAAGCAACATTGAACATACGTTGCGCGACACAGGCAGCCGATGCGAATGGGCGAGCGAGCAGCAGCGAGTTGATCAGTCTGAGGATCGGTGACGAATGAAGGGGACGGAAAATCAATAATCCGAGGACCGTCCAATCCTCCCGCAATCCTTCTCCCTTTTGTCCCTTTCAGCTTGGGGCCAAATTCCAGCGCCAAATCCAGTGGAGTTCGAGACTTGCCCTTTCCACGAACAACTTTACTTGTAACCCTGCATTTCCAGTTACGCCGCCGCTTCAGCTGCTTTCAAAGATATATCCTCCTCTGAGGAACCAAACTTATTTATACCCCCTTTCCTACCACTGCGCACCACCAGCACTTGACTCTGACTGCAACGCCCACTATTTCGTGATCGATTTCCACCATGGTATGGCCGCACATGGCAACTGCGACTGCGGTTGCAGTGGTGAAACATTTCTCTATTGGTTCACGGACTGACAGTTCTTGAATCTAGGCGGACTCCCTGACCGAAGAACAGGTCTCTGAATTCAAGGAAGCTTTCTCTCTGTTTGTATGTCTGTTTGTCTTCCTACGTTGCTGCCTTGAATGCTGACGAAAAACCCCGCAGGACAAGGACGGCGACGGTATGTTGACCCCTTTGCAACCCCGACGAGCTCGTTGCTGGTCGAGGGTGGTATGAGATCTAACATGAGATTTCCAGGACAAATCACAACAAAAGAGCTGGGCACGGTGATGAGATCCCTCGGCCAGAATCCTTCAGAATCGGAACTCCAGGACATGATCAATGAGGTGGACGCAGACAACAATGGCACCATTGACTTCCCAGGTACGAAGGACCAGTCAATATCAGTGTTGTTAGCAGATTTGGCTCACAACTTGGTTAGAATTCCTCACGATGATGGCCCGCAAGATGAAGGACACAGACTCCGAGGAGGAAATCCGAGAGGCATTCAAGGTGTTTGATCGCGATAACAACGGCTTCATTTCCGCCGCCGAGCTGCGTCACGTCATGACCTCAATCGGCGAGAAGCTCACGGACGACGAAGTGGATGAGATGATTCGAGAGGCGGATCAGGATGGTGATGGCCGCATTGACTGTAAGCAAAATATCTTCTCCTTTCACCCATTTATTTGGAGTCTGTTGCATCAGGGCTGATCAGCCTAAAATGCAGACAACGAATTCGTGCAATTGATGATGCAGAAATGAGCGAAATAACGACAGAACCCATCACGGGTGCAGAGCAATGGACAGGAGCAAGGATAAGGGCTTCTAGAATGTGGAGAGCCGTCGACAAGGTGGTGAGAAGAGCTCCTGGATGGTGTTTGGCAAAGCGGGATCTTCAAGTTTCTGCTTCATAAAGACCAGTTCTGAAATGATTCAGGCGTCCTGGGCAAAGTGCGCCCCTGAAGTACTTGAGCGAGGTACAATGCAACCCACCTGAACAGTCTCCTGCGGTCCAATGCGATGTCGTAGACCCTATGTTATCCGTCAAGTTCATTGTTGATTCCTGGGTATCCTTATGGCTCGTGTGAGCCATCTATTGCCGTCAATTATCCTCGAACAGGAAAGAAGCAATTAGTGCGACTTCAGCCAGTTCAGCATCTGTTGAAAAGCTGCTTCCTGGGCTCTTTTAATTGCGGGCGAATCATAATCTCCGTACACCGCAAATCCTGTGTCGAGTTCAGTGGCTGGCTCGTTGGACAATGTGAGATGTGTCTAAATCGAAACTCACCATGCGGGACCTCCGGATATGTCTTGATCTCATGCTCGATGCTGCTTGCTGCAAGGTGTTTTCGACCAACTTCCAGCACTTCGTCAGGAAATAGAGGGTCATTCTCTGATAAAGATCGTTAGCCATGAATGCGAACAGTGCAAACATGTCTGTGTGACTTACCGACGCAAACCATAGTCAGTGGCATCCTGACAGCCTTCAGATCTTCCCGCGTCACCATCGTCGCGTGAGCAACAGCGCCCGTCTTAATTAGCGGCCCCTTCTTAATCATCCCCTCTTCTTCATCCTTCGCCGCCTGCGCTTGTATGACATGATCGGGATGTTCGCCGGCTAGCATGATCACGTATTTTCCCCCAAAACAGTAGCCCACGCTGTAGATCCCTTCTCCATGGGCGACAGCATCGGCGTACTCGTCCTTGCATGTCTCAATCACCTTTAGTAAGATGGGGAGGACTTTCTCTGGTGTTTGGCGGGCCAGCCACATGTCCACAAGGAATGACTTGGCCGTCTCCGCGGCACCAAGTTTAATTCGTTCGAGGATGCTTGGACTCTGCGGCGGCTCCCCAGGAGAGCCGGGAGAGCTGAGCATGGTAGTCTTGTTGGAACTCGGCGCCGGATCACCCTTGAACTGGTCGGGCATGATCACCACGAAGCCTTCGGCGGCGAACATATCCGCTTGGATCTGATTGTTTACCGAGTGCACACCCGTACCGGCGGTAAGGAGTAAGAGAAGCTTTGCCGGGGTCTTGGGATAATCAGCGGGTTTCGAGATGTAGACATCAACATCGCCCATCTTGGACATTTCGCCGGATGGTTGACGATCGTCAGGCGCCGGGCGGTCTGTAACACAGTGTTCCCCCATGCTGGCGCCAGTCTCACCCTTGGAGTCTGCGGATGAGACAACAGATGGTTCGCCTTGGATTTCCATTGCATCGGATTCGGGAGCTTTGGTTGCTAGTTCAGCATCGGCCATGATTTCATAGACGGGTGACAGGTAAGCTTGTACTCCTAGATTTTAACTGATGTCTACTCAAGGGCAAGATGACTGTCTGTGAGTGAAGACTCAAACATTCGGTGAGATAGGGACGTTCAATTGTCGGCTACGGTAAGGGTCGAATGCGGTGCAGTGAGGTGATACGATGGATCCCGTCAAGCATCCCTTGAAGCCATCTGCTTAATTAGCAGGTCTGACGTGGAAGTTTGTGGACAGTCACGTTCGAAGAAACTTGTCTCGTTTGAAAATGGCCAAGTGTGTCTCCTAGCGTTAGATGGCCAGATGCTGTGAGGGCCATTAGTTAAGTTGATTGACACTGAGAATGTTCTACTCGCAGTAAAGATGCGAGCTATATACTATGAGCTGGAGAGCGATTGTATTTGGGTAGAGAAAAGTGCGGCGTCAGACGACGCACTTTCCAACAGACAGGATGTTTGCGCCACTTACGAGGCTGATGCCGTGGTGGCGGCCAGAAACCACTTAACGCGTGGGAACGCGTCTTTGAACGCAGGCGTCAAAAGGCCATCTCCCACTATTCACTCACCAACATCTCTCTCCATCCACCTCTTCTAATCTTTGTCCGTTCAATCCGTCTCCCTGCCCAAGCCATGAATTCTCCCGCTGCTGCGCTCGCGCGCGTCGATGCTGGCTCGCTGGCAGACATTTTCGAAGACCGTCCGGGCAGAGTTGAGCACCCCGTCATGCGTGAGTTACCACTTCGTGTTTCGAGAACCGCATGTGTTCGTAATCCGCGGCATTCTCGATAGAGGCTAACAACAAACAGAGTGCGTTCAGATCAAGCCCATTGCTACTCAACAAGGCGGCCAGGAACGTCACAGGGTCATCTTCAGCGACACAAAGAATTACATCCAGACGATGCTGGCGGTGCACCAGAATCAACTCGTCGAGGAGAAGATTCTACGCAGAGGAGTTCTCGTGCAATTAATGGGTTACTCTGCGAACAAGGTCAAGGCGAAACGGTAGGATGACCTCTTTCTCTGGCGTGCGACGATATTGACAATCCACCGTAGTATCCTCATCGTGACCGATATCAAAGTCCTCGAAGAGTATGGTGAGCACGAGAAACTGGGTGACCCTAAACCACTGGAATTGAAAGCCGAAGAAGAGGAGAAAGCCTACCCTACATCGATCACGAGCAATGGATTCTATGGAGTCAAGCAAGAGCAGCCGAAGCAAAGCCGACCCATGGCTCACACCAAGCCCTCGTCATCAGCTCATGCAAACATCTACCCCATTGAAGCAATTTCACCATACTCAAACAAGTGGACCATCAAGGCGCGTTGCACGAGCAAGTCGGACATTAAGACATGGCATAATCGCAATGGTGAGGGCAAGTTGTTCAGTGTGAACCTTTTGGATGAGAGTGGCGAGATCCGGGCTACTGGTTTCAACGACCAGTGCGATCAGCTATATGATCTATTCCAAGAAGGCAGCGTCTACTACATTTCCAGTCCTTGCAGAGTCACTTTGGCGAAGAAACAATTTTCAAATCTGGCAAACGATTACGAGCTTCACTTTGAAAAAGACACCACCGTCGAGAAAGCGGAAGAGCAGGACGGTGTCCCCCAGGTTCGATACAACTTCACTACAATCGCAGACTTGCAGTCCGTGGAGAAAGATACGACCATCGACATTATTGGAGTGCTCAAGGACGTCGGCGAGACTTCTCAAATCACGTCGAAAACCACGAGCAAACCGTATGACAAGAGAGAGCTCACTCTGGTCGACAATACTGGATACTCGGTACGCCTGACAGTTTGGGGGAAAACTGCGGCCTCGTTTGACGTTCCACCTGAATCAGTTGTCGCTTTCAAAGGTGTCAAAGTCTCCGATTTTGGCGGACGCAGCTTGAGTCTGCTCAGTTCTGGCTCAGTGACCGCCAATCCCGACATGCCTGAAGCACACAGATTGAAAGGCTGGTACGAGGACCAAGGTCGAAGTGGAAATTTCGCGACACATGCCAACATCCAAGGCACTGTTGCTGCTGGCAGTGGGTCTCGAGGTGATCCATTCAAAACTATTTCGCAAGTCAAAGAAGAGCAACTGGGCATGTCGGACAACGCAGATTTCTTTTCTGTCAAGGCTTCAACACAATACATCAAGCAGGACAATTTCTGCTACCCAGCATGCTTGTCAGAGGGATGTAACAAGAAAGTCATTGAAATCGATCCTGGTCAGTGGCGCTGCGAACGATGTGACAAGACCCACCCGAAGCCTCAGTACCGATATATCATGTCGGTCAACATTAGCGATCACACTGGTCAACTCTGGGTCAGCTGCTTCGACGAGACGGGACGAATGATCACTGGCATGACGGCAGATGAGTTGATGGAGATCAAGGAGGTGGACGAGAAGAGACTCGCCGAGATATTCTCGGAGGCAAATTGCAAGATATGGAACTGGAAGTGCAAGGCGAAGCTCGATACTTTCCAGGAACAACAACGGTAAGGCGAACTACGATGCTTTCGGGGGTTGGACTAACTCGGGTTCCAGGGTTCGTTATCAAGTAACTTCGGCAGCACCTTTGAACTATGTGGCCGAATCGCAGAAGTTAATCGACCTGATCAAGCAATACAACATTGACTAAATGCAAGAGAGCTTCGTTCGGTGGAATTGATGTATGGATGGAGCAGCAGAGGCCCCGATGGAGGTATACCTGGATGATGAACTTTTCCCTGGGTTCGACTAAAAAGCTTGTGTGTGCGGAGCTATCGCCCGAATACAATAAGGAAGCCACTCGAGAACTAGGGTGAAGGATGCTTTGTCAGAGGCAGTGTATGATAGCTACAATATGAATGTGGCATGAGGAATGCGCCATGATAGTTGAGGCCAATAACAATTCTTCCGGTGGATGTTTGACACTAGTCTGCAAGCGTTGGGAGTGTTAATTAGTAATGCGTCATTAGCACAATTCGTCGAGTACTTCGCCAGGTACTCGGTACTCTCCCTGTAGACGTTTGAAGACAGGCTAAATAGGAGAAACAGAGAAAAAGCCAAAGTAAGCATATCCCCGCGCCCGTTTCGCGATCTCCTCGAATCTTTCATCCGTGACACGTATGCCGTCGATCCGGGGCTGCGGTTTCTCTCTGTCTCACCGTCGAATTTGAATGAGCTCGACGGGAACCGTGTGCTCGAGGGTCGCATTAGAAATCCCGCGTCTCCAACGGCTAAGGGCCGGATATTCTCCGTTCTCAGCAGTTCTTCGAGTCGGACAACACGCTTTTCCATCTTTAAATATCTTGCAGACTTCTCTCGGCGCAAAAAGGAGAACATTCTCAGCATTATCATCATCGACAGTGGTACCAGCAACGCTAAGCAGTGCTAGTTGTAGCAGGGATCATAATAGGACCGTTGCCGGACCCGTTTTCCAAAGTCGTTCCCGACGACCATCCACGAGCACAGCCACAAGAACCATGACAACCATGCGCGCGGTCGACATCAAGGGTGGAAAGGGCCCCATCTCGGCTCTCTTCATCAACCCCGACGTCCCCAAACCCGTGCCCAAGGGTAGCCAGGCTCTCGTGAAAGTCAAGGCCTTCGGTCTCAATCGCATGGATCTCATGCAGCGCGAGGGGGGCTATCCATTACCGCCGCAGGCCGGCCCGATCATGGGCGTCGAGTTCTCCGGCACCATTGAATCCTTCGGCTGCGAGCCGGAGCGGGGGTTCAACGTCGGCGACGAGGTCTTTGGGCTGGCCTATGGCGGCGCTTATGCCGAGTACATCGCCGTCAGCACGCACATGCTGGTGCATAAGCCCAAGGAACTCAGCTGGGAAGAGGCCGCGGGCATCCCTGAGACGTGGATCACCGCCACCCAGGCGCTGTACCTGGTCGGCGAGTTCAAGCCGGGCATGTCTGTGCTGTGGCACGCGGGCGCGTCGAGCGTGTCCATCGCGGGCATCCAGCTGTCCAAAGCCGACAACGCCTCGGCCATCTACGTGACAGCCAGCTCGCGGGAGAAGATCGAGTTTTGCAAGACGCTCGGCGCGACCGAGGGCTTCTCGTACAAGGAAGGCGACTGGGCGCAGGCCCTGCTCAAGTACACCGGCGGCAAGGGCGTGGACCTGATCGTCGACTTCATCGGGGCCGGGTACTTTGACCAAAACCTCGAGGCCGCCGCGCGTGACGCCCACATCGTCAATCTGGGCAACCTGGGCGGCAACGTCGTGCAGAAGCCTGTCGACATTTCGCGCTTCCTGCGCAAGCGCCTCCGCTACGAAGGCTCTAGCCTACGCAGCCGCGACGAAACTTACCAGGGCCGGTTGCGCGACATGCTCGTCGAGCACGCCCTGCCCAGGTTCATCGACGGCCGCTTCAAGGTCATTGTCGAAAAGGTCTTCAAGATGGAGGATATCCAGGACGCCCACAGGATGTTGGAGAGTAATCAGACCATGGGCAAGTTGATCTGCACCGTGGATTAGAGTAAAATCAAGCGAAGTTAAAAAAATAAAAATAAAAAATAAACAAATATGCGTGCACGGCAGGAAATGAGATATGATGGCGAAAGAAAATGATCGTGGGTGGGTAGCTGGTTGACTGTATCAGAGCAGAGATGAAAAGTCAGAACCGAAAGCAGGCCAAACTAGAAACAATGTGCATTGATACTATTGATACTTCATCAGCTCCTATCCAGATTGATACTCCATTTTTCAGAAACGCCCCACGTCTGTTTGATAATAGCATCTATTTCGCAGGCCGACTCGAGCGTGCCCATTGGCTCAAAACGGCGACTTTTCTGGGGCACCAATAAGAGCAAGACGTACGTTTGTCCTTCCTTTAGAGGGGGACGCGACAAAGCCACAGCTTTGCTTATGAAGATAATTCTCTGTGCATAATAGAAGCATGGCGAGCGAGTAGAGCTGTACACGCACCACTAACTGTTGGTGGAAGGGCCTGCAGACGTGGATCTGTCGGCAGCTGTGATCAGTCCGCCGGCCCGAAAGACCGTGGCTCGCTTGGTCACCGGATTAACAACAATACCGCTAGGGAGGCGTAGTAGGATGGTGGGCGATGTAGAGTATCGCGGTCGTCGCAGGGTGATTTGCTCAGAGTTAACAGTATAAAGTCCGATGTTTCGTCGAGGTGCTTGATGGACCCTCTCAACAGAGAGCTGCATTCTTCAAGCTGAACTGAAAATAACTCACGCTCAAAGTCCTTCGCTGTCAGAACGGAAGTCGCTTCCCGTTGGTAACGAGCGTTCACTTTATCTTTGGAAATAGAGGTCCTCTGTCCGCTACCTTCGCCATTAGTTGTGTACCACTTCGTCGTTGGTGCAATGTTGAACACAGCGGTCCCCAAACGGTCATGCCTTCAATCTTGCTTTTCGGTGCAACGGGCCTCGTTGGCTGTAAGTTCCTTCTTGCTTGTTTCGTCCACTGATTCGATGATTGACCTGTTCTCAGCTCACCTTGCTTTGGCCCTTAAGGAAGAATATCCTAATATTCCGGTCACCGTTTTCTTGCGCAGCAACGCCCTCGATGTGTACTTATACGAGACGGCCGGTGTTAAACGGATCGTACATGGTACTTTCGACGAGAGGGACAAAATCATCGTATTTGCTAAAAGAACACGACATCGTCATTAACGTGGGCTCGTCGTGGGATGTGCCCTTGAGCGAGGCGATCGTGGAAGGTTGAATCAGCAGCCGGAAGCGAAGAAGAAAACGCTCATTCACATGAGTGGAGCTGGTAATTTTGTAGATAAAAGGTGGACTGATGGGCCATTCCACCCCGAAGCGAAGATCTGGGATGGGAGCGAAATGGCAGGCGATGAGCTGCATGAGGCAGGCTGCTGATTTGCAAACAGCACAACAATCCGGAAGACATGAAGCTAATCAATCCTTCTATGCTCAAAGGTGGGCCTGACACTGTGTAAGCCTTTTCTTGAGCGTGAGAATGTCATATCCTCGGCTGACAGTTTGTCGCGGGCAGGATTGTAAACGCCGCCAAACGAAGCAAGATCGGAACCTATATTGTCTTTCCCTCAGGAATATATGGCAAAGCTGCGGGCCAGTTCCAGCCTTGGGAGTGGTCCAATTGATCTTCCGCGAGAAAGCCAAAGAGCTAGGATTTGTGCCATATGTCGGAGAGGGGAGCGCCATCTTCAACTGCCTCCATGTCAACGCCATAGCCCCATTCATGCTGAAGGTGTTGGATCTTGCATTGCACGACGATACCCCTCAAGGATCCGTCTCCGAGCGATGCTTCCCGGTTGGGGGGGAGGAAATTAACTGGAAGAATGTGTCTGAGACTTTTGCGAAGGTTCTACATGCTGAAGGGCTCGTCCCAGGCCCTCAAGCCAGAAGTGTGACTTTGGACGAAGCAGGCGAGGGCGAGTTGCCAATGCTGATGGCGAGCAATGTCATGTTTGCATCACGTCGGGCAGAGAAGCTAGGTTACAAGCACAACGGAGTTGGGCTGGTAGAATCTTGAGCCAGTCGAGATAAATGTAACAGTAGAGTGTAGAGTCAGGAGATCAAGGAGATGGACTTTGGGAGGCTGCTGCGGAAACGAAGCTATTCCTGATGCGGGGTTTATCAACAATGACGTCATCTTCATCCGACAAAAGTCATGGTGCAGCCTCGCCCTGCCAGTCCCCAGCCTTGACAGCCCAGCCACTTCACTTTCTCCCTGCCACCACATATTCACAGCCATACAAGAGACTTTTGCAAACGGAAATCTCTTCGAGACGTGAGTTTCTCTTCTACCCTACTCGATACTGAAATATCATTTCTAACCTTTCACAAAACTTCCATGCCATTAAGCTGTCAGCGACGGTAACGCAACCCACCGGAGACATTGTCCCTCGCCTATCTCTTACGCACAAACCATCTTCTGTTTATTGCACAGGACACAGCTGCACTGACAGGGATTCGGAACTGAGAGCATTCTTGCTCTCCTTTCTGCCATAATGGCTCCTGTCCTCTCCAACATCGATATTCCTGACCTCAAATTCTCCTCCCTCGAACTCGATGCTCGATCGACCGAGCTTGATGAATTGCAGACAACCTCGTTTGCCAGGCGAGACGCCTTCCCCCAACAGATCGACCACCCTCTACTCCCACGAAATGACGACTCCTCCTTGATTCTTTCTCCAATGGACACCTATAACATTCTCACCGCAAGAGACGTACACAAGACACAGGATCCGAACCCGGGTGCTGGGTCGATCGACCCCAACGACATCAACATGAAAGGCATCCAGGCACTCTTTGCAATCATTGGAGCCTTTTTTGTACTCGGTGCCATTTGGTTCTTTTTTTGGGCCAAGAACGGTGGCTTCAAATGGCGCAAGGGTGACTGGGAGGAATATAAATCCACCGTCTTGAGACGCAAGGGTCCCAATGGAACGACTCTAAGTAACGCAACCAAGAGCACGAAGCTGGGTGGTGGAAGCGTCGTGGGCGATGGATATTCAGACAAAGACACGGCGACAATACCAGATACCATGACCGAAGGCATGACAGAGACAATGACCGAGCTGTCCTCTGAAGTACCAATCATCAAGGAGAAACAGTCCAAGAAGAAAAAGGAGACGGCTAAAGAGAAGAAGATCCGAGAAGCCCAGGAAGCACCCTGGGAAGGTGGCCATGACTACGATGTCCGGGCGTATCGACATGAAAAACCTGCCCGGGTGGGGGGTCTCAACAAGGACTCGGACGCTCAGTTTTATGGCACCGATTACACCGAGACAGATCGTGGCGGCAGTGACATAGTCAGCAACAGCAACCGACAAGCATCGTCTTCTCGTCAACATAGTCCTGAGAAACGTCAATCACGGCGTGATTTCTCATACGGCCAAGAAGACAGCTTCAGCGTCTCGACCCCGCCACCAGCTGCTTCGCCATCGCCTATCCCTCGTCCCGCCAGATATCATTCACCGAACAAGAACGCCAGCCCTCAACGCCCCATCCGCACTGTGCCTGGATCGTTCCACGCCCAGCAGGATTTTGATGTGCAAAGTGTGCAAAGTCAGAACACTAAGAGCTATCATCATCCGCTTCCAAGCTTGAGTGGTCAAGCACCACCAAGGGCTGGCGGATACAGAAGGGACAGACGGGACAGTCTAGATGACTGATAGAGAACCGGGTCTCTCCCTAAGACTTGCATTTGCCAGATCTGGCTGGAGCCTGATATCAATTGCACCAACAACAACAACTGGATGAGACGAATGAATCAAAGGCTGAGCATGACGCATGAAGTGACGACTAGATTGTATTGTACGTCGAACATTGTTGCGCATTGGAGGCGGGCAGATTACACTGGAATGGGGTATTTGGCTTGGGTGCGCAAAATAGGGCTGGTAAAAAAGGGGTACGAGGGTCACAAATACCTCGTTGCTGAACGAAAGGGAAAGGAAAGGACGGGGAGTAGTGAAATTCTCGAAACCAACAAAGCGGCATTATGTGATTATTCCAAAGTTGGCGGAGTGGATTTGCGAGTGAACGGATACCCACGGGCATCATGCGAGAATTATCGCTCCAGCAGATAGAAAGAAATATAATCACCGACTACAAATTCAAATGTTGCCTTCACAGAGTAGTGTGTGGTACACGGTACAATTCCACCGGCGACTCGCAAAAGACACCAACCATCCGGCCAGTCAGCCATTGAATGATGATCCAGCAAACACACAGCCCGCTTTATGTCGACGGCACATCATAAGTGATCTATTCGCTTCTACAGCATATGTACTCCGTAAAACATGTACCGAGTATGGACGAGACATATACCTAATCTGCCAATCAAACGATCGAGGATACTCAGACTTGAACATACTGCGATGTTGGGTATATATAGGACGAGGTCAGCTCAGCTCAGCTCAGATCAGATGAGAATGAGGGGGCCGGTGCTGGCGAGGCTGTATTGTGCAGCCTGTCCTGCCGGGTGTTGAGAGAGGCTGGGAAGAAGTCATCATGCTTGCTCGTGGAGTCGAAGCCCATGTCAGTGTCAAAGCAAAAGCCAATGCAAGAAGAACAGGAAACAAATATTCGTTGGCTGTGACTTGCACAAGACAATTTCCCACACTGTTTGATGTTTATATTGTGTAGCTCACCAGCGGGTCCCCACATACAGGTGTACCTATGTCTGTCTGTATTATGTAGTTAGGTAATATGTAGCTACTATGGGGCTCCGCTTGCCGTGCCAATTATCCAGGACCGAAACCAGAAGACCATGTATGTAGTGAATCGTCGCAGACTCCCATTCCCATCCGTCGTCATGTCATGTCGTTTCCTGAGCGCGGGCCTGAGCCTGATACAGGGTTCGGAATGGATCGTGATGAAGGAGAGGGGGGCACGCGGATGAGATAGAATAGATCCATCCGTTCCATTGAGCCCGGCCCCAAATCCCATATTCTACCATGCAATGCCAGGTCACTCCAGCTGGTGGGAGGGTGAGGGAGGAGAAATCAGCTCAGCATGCATGTTACGTACCCGTATCAAAGAGGATCAGATCAGCGCTCCAAGGTTCTCTGATCATATCATACCGACCAACACAGCTCCGTATATATCTCCATCTCCAGACCAAGGCCAAGCTCCCATTTATGCCTCGATCTTCGCAGTCTTTGCCACCTTACTCCCCTTCCCATCCGTGCCTCTCATCTTCTTCGTGCCTGCGGCCTTCTTGCCAGGTTTTCCCTCGACAATACCGACGACCTTCTCGACCGCGCCCTCGACCTTATCCGCGAGTGTGGGCTTTCTCTTGTGGTGCGTCGCAGGCGCCCGCTTCTTCGTCACACCTGCGTTGGTGGCCGTTGCACCCGCTTTCTTCGACCCAGTCTTGCGCTTTTTGGTGGTGCCACCCGTGGTGGCGGCCGTGGTCTGACGCTTGCGGACAGGCTCAGTCGAGACAGTGGTGAAGACTCTTGGCTTGGAGTGGCCGGTTGCGCCGCGGGTTTGGGCCATTGTTGGTGCTGGTTTTATCCGGTTGGGCTTGTATGGATGTGGTTTTTGATAGATGTATGTGAGTGGGACGGTGAGGAAGCGGTTTTGAGACACTAGATAAGGCGACGTGTCAGCTTGTAAAGTGACTGCAGTCGTGGTTGACCTGCCCAAAAGCGGGGGTGACAAGGCGCCGCGTGACGCGGGAGAAGAAGATATGGCCACAACTTGTTGGGCAAACGAGCAATATTTATAATACTTGGAATAACAACAGATAAGGTGCTCGCGACGACTCGTGAGTCACGGGAGGAATGGAAAAGCAGTGGTGGGAGGCGCTACGCAGGCAACCAGCTCCAAGCTGTAGCGCGACAACAACGGATAAGATAGCAGACATGTGTACATACCTTGAAATTGAGGTGTGCCAACTTCCTGAAAATAATCCTGTTGATCAATAACGACCAGGCGACCGGATTGAGATCAAGAGCAGAATGGGAGAAGGTGTTGGTTGTGAGATGGAGGGTGAAAGGGTTGACGGGATCGAGGAGGGTGGGAGTGGGAGTTTGGCCCTCTTTGGGGTGTCGAGGTGCGTGCGTTGCGAATCCAATCGCATCGCCAACAGAGCGATGCGGTCGGATGATCAAGGCAAGAGACAACACACACCAACACACCCAATTCCCTTCCATCTTCCTCTTCAAGCTGCCAACTCTGCTCCAGGGCCTGTTTTCGAAATTCCACAGTTGTTTTCTCTCCATTCGTCGACTGCAGCTGCCACTATTGTTCGGTGGCTTTAGGCGTCATTGTCGCTGGGCGCTTGTCCAGGCAATTGAAAGTTCCCTCGTCGACCAGCTATTGATGTTCCTGGAAACATTCCTGCACATGGATACACTCTCGTCGTCTTCAGTCGTACCAGTCTTTCAACTTGAATGATCGATCATCCAAGGCCGGACCGCCTGCAAGGCCTAGCGCATTTCGAACTTCCCACTCAAACTCGGCGAGGGCTCTCAGTTCGGACCCCACAAAGAGCCCCCCGATTAATCCATGTAGGGTGCCAGCCATCAGGCCCAAGCTGCTTAGCAAAATCAAAATGAAGGACACAAAGTTCCGGGGTGACCACCAGACGGCGATGAAGCAGCCAATTGACGCCAACGCGGAGCCAACGAAATGCAGAAGACCATTACGTCGTTGTTTCCTCTCCCGCAATGTGTATTTGTGGATCATGGCGAGAATATCTCTGTAGAAATCCTGGTCGATTTGGCTGTGCGTGGGCATGTCGGATATTGCTTTGACGAAATCCTTTTCCTCAAAATCCGCCGTCTGAAGACTAGGGTCTTCTGCGCTCGAGCCGTGCGAGGCTGCATGAGCCTCAATTCCAGCAGGAGTAGGTGGTTGACTTTGGCTTCTCTCGAACGTCGCATGCACAGCAAAATGGTCGCTCAACGAACAGAGGAGAGTCGGGTGTCTTTCAGTCAGCGCAACTTTCACGTCGGCAACTCTCCAACCCTTGCTAACACCGCTAAAGAAGATGTAGTCCAATCGCTTTGCTTTTGGGTCCAAATCCGTGCTTGAGATTTTCCGGTCCTGGCCTTGCGCCAGCTGCTTCTGATGGGCCTTGTTCCACCGCCAAGTGTTCAAGACAGAGTCGCACGTGTGGCCATGCTCCCCAAGACTTGCCTCGACGTTTGGAGTCTCTTCTTCACCCGTCCGTTTTCTCCGCTCCTTTTCAGGCGGGTCCACGCTTGCGCCAATGCTGCTTCCAGGTTTCATGATTCGCCAGACGTCCTGGACGCCGGCTCGGCTTTCCACCAGGACATGTGCAAAGCTCAGCGGGACCATGTTGAAATCGCCCAGGCCGATGACTAGGCTGCCTCTATCGGAAGCTGCCCGCATGAGTTTGGCAATTTCCCATGCTTGTGCTGTACGATGGCAGATGTAGCTGTCGTTTGGTTCCTTTTCATACGGGGCATGTAAATGTGTATTGAAAACTTCAATATTGACGCCATCGGGCAGTAAAATCCTGGCACATGCGACGCCCTTCCCTACAAACCAGTCGCCGCGGAAAAATGCCTGCGGTCGGCCATTCAGAGGATAACGATACATAGAAGATTCTATGATTGGCCATCGACTGAGGATGGCCAAACCACCACCGAAGATGCCTGAATGGTAGAATTTGCCGTACGGAAGAAACGAACGAGTGCTGTCTCGAATGGATTGGTAGTCGGCAAATGTCCAGCATTCTTGCAGGCCAACGATATCAAGTTGAGGAGAAAAGGTAGCGAGGCGATTTCCAATTTCGGATAAACGTTCGCTCCGGTGTTTGGCGATATATTTCAGTCCCCAGCAATTCAAGGTCAGGACGTTGATAGATGAAGTCTCAGACATCTTGTCGCTTGTCGTGATGCGTCGCCCTATTCTCGACGAATACGAGGGCCAGATCGACAGACAGACCAAATAGCATTGAATTCCCTCTCAAAAGTGACGCCAAGCAGTTCCGTTCACGAGCTAGTGTAGGATGGATGGCGATGACATGTTTAAAGGTCAGAAAATTGAAGAATTTATAGCATAAGCAGTAGATCAGCTTTGTGTAACCAAAAGACTATGAAACGGCCTGGAGAAAGGTACCAGACCTTGCCGTGGTCCTGCTATAGCCGAAAGGCCTAACTGTAGAGAGAGAATGGGGAAGAGGAAGAAAAGAAATCCAGGAGGATTGATTTGATGACGAACTCGGCCCGAGAGGAGAAGCAACGGCGAGACGGGTCCTGCACGTGGTATGATGACATAAGCCAGCCCACCACAGCCTGACGAATCGTCGTACCAACTGTCTATGGAAATTATATACCCGCCAGGTTGAAAACCCAATACCTTCCTCGCTGCTTAGTAGGTAGTTCAGGTAAAAGGAGCTAGATTAGGCTCCTTGCCCTCGGCTCAGAAGTTGCTCAGCCACGCTCCACTGTACTGTAGGCTGTCGGACAAGTAAGCTCTCCCCTCAAGTTGTCAACTATGGCTGAACCAATGGGTCATCTGGAAAAAGGTGGCTTGAGAGTTCGATACATGCGACCCTATGTGCAAATAGGAATGTCACCTGTACTGACGATGCCCTACGAAAAAGCGTAAGCCTGCCGTCAAAAACAATGGGACATGCCCCTCGCCTTCGAAAACCCGAAAAGGCTTGCCTAGGCGTACCCCTTGCGCGCTCACTCGATTATATTATGCTAATACCATTGTCAAAATTGAAGTCTCCAAAAACTATGCAATCGTGCACTCGACTTGGCGTGTCCTGAACAGTGTGAGAAAGGCCCCGAGCCTTGCATTAGGGCATCAAGTTGTCGGATATGACACGCTACTGTCTTCCCACCTGTAAATAGACCCTCGTCTAGCGATTTACTAACTAATCAACCCCCTGCTATTCAGGCCGATGGGTTCCGTGTCAGCCTCTACACAGAACAGAGGTCCACTAAGCTCATTTTAATCCGCAAGCCTCTCACGGGGAATACCTGCATATCAACCTGCACTCCCTCATTCACACCTTCCCTTGGCCTGCCTTCCCTCTCGGCTTGTTAGAGTAAATGACCTCCCTAGGCCGCCGTCCATAGTGATTCTCTGGGTTTAGGTTCTAACCGGCCTGATAATGAAACCTCTTCTACTCGCTTAACCTCCCCCCCCGTCTCCTCCTCTATATTGCTCTTCAGCCACCTCCTACGCGGATGTTGCTTCGATATTGTCGCCTCTACCGCCGCCCGCGCCAGCTGCACACCAACTTCCCGGAGCCCACGAACGAGCGTCGGATTGTTGTTCTGAACCGCCAATCGCAAGGCCTCTTCGCTAAAAGTCCCTATATCAGCTCCATTCTTCAGAAGAAACGCAAGACGCTCGGGGTTGTCGGGACCGTTGGCAGCCAAGGACAACAGCGCGTTGCAAGCGCGTGCAGCGTGCTTGTCGTGCGGCCACGCCTTCGCCTCCTCCTGGCCCGAGTTGATATCGTAGCCCCTATCGATAAGCCATTGAGCGACCTCCAGATGTCCCGCAAAGGACAATCCCCGCGACACGGCCTTCAGAAATGTGACGCACTGTTCCTTTGGGTCGACTCCTGCTTTCAGTAGGCTCATGGAGAGGGGGAGGTCCAGGTGAGAACAGAGATCCAGTGCCGTCCTACCAGCAGCATCGTGGGTGTTGACGTCGGTTCCCGCCTCTAGGAGCAAGATGACGATCTCCCTTATGCTGGAAGAGCCTCTCAGCTGAGATCGCAGTGCACAATGGAGAGGTGTGGTACCCGTGTTGGTCTGCGAGTTGACGTTAACACCGGCCTTGATGAGGAAGTCTACAATTTCAATCGAGGGATTCTGGACAGCACGATGGAGAACCGTGAATCCGGAGTCGGATCGACAGTTGACGTCCGCGCCCGCGTGGACAAGCAGCTCGACTTGCTCCTTGTTCTGTCGCCGGAGTCGGCAATGGTGAGAATGCTGCCTTGCCCTGGACACACCCTTGGCTGGTTCAACACGAATCTAGGTATCGTCCCTGGTCTCATGCTTCAATAGCTTATGCTCAGTGGATTTCACTTCTTCATATTTGGAAGTTAGCCTACTTTTGGGCCCGTAGCGAACACGACTGCCGCTCTCCTCCCTTAAAACCATAACATTGTACGCTAGTTACTTTCACATCTGTTTAGTGATGAAGGATCTTGTGCCACATAGTCTAGACCAGGAAGTTTTCAAACTCCTCGCAGCAGCCTGCGATTGCTTCAGAGAGTTTTGTGGGTGCTGAGCGCACGGCAGATATAAGTCAAGGAGCGTGGAGCTCTCCAAAGCGATCATTTCCACGTGTCGTTGGTACCAGGTAGCAGCGTAGGGGTAGGGACTTGCTAGGGCACCTAGGGTCACCAGAGATTATCTGAAAATAAATGTCAACCTGAGAGGTAGGTCTAGCCAGTCGCTGGTGCCATATTAGGCCCCCTTTTATAACTCAGTGCCATGCTCAGGAGTGCTCGGTCACACTCAGCCCAGAGTTCAGGTTAAAGCGGCCTTTGCTCACCCTCTAGGGTTAAACCATATTCAGTGAATAGGTTTTTCGTTCGCGGGTAATCTATGTACAGGGTACCCTTACGCTTGTTGGGACCGACATCTCCTAGAGCGGTTGGTCAAGGAACTGATTCCATTGCGGGCTCCTACGGATAGCCAATGGCCATCGTAACACTCCTGCCGAGAAACATGCACTCTATGCAACGTTGCTCCATGCGCTCTGGGACTCCTGCCTGCTCTTTTTTTTCCAGAGCAACATCCAACGAAGTGATATGTAGTTGACGCGATTGTGGACGTCGAACCCCAAAATATGCGGGCTCAGTAAATTACATCATCCTCCTGTCCCCGCTCTAGTTCTTCGCCGCCATGATCATGGTCGTCCTGGTCCTTGCTACTGCTGCTGCGCCGCCTTTCGGTTTGGTGAGTGTTCGCCGGAACATTATTGTCTTTTGAAGGACCAGAAGACTCGCGCGGGGAAGGTTGATCACTCTCATTCCTCTCTTCACCAACATGGTCCGATCGCTCATCTCTAGATGTCTGGTTATCGGCCTCCCCTTCAGCACTCAGGCGATCATCCACTTTCTCCGTGCTGCTGGCTTCAGGCGGGCTTGTTGTCGAACCGGACGGTTGCTGAATGTCCTTATCCTTTTGCCTTTCTCTTTTAAATTCCTCTCCGCTCACCTTCTTTTTCTCCTCAAACTCGTCTGCTTCTCGCTGGATCCTCGCTTCCACTTCCTCAATCTGATGTTTAATTGTGTCTTCCTCGGAGTCGCGCAATTCCCAGGGTTTGTAATATAGTCGCGGCTCTGCCTTTGTCTGCAAAAATCCCGCGGCAGCTCTGATATTCCTATGTCTCAATCTCATCGCTTCTTCATCCCAGCGCAACTGTTCAAAACGTCGTTCACGTTCGAGTTGTTCCCTTTTGAGGCGCGCAGATTCGGCAATTTCATGGGACTCACGCTTTAAGCGCTCCCGTTGGCGAGACTCGATTTCTTCGCGTCGAGCATTTAGCGGCGTTGTGGAGCTGTTTGATTTTGTTCCGGCGGAGGATCTTCTGGGAGCATTTGAAGACTGGGAAAGGGTGCCCAGCAAGGCACCGAAGAGTCGGCGGTTGCGAGATTTGTCCTGTTCCAGGGTCGAAGATGTTTGTCGCCGGCGAGGCGGAGGAGGAGACATTGCCGATGGATGTCCACTTCCAGCTGTTGCAGTGGCTGAGGAGGATGCTGATGGCGCCGTCGGTGAGGCACCGCCATTGTTCGATGCGGTTGTCGATGTCTGAGAATCAAGACGAGGGCGTTTATTTGAATCGGAGGATTCAGAGACGGAGGATTGACGACGCTTTAGGGAGCCATTTTGCTCTGCATGATCGAGCTGGGGCTCCTCCGGGATGAGGACAGCTGAGGATATCATTGCGCGCGGGACCAAAAAAAGGACGTAAAGGCTCAGTCTATACCCTGTAGTGTGCGAAGCCTGCGCTCCTTACTCCCTCAAGTAGGGTGCTTGGGCAATCAGGCTGTCGATATAAATTAGATGCAGAAACATCGAATGGGGCTTGCAGGTGGAGCTCCACAGATGTTTCCCGACTGCACGTGCCGCTTTTGTCTGTTGCGGGGAAGAGGACGAGGCTTAGAAATTCGCGCAAGGCTTGCGAGGCGGGACTGTTTTTCGATGCGTTTCTGTTTTCTGTCTCGCATACTCGGTACCCAGTACAGCTATTAGAAGTACAACATCTTCCTCATCCACCATTTCCTTCCCTTGTGCGTCCCTCCCGATTTCCGTATTAACTCACTTCTCCCTCAGTCACTCAAAATCACATATAATCTCTAGTCACCGTTAAATCCCTGCAAATAACACCACAACAATGTCGCGTCATCATCCCGACTTGGTGATGTGCCGCAAAGCCCCCGGCATCTCGATCGGCCGCCTTTGCGACAAGTGCGACGGCAAATGTCCCGTCTGCGATTCCTACGTGCGCCCCACAACTCTCGTCCGAATCTGCGACGAATGCTCCTTCGGCAACTACCAGAACAAATGTATCGTCTGCGGCGGCGAAGGAATCTCTGACGCATTCTACTGCTTCGAGTGCACGAGGCTGGAAAAAGACAGGGACGGGTGCCCGAAGATCATTAACCTGGGATCTTCGAGGACGGATCTGTTCTATCAAAAGAAGAACTTCAGAAATCAACAGTATTAGAAATCCGGTGATGCCTCTGGATCTAGAGGAGGGAAGCTTGCGATGGGGCAGAAATCTGCCATTTTAAGCCAAACAGAGTGACCGTTCCAAGCTCGACATGCAGTGTCTTGGCTCTGGAGAGGAGATGATACAGCGTCAAGTGATGTCGAGGCACAGGCGCACTTCGAACGCTTCGAATGAGACACAGGCATCCCGCCTAAAGCATCCCGAATATCGTGGCAACCCAGCGTCGACACTTGATTCTACGCATGAGGAGAGCTACGTCTGGGTGACGTCTCCTCACGGAGATGATCCTGTCCTCTGCATCAGCAGTTCTCAGATCACACATAAGGACAGCATTCAACGTCAGTGATGAAATCGAGGTCAGGGACGCGAATCACACATTTGGTGCCGAGCAGAGCAAAATCTCCCGTGTTGCGTCATTCGGGGTTCAAAGCTGGGAATAATATAGAGAATGGAGGCAAAGTTGAAGTTCTCGGGAAGGAGGGCTGCTTCAAAACCAACAAGCCAGTGAATGACGGGGCTTCGACGCAACCAGGGACTTGTTTCAATCTGTTCTTCGCTCTCCTCATCAAATCCTTTTGGATGCTTTTGTCTTGGAACTCAGATCAGCACCGCACATGACTCGAAGAAGTGAAGTTATTTTGCAAGTGCATGCATGATGCGACCACCTATTCCACCTTGGACGTCTGTCCTGCTGTTGTATCCAACTCATTTCACTGTCACCTCTTCCCTGGCCTTTTTGGTCTGGCAAATCCTCCTCGGGGTGTTGCTGTTCCTGACTCGGGAGCCGAGTTGTCGCCGCCTTCTACGCCAGCAACTCCACCAGTGACACCTGCAGCGGCGATCAAGGCCTTGACCTCATGCTCCAACCTCTCACCACCTAACTCGTCTGGGTCTCCGGCCTCCAGCCTCTTCACAATCTCGACGCCCTCCCACCCAGCGAGTTTCGTCATCCCCAGCCTTGAGCTTGCATGGATCATCCTTTCCTTGATCTTACTCGTGCCGGGACATACATAAATGAATATACTTCCTGGCACACCTTGTGCATTGTAAAAAGTATAACTCGGTCGATCCCCTGGAATATTTCCAGCCACCGCACCGGGCAGAACACCGGAATTCGTGGACAACAGCTGAATCTCCTCAGTAGCGATATCAATTCCGAACACCGCCATATTGCCTTCCGAACTGTCCGTGCTCTTGAACCCGGTCAACGCAGACTTGGCTTCATCAGCAATCTTCATCATCACACCACCTTTCCCTTGTCCCGCACCGCTTCCTCCTTCGCCCATCAAATCTCTCCCTCGTGTCCCATGCCTCTCTTCTTCTTCAGCTCGCTTTACAGCTTGCAATTCCCTCTCTTCCACACTGAGCAGCCCGGAATCCACACCTCCCCTGGCATTGGGGTTAGGGACTCCACCTCTCGCAGCCGCAGAGCCCTTGGAACGTTCATCCCATTGCGCGGGATCGAGTATCTCTTCCCTCTCGGTCAAGAAGACAGTCTCGGAGAATTTTTCTGAACCGAGTTCGCGCATGAGCGTGTTACGTGTAGATGCAAAGAGAGTCTTTTGCCGCACTGCGGCACGCGAAGGAATGTATGTTATTGCTATCAGCTCATTGGAATTGGGAGCACGACGTAGGAGTAAGTAGAGGGGATCGGTCGGTGTGAGGAGGTCGGAGAGAGTATGGATGCTATTGAAGAGGCCGGAATGAGAGGAAGGAAAACGGATTACCGGCAAAGGCGTGAGAGATTCGGATGTTATGCCGGCAGGAAGGCAGAAAAGAGAGGGGTCGCTGGTAAAGGTGGTGAACGCCGAGTGAAGGTCGGAGGAGGCTGTGGATAGAAGAAAGATGATGATCAGTCTCACAAATAGTGTATTCCACGCGCAGGCGACGATGACAATTTACCTGTGATTCCGGACTGCATGCTGGTGGACTCGTTCCTTTAGAGTTTGCCTGAAGAGGCAATTGGGGCCGGTTGATATCTTGCAAGATGTGACAGGAGACTGCTGTTCGAGTTGTGAGGCGCTTGGATTGAGAAGGGAGGATGGAGGAGCGACGATATTTATGCGTTAAGAACAGAGAACTTTCAACAATACCTAGGTATGGTATAGTCGCTGTCGTATCTTCTCGGCCCTAAATATCGCTGCCTGAGTTTCACATCAGAAATACCAAGCTCCTATTTACAAAATGCGTTGCGACAGCAGTTAGCCCCCTTTCAATGGACACAGTAGATTCAGCGCCGCCAAAGGCCCCGCGGTGAGGGGTGAGCTGGCAAGGCTGCACTTTGCCTAACTCGGTAATTGACAGCCTCGGGAACTCCGTCGCCATTTACCTCCACCCTTTTTCAACTCCAAACAATGCTGACAATCATAGTATCACTTGGGATATGGAGGCTACCTGTAAGTTCTGCATATCCAACGTGATCAACTCGGAGAACTCAGCTATAATGACTTAGGACGATGAAGAGTCCAGATGGTTTATTCTGCTCCATACGCGTCTGCTCTTCGTCGCAGACTGATGGTCACTGGACTCCTACTTCTTTAACGTTATATCCAGCCCACGCGCTTTACAAGGTTTAACACTTGTCAGCTCCCTCACAGCATTGGGACTGTAACGCAGCAGATCCAAGTGACACCGTTCGGAATGTTCCGAACCTAGTCAGGCGCTCCGGAGAATCCAAATTCGTAATTCTCTCCAAACGTGTGGGTGAGTAACGCGTGGGAAGCTCTCTGATTCGATGCCCTGGCGTATTTCTCCTTCCCCCTCCAATTAGCCACGGAAAGCACCTTTGGCTCCCTCAATCTTGGAGGGGGCGGCGCAGGAAGGTGTGGTCAAGCACGAAAGCCTGAGAGTTTTACAATGACATGGAGAGAGTAATCACAGGCTCGGAACAATGATTGAGACACAAGCTTCGTCGCAAGCGCAGCCTCGTATAAGGAGCTATATGGCTCTAATATCGTACTGAGAGTCACAAAGAAGACATGGTTGATCTAGTTAAGTCGATCGAGTGACCCAACTTTCTTGAACAGTGTTCTGGTAACGTCGACTACCACAATGTTGTTCACATCCTCTTCAGCAGAGTCCACAATGGGGAAGGAGAAACCACTCTATCATGCTGTTATACCCTTGCTGGTCGTTATTGCCCTTGGGACGACATTTCTCTATGTATGCACTACACCTCGAACAAAGCCGGACCACCACCAGCTTTTCGTTTGCCAACCTCGACAGTCCATTGACACTAACGAAGTCCGCAGATACTAGGCATAGTCTTTTATAGGCTTTACTTCCACCCATTAGCCAAGTACCCTGGCCCGTTCTGGGCCAGGATCACGAATTGGTATTCCGTGTACCATGCCGCCATTGGCGACAGGCACCTACAGACTTACTGGGGTCACCAGAGATATGGTACGCGCTTTCAGAAGTATGCCATGTTCTCAAAGATGCTTGTGACGAAAAACGCGACATGCAGCATGGAACAGTGATCAAAAGAGACGATGGTTGACGAAGTGTTTATTCTTTTGCATAGGCAAATTTGTTCGCATTGCCCCAAATCTGGTGACGATCAACGATCCAGCAGCAATCAAAGGTACGGATGCCTGATTCAACGTGCCTATTAGAACAAGGCCGACAATTAAACCCCTCCGAACAAAGATGAAAGGCCCTAACTGGGTTTGAACAGATATCTACGGCGTGAACCAAAACGTGCGCAAATCCTCCTTCTACGAAGCCTCAATCGCGCACAATGGCTTCCAGAACATGTTCTCTGCCCGCGACCGCGATATTCACGCCCGTAAACGCCGCATCCTCGCCCCGGCATTCACCGAAGCAAACCTGTGTTCTATGGAACCATATATCCTTCCGCACATTGACGAATTCTTCCGCGCGGCGTCGGGGGAAGAGCATTTCTTGGCATTACGGAAATGCTGGACCGCGGATCTGGGGAAATGGGGCAACTACCTGACATTTGATGTCATGGGCGATCTGGTCTTTGGGAAGGATTTTGGGATGCTCAGGGGAAACGAAAGTCGAGAACTGCCCGATGTCATTGACGCGGCGGTGCATCGGCAACTTCTTGTAAGAGTCCCTCCCAATCTCCTCATCCTCCCAGCCATCTATCCGCGCCTTTTGCGCGGAGATGGGAGGACAAGCAAGCTCTCAAGGGACCCTACGGCTGGCTGATATCAGTGATCCAGAATGGATGCAGTCCATTCATGCTCAGATGGAAGCTCGACAAACTCCTCTTCCCAGACATTGTCCGTCGCGGCATGCAGCTGCTCGTCTACGCCAGGAAGCAGGCACAGCTGCGCATGAGCGCTGATCAGAATCGCAAGGACTTCTTCTCGTACATTGCCAATGCCGAGAACAAGGACGGCACCAAGGCATACGCTGACTCTAAGGAAGTGTTTGCGGAAGCGAGGGGCCTTATTCTTGGTGGTATGTCCTTATCTTCTGATTGCTTTCCCATTTACATATCTTGTTCCAACGGGAAATCGGTGAGAGGAGTAATGTTCACTCACAAAATGCGCAAATTGCTTCCCAACAGGGTCCGATACAACGGCCACACAATTGGCTGCGAATTTCTTCTACCTAACAAACAATCCTCACGCATTGAAACGTCTCGGGGAAGAGATCCGGTCCACATTCAACTCGGTTGACGAGATCCGGCTCGGTAAGGCCCTTGACGGCTGCCGCTATCTCTACGCCGTCATCTACGAAACGATCCGCCTCAGTCCCAGTCTCCCGGGCGTCCTGCCTCGGGAAGTGCTAAAGGGCGGCCTCACGGCGGCCGGCGAACACTTCCCTGCTGGAGTCGAGCTCTCGGTCCCCGTCTATGCGGTCCACCATTGCGAAGACGTCTTCTTTGACCCGCACATGTTTATCCCCGAGAGGTGGTTGCCTGAGCACACGAGCGAGGACGCCGTCAAACGGTGCCACGATACCTTGACGCCCTTTTCGTACGGTTCGAGACAGTGCATTGGCAAGCGATTGGCCGTTATGGAGCTTTCTCTAGTCATTGCCCGGTCGGTCTGGAAATACAATCTTGAGTATGTGGCGGGTGGCAAGGACGATCGGTTTAGGAAGAGCCCGGAAGTCGTAGAGTACAAGTTGCTTGATCACCTTGCTGCGGGAAGATCGGGTCCCGTTATAAGGTTCACAAGCAGGGAGTAAAGATAGCGGAAGACAGAGCCTTCGTTCATCCGGACAGGACAGAAATTGTCGCGCATGAGCCTATTCAATGGATCTATGGCACCCAAAACACGCCATTTGGATAGATAACGGTAGAACATGACAGCGATAAGCATAGTTGATTCGATAGACCCCCATGTCCATTGTCACGTGAGCTTTTCAGCTTCGATGCGTCCTGAGATGCCAGAAAAACTTCGTGAAAAGAGCTAAATTGCACCCCCTGCTCACGTGTCACGGCATCCACAAATTGTTGACCAGCGTCCCAAGGTCTTGAGGCAAGCCAAAGTCAGGTTCTGAAGAGGCTGGCAGCTGAAACCCCCATAGAGATGGGTCTTCATATAAGAACGGAAACATCAACCCATTCTGGCCTTCGTCTGGGCCAAGTTCGGTGAGCGATAACGAGTTGCCGCCGAACTGAGTTTCAGTGACGGCTTTGGTATATTCGGAAATCTCAATCTCAGGTCCCAATGCAGTGAGAGCCTCGGCTTCCGGCGCTGATGCTGAGAAGAGGTGGTCAGAAAGGTTGAGGCGCGAAGCTACGCCTCGAATTCTTTCCCACAGGTACTTGGACTGAACCGAAGTTTCAGCCAGCCTTTGGAGACGGCCCAGCGCAGCTGCTGAGCTCTGTCGGGCCTTTTGAGCAATCTCGTCAGGGACTGAAAGCTCCTCCCCATTCGCAGAAGGAGATCCCACACCAGATGACTTGTGGGTAGTTGCGAAGAGTAGGATATCCAAGGCAGAAATGAGGAAGTGGTTGAATTGCGCTTGGTGAAAACGGTATTCTCTCGTGGAAGAATCCAGCTGAGTAAGAACCATGATCGTGTCCGCGGCAACATCCACTGACGTGATCCAGATATCCGAGGGTGCTGCATTGCGAAGGCCAGAGCAGAGGAAGGCCCGAGCGATCAGTGTCCTGAGGTGGTTGGCTCGTATGTATAGAGTCGTACGCACCATTTGTACTCCCAGACGGGTGCTGTCATCGAGTGTAAAGGCTTCGAAATTCTCGGAAGCCCGTGTGGCCCACAAATTTACTCTGTAGAGAAAATAGGCATAGTCATCTTGGAAAGTAGTGAGTTGCTCGGAATTGAGGATCTTGTCGCTCAAGAGCGCGTCGCAGGACTGTTTCCCTATACTTGCGTACTCGATCATGAGCTGCAAAAAGGGCGCTTCAACCTAAGCATATCATGTCAGTGGGATGCGTTCCAGTTACGTTATAATTACATCAATAGCATGCAAGTTTCCTGATCAGGGATTTAACTCACCGGCGGAGGGAAGTTCGACTCCGGATGTAGGTTTTGCATTGCATTTGAGAAACCCAAGGCGTAGCTGAGATGTTGTTCGAGGACAAATACCGTCCAGACGGTATTGATTGCCTGTGACCGAATTTTGATGTCCGGGAAAGAGCGATCAAGAACCATTTTTCGATTCAAGCCCAACTCAAGGATGATGCGGCTGACATTCATCGTAAATCTCCAAGCCAGCCTCCATCGAGCGCAGTGCACGTGGTACAAGATCTGGTGCATCAAGCATTAGTCAATATGTTCCTGATACTCCGTGGACGAAGTCAAGGCCTACCACCAAGGTCATCAGTACCAGGTCTTTCAGGTCAACCGCTGCATTCCATATCATATTTTCGATCTCCGAGTGAAGAGACTGTAACAACCTAGCAGTGAGTTTTTGATGGGTATCACCCTCAGCTAGGAGGCCAATGGCCACGGTCATTTTTAGGATGGCTGAGTCCTCCTTGCTAATACTGGGTGTCCTTCCTCGGACTGCGAGACCGCCGGAGGCTTCTGAGCGGCGCTTTACAATATCTTTAGAGTCGAAAATGTCCACGATAGGGTACATGACCCATTCCAGATCATGAAATGCTTGCACGCCCTGCAAGAGGAGATGGCGGTCTATCTCATCGAGCGGATCTACCAGTTTTAGAGGTGGAGAAGCATCTTGACTACCTGCACTCCCCTCTGAGATCGATTCCGCAACATCCTCCAGTTCGCTTCGACTGATGTCACTTGACTCACCGTCGACCACCTCACCGTGGATGATCGACAAGGCGGTGCGCGTTTGGGCAGTGATGTACCCATTGTGCGGGCTTCGTCCTTGTGAGAAGTCCAGTCCGAGCTTTCTGACACCTGCATCAATGACGTTGATACAAAAGAAAGCGCTGGTCGATGTTTGGAAGAGGGGCAAAGGATGTTTCTGAGGCGATAGGCCAGTGTCTGCTTTTGAGAGACGATTTTCAGCCGCTTCATAAGCAGCTTCAATCGCTGTTGTCTTTTTGATCAAGAGATCCAACTTCTCGTTTTGTTGTTGGAGGAGTGCTGAAACCTCGGCTTCGAACTTGCGCTCGTCTTCCCTACAATGGTCAGATAATGTCAAGGGACAGGAGTGGGCTCTTACTCTGGTCGATGCTCGTGTACTTGGAAGTTGGGGGGCGCTTGAGCGCTATAGAAACAAGTGGCTTCTCGGGAAGCACAATGTTTACAGGGAAGGCGCCCGTCGCATCTCACTTTTGCGGCTTTACATTTTTCACAAGCATGGGGGGTATATCGACTTCTCTTTCGAGGGCGTTGAGATGGTGCGTGCTGTGTCTCGCCATCTGTCCCGTTTGCTGCTACTGTGTCTTTGCGCCCAGAGATTTGGCGTGTCCCTGGCATCCTGGAAGGAATACGGCAAGGCAGGAGGAAGGTTAATGTCTTTCTTGAACCGGTGAAGGACAACAATGAGAATTCTTAAGGGCGTCCACCTTGCTTACTTCTCGTTTTGTGGCAATGACTAATGCAGACCAGCTACGCACATTGAGGACGCCTCGATGGGCGTCATCAAGACGCTTGGTGGAGGCGGAAAGCTACCGAGACTGCCGCACTGCTTGGTGAATGGCGGGGCAATTGTCCGGGGAAGAAGTCAGCTTCGGGCTGTTCAGGACCCCCTGAATTTTCAGCCTCACTCGCCCGGCGACCCTACTGCTGCCCCGGCTCACTAACTTCTAAGCTTACTCTTGCCAGCCCCCCCGGATATATGACTCCGTATTACGGCAAATGTTATCTATCCTGCCCGACGAAAATGAGCGTCTCAGCCAGTCTATGTAATTGCTGAGTTAAAAAGACCCCCCACCGCTGCGGTAGCTATGCGTAGCTCAAGCATCATGAGGTTGTGACACTACAATCAGAACAACGCAAGAGACCTCTGTCATATGCTTTGGCCAATATATGCCCAGACTTTTTAAACGGCTCTTGCTGATACTGTAACCCGATTTGAACCGCCCGAAGGAGATCCTTCCGAAGAGCTCCACGAGCCGCAAACTGTGTGGCAACAGGGGTTCTGCCCGCCCCAAACAACAGGTCATGAGTGCTGGACTGTGTATCCGTTCTGCTCTCATATCGGCCAGCACCGCCGAAGCGGCTCTTTTTCCTTTCGATGAGAGTTTGCATGCTTATGTTTTTAGGCTTACTCTTCTCGGTGGAAGGAACACGAATGTGGCAGGTGTGAGAGGTGAGAGGGGCAGGTACCTAGGTTGTGAGAGAGGAAATCTCTCCCAGGAGATGTGCTTTACTTCATTTGTGATGATCTACGATAGATGAGGTGGTAAGCCCTCCAGTTACATATACTGGTTGATCACACATTGTGTTCTGGAGAGGCTGCTGAAAGATCTGCAGCACGCGTAAATGCGACTGCTCGGAACGTTCCGAACGTGAAGAACAGTGCCATATTCAATGAGAGGAAAGGCGATTATTAATGCGCAACATTGCTGGTTCGCCTCGTCCGTTAAATAACTTCTTCCCGGCATTCCAACCGTACGTCTTTCTCCTCCGTATTCAACACGACAGTTTTCTATTCAACATTGTGCCTGCCTTCCTCCCTCCAGCCAGCGAGAGGTCACCCGCGTTTGTCTCCCAGTATATGGTTGATATAGGTTTTAATGCAGGAGATCGTGCAAAAAGACTGCACTATGGATATGGTCGGTTTTCCGCTGGTAGCATTCTTCCAACAAAGCTTCCTAGGGAACACGGTTCTACCCAATGAGTGACTGCCATGGCCGAATGGAAGCAAAGTCGGCCCTGCCATGACCCGCATTTCTGCCGTCGCGTCTTCCTATCCTGCGGTCTTAGCATACATACGACTATGAGAGAGTGCTCTCGATACGGTGCACCCCCAAGTCGAATCGTTCACGAAATTCGGGTATAAATCTGCTTGCGGAGGCAACTCTGGCCCCGAGCTAGCGTCTGTTGACACAGATTCTCTTTTTTTCGATCTTCGATTACGTTAGCCGCGCGGAAGTCAACTTGCTCCCCGTGAGTCAAGCCCAAGTCGCGTTCATTCCGATCTCCGGTCGTCGCCTGTGGAGAAGGATTAGCTTAATAACTTCCAGTCAGTCCTTCTGGTGTCCAGCCTTGTTTGAACCTCCGACTCAATGAAAACTTGGCTTGCGAAATGGAAGCACAATCTCGGGATTGAGCGCCCGGTGGGTTCACGGCCCAGCAACCTTCCCCTTAAATCGCTTAATCGCCCAGAGACTGCGCATTCGTCTGCGGGGGGTGAAATTATTGGGCTTTGACCACTGCATTTCCATGTGGGGCTCTTGGGCTGAGACAGCGGAACTACACAGTATAGGCCGAGGCAACCTCGCGAGCTGGAGCTACGGAGAATCAGAGTACGAGGTAGTGGCCTGAGGACGCTCCAAGATTTTGTTACGAGGAATCAGGCCTTAATGGATTCTCCTGTGATCGAGTCACCCTTCGCTCCGCTCGCCCTCCTCCTATAAAAGAAAGAGTAAGCCGGATTTTGCTAGGTTACTTTGTGCTCAAGCTATGGGAAGAACAGAGGACGACATTTTGGCGAAGACAGAGGTGGGTATTCTCCACAACCACATGGAGAGGCAGGTTGAGTAAATCTGGGGTTCCCCACACAATCTTTGGAGAAAGGGCGGGGCCGGCCTCCTTTTGGCGAAAAACAGAAACTCTCGAACCATTGCCACGGATGATATATACTCTGACTGGGTCGCCTGATTGTTGTAGGCTCCTCTCACACCTTCCAACTTCATCCCTGACGAGCGAATATTCACTCGTGGTCCCAATCTACGTCGGCTAAAACATGAGTGACTCTGCCAAATCCCATTCCACGGCCCACGTGGACACGGTCGAGAAAGACGTGTATCTCGAAGATGACCCACATCGTGCTGCTTTGGAGGATAACCCGGAGAAACCTGAGAAACTCACCTGGAGCACTGTTCTTTCTATCTTCGTGAGTCAACTTGTGTCTTTCGTGGGTTTCGGCTCTGACGTGGCGACCCTGTCTAGTTCCTTGGCCTAGCCTTCGTGGGACCAGTTTCTGGCGGATTCCTCCTAGTAACAGCGATCCTATTCCAGATCGGTTCCGAGCTGGGTGATACCTCGAACATAGCTTGGATGCCCGGTGGATGGTCTATTGCATCGTCGGTGTCTTTCTCCATTGCGGGCTCCCTCAGCGACATATTCGGCCGAAGATATGTGACACTCAGCGGCCAGCTCTTCGCCGTCGTTGGCGCAGTGAGTCTTGTGTAAAGCTAAGTCTAAATCATGGAAGAGGGACTGACATCTATGACCCTGTAGATTGTTGGTGCGACTGCGAAGACAACTGTGGGAGTTGTTATTGCCTGTACCCTGCTGGGATTTGCAACTGGCATTATTTTCGTTGCTTATGCTGGTATCCCAGAGTTGCTACCTAATAAGTGGCGGTAGGTCCCAACGCAATAGACCAACCCCATGAAATCATAGCTTACCTGAGACTAGAAACGTGGGCCTCGCATGGACCGAGGGTGCCATGGCTATTCCCTGGGCCATTTGCGGTGTGATCATCGCCAACCAACTGGTCTCGAAGGCTACGTGGAGATGGTGTTTCTACATCGCCATCATATATTCAGTGATTTCCGTGGTGGGAACAGCCATATTCTACTTTCCACCATCTCGACCGCGAAGAGATTATGAAAAGACCCGTTGGCAGGAGATCAAGGAAATCGACTATATGGGAATCGTCTTGTACACCTCTGGCTTGACCGTCTTCCTAGTCGGGCTCACATGGGCAGGAACCCCTGCGCACCCCTGGAAGAGTGCCTCGGTCATTGCACCCATTGTCATAGGTGTCCTTGTTTTTATCGGCTGTTTTGTCTACGACTTTACCGTCCCGAAACAACCTTTCTTCCCGCTCGACCTGTTCCGCCGATATCGAGAATTCACAGTTCTCCTCGTTGTCGTGTTTGTCGCCGGAATGATCTTTTACTCCATGGCTGGTATTCTCCCACAAGGCACACTTTACATGTTCGAAAGTGATCCGACTCAGATTGGCTTAACTCAGCTACCAAATGGCGTGGGCACTTTTGTTGGCGGTACACTCATGCCCGCAATCGCTCACAAAATCAAGCACCTAAAGATGCAGATAATTGTTGCGCTGACCATTCAGCTTGTTTTCGTCGCGCTGTACTCGGTGGCAGTTCCGCAGAGCAAATCCGCTTGGATGGCTTTTCAGTTCTTCGGACAAGGTTGCTTTGGCATGATCACACTTCTCTGCTATTTTATCGCGGGTCTTCACGTAAGTCGTCCTCCTATCCTTGCTAGCAATTGCACCATTCTGGATAAAATCGCGGCATCACTATCGATCAAAGGCTAATAGCGCGGCGCAGGTCCCGCTTCGAGAACTCGGCATCGCTTCCGGCCTCATTGGTACATTTCGCAGCGCCGGTGGGAGCGTTGGCAACGCAATCTTCAACACAATCCTGACCTCAGTTGTTACCGTTGAAATGCCCAAGCGTGTCATAGCAGCAGCTCTTGAAGCTGGATTCCCCGCTTCCAATCTCGAGCAGCTGGTGCCCGCAGTGGTGAACGCTGCCACTGGGGTCCCTAACGCTTTTGCTGCTGTTGAAGGCGCCACGCCTGGAGTTCAAGAAGCCACAATCAAGGCGTTCCGTGGCGCCTATGGCTACGCGTTCAAGAGAGTGTTCTGGGCGACAATCCCCTTCGGTGTGATTGCGATTATTTGCGCCTGCTTCGTCTTGGATTCGTCCCAGTATCTGACCAATCATACTGCCGTGCGTATGGAAAAGGACACCATCGGTGGTCGGATGATTCAGCACACGACTGAGGATGTCGAAAGCCACGATTCGGCGGAGAAGCCGCAGCTTGAAATCGGCAAGGGAACGTGAGAGCGAGGCCTCGCCAGACGTAGAATCTAGCCAGAAAAGCAACATGGATGCAGAGGCGGATAGTTGATCTGTCTGTTTCACCGACAGATATGCTAGTTTGGAATTACTTGCGAACAGTGCTGAGTTGTCGGCTGATTTCAGTACCGAGAACAGATGGAGCTCGCGAGTTGGATCATTGATCTTGCTGTGGTCATGCTTCGTATGTGCCTTCATATCAAGTCATATCCAACCAGAGCATTACGATCAATTTTACATCTCCTCGCCCAGTAAATTGGACCTTCCAAGCCGTGGGAATCAGGTGATAGATTGGTCAAATGTCTCAGAATAGGCACGGTTACTGATGGGCTGCCGAGCTTGGCCGGACAGTTGGAAAGGAAGGAAAGTTCTGTGTATGGTATATGCGGAACCTGGACCGCGGGGTGGCC